AAAACACAGGGATCATTCCCAAAACACAGGGATCATTCCCAAAACACAGGGATCATCCCCAAAACACAGGGATCATTCCCAAAACACAGGGATCATTCCCAAAACACAAGGATCATTCCCAAAACACAGGGATCATTCCCAAAACACAGGGATCATTCCCAAAACACAGGGATCATTCCCAAAACACAGGGATCATCCCCAAAACACAGGGATCATCCCCAAAACACAGGGATCATCCCCAAAACACAGGGATCATTCCCAAAACACAGGGATCATTCCCAAAACACAGGGATCATTCCCAAAACACAGGGATCATTCCCAAAACACAGGGATCATTCCCAAAACACAGGGATCATTCCCAAAACACAGGGATCATTCCCAAAACACAGGGATCATCCCCAAAACACAGGGATCATTCCCAAAACACAGGGATCATTCCCAAACCACAGAGATCATTCCCAAAACACAGGGATCATTCCCAAAACACAGGGATCATCCCTAAAACACAGGGATCATTCCCAAAACACAGGGATCATCCCCAAAACACAGGGATCATTCCCAAAACACAGGGATCATTCCCAAAACACAGGGATCATCCCCAAAACACAGGGATCATTCCCAAAACACAGGGATCATTCCCAAAACACAGGGATCATCCCCAAAACACAGGGATCATTCCCAAAACACAGGGATCATTCCCAAAACACAGGGATCATTCCCAAAACACAGGGATCATTCCCAAAACACAGGGATCATTCCCAAAACACAGGGATCATCCCCAAAACACAGGGATCATTCCCAAAACACAGGGATCATTCCCAAAACACAGGGATCATCCCCAAAACACAGGGATCATTCCCAAAACACAGGGATCATCCCCAAAACACAGGGATCATTCCCAAAACACAGGGATCATTCCCAAAACACAGGGATCATCCCCAAAACACAGGGATCATTCCCAAAACACAGGGATCATTCCCAAAACACAGGGATCATTCACAGGGATCATTCCCAAAACACAGGGATCATTCCCAAAACACAGGGATCATTCCCAAAACACAGGGATCATTCCCAAAACACAGGGATCATTCCCAAAACACAGGGATCATTCCCAAAACACAGGGATCATCCCCAAAACACAGGGATCATTCCCAAAACACAGGGATCATTCCCAAAACACAGGGATCATTCCCAAAACACAGGGATCATTCCCAAAACACAGGGATCATCCCCAAAACACAGGGATCATTCCCAAAACACAGGGATCATTCCCAAAACACAGGGATCATTCCCAAAACACAGGGATCATCCCCAAAACACAGGGATCATTCCCAAAACACAGGGATCATCCCCAAAACACAGGGATCATTCCCAAAACACAGGGATCATCCCCAAAACACAGGGATCATTCCCAAAACACAGGGATCATTCCCAAAACACAGGGATCATCCCCAAAACACAGGGATCATTCCCAAAACACAGGGATCATTCCCAAAACACAGGGATCATCTCCAAAACACAGGGATCATTCCCAAAACACAGGGATCATTCCCAAAACACAGGGATCATTCCCAAAACACAGGGATCATTCCCAAAACACAGGGATCATTCCCAAAACACAGGGATCATCCCCAAAACACAGGGATCATTCCCAAAACACAGGGATCATTCCCAAAACACAGGGATCATCCCCAAAACACAGGGATCATTCCCAAAACACAGGGATCATCCCCAAAACACAGGGATCATTCCCAAAACACAGGGATCATTCCCAAAACACAAGGATCATTCCCAAAACACAGGGATCATTCCCAAAACACAGGGATCATTCCCAAAACACAGGGATCATTCCCAAAACACAGGGATCATCCCCAAAACACAGGGATCATCCCCAAAACACAGGGATCATCCCCAAAACACAGGGATCATTCCCAAAACACAGGCATTCCCAAAACACAGGGATCATTCCCAAAACACAGGGATCATTCCCAAAACACAGGGATCATTCCCAAAACACAGGGATCATTCCCAAAACACAGGGATCATTCCCAAAACACAGGGATCATCCCCAAAACACAGGGATCATTCCCAAAACACAGGGATCATTCCCAAACCACAGAGATCATTCCCAAAACACAGGGATCATTCCCAAAACACAGGGATCATCCCTAAAACACAGGGATCATTCCCAAAACACAGGGATCATTCCCAAAACACAGGGATCATTCCCAAAACACAGGGATCATCCCCAAAACACAGGGATCATTCCCAAAACACAGGGATCATTCCCAAAACACAGGGATCATCCCCAAAACACAGGGATCATTCCCAAAACACAGGGATCATTCCCAAAACACAGGGATCATTCCCAAAACACAGGGATCATTCCCAAAACACAGGGATCATTCCCAAAACACAGGGATCATTCCCAAAACACAGGGATCATTCCCAAAACACAGGGATCATTCCCAAAACACAGGGATCATTCCCAAAACACAGGGATCATCCCCAAAACACAGGGATCATTCTCAAAACACAGGGATCATTCCCAAAACACAGGGATCATTCCCAAAACACATTCCCAAAACACAGGGATCATTCGACACGGCGCGACATCTTTCAGAATTCCTGATCAGGATCAGATAATCTAGGCCAGCCATGGTCATACTTTGAAGTGAAACTTATCACAATCATCTGGTAGCAGTCGCGGCTTTCCAGCTACTTGGGTACTGCAGAAGTACAAACCGTGCTGTCATAACTCAAATTTCAAGCGTAGCTTGGGGAACATACGGACGTGTGGTCTAGTCTGAACACCTAGTGGCATGAACATATTTGGTGCTGCAATATTCAGAGTTTTCTAGCAGCAAAGAGACTATTACGTGAGTAGGTGCTCAGATTAGGTAGGTGTAGGGGGCTGCAATGGATTAGGTGATGTGTAGGGGCTGCAATGGATTAGGTGATGTGTAGGGGGCTGCAATGGATTAGGTGATGTGTAGGGGGCTGCAATGGATTAGGTGATGTGTAGGGGGCTGCAATGGATTACAGTAAGATCGGGCGCCGAAGAACGCAGGGGCTCGAGCGCAGCCTAGGAAAGTTCTTAAATTTTTGATTCTAGCCAGACCGTTCTTATTCACACGCGCGCGGCGAGTCGAGTGACGTCATGACGTTTGTCATGTACATGTACATGTACATGTAGTGCAATGTAGTACTTCTAAACTAGTGGGTGTCGTAAATGGGAATGACTGTACATGTAGCAGTTACTGTTTACACGTGTACATGACATGTACTCACCTCCCATACATGTACAATGTAGATGTACGTGTAAATTCGCAACTTCATGTAAGTACATGTATGACAACGTACATGTAGTCGTAACTCAGTTAAATACTGCACTCATGTGGAAATTCCAAATTTTAAAAGTGTTCTTAAATCTGATAATTCTAGCTTGGACTGTTCTTAAATTTTGCCGGTTTTCCAGCATGGGTGTTCTTCGGCGAGGTGTTCTTCGGCGCCCGATCTTACTGTAGGTGATGTGTAGGGGGCTGCAATGGATTAGGTGATGTGTAGGGGGCTGCAATGGATTAGGTGATGTGTAGGGGGCTACAATGGATTAGGTGATGTGTAGGGGGCTGCAATGGATTAGGTGATGTGTAGGGGGTTGCAATGAATTAGGTGATGTGTAGGGGGCTGCAATGGATTAGGTGATGTGTAGGGGGTTGCAATGAATTAGGTGAGGTGTAGGGGGCTGCAATGGATTAGGTAATGTGTAGGGGGCTACAATGGATTGGGTGATGTGTAGGGGGCTGCAATGGATTAGGTGATGTGTAGGGGGTTGCAATGAATTAGGTGATGTGTAGGGGGCTACAATGGATTAGGTGATGTGTAGGGGGCTGCAATGGATTAGGTGATGTGTAGGGGGTTGCAATGAATTAGGTGAGGTGTAGGGGGCTGCAATGGATTAGGTGATGTGTAGGGGGCTACAATGGATTAGGTGATGTGTAGGGGGCTGCAATGAATTAGGTGATGTGTAGGGGGCTGCAATGGATTAGGTAATGTGTAGGGGGCTACAATGGATTGGGTGATGTGTAGGGGGCTGCAATGGATTAGGTGATGTGTAGGGGGCTACAATGGATTGGGTGATGTGTAGGGGGATGCAATGGATTAGGTAATGTGTAGGGGGTTGCAATGAATTAGGTGATGTGTAGGGGGCTGCAATGAATTAGGTGATGTGTAGGGGGTTGCAATGAATTAGGTGATGTGTAGGGGGTTGCAATGAATTAGGTGATGTGTAGGGGGCTGCAATGGAATAGGTAATGCGCAGGGGGGCTGTAATGGAGTTTGTGAATCCTTTACAACTTTTGAACATGAAAATTAGGGCTGAAACGATCGTAGATTTTCACGTATCGATTACTCTTTAGCTTAACGATCGAGTAATCGATTATAATCGTTAGCAAATAGTGTCATAATTCTGTGCAAACATTACTCTGTTTCCACAAACTATGCCTTCATAATACCAACAAATCTGCATTAGTGAAAGGGTAGCTCCGAAACATGGCAGTTTTGAAGTCAATTTAACCTCAAAACATGAACCATACCCCTGGCAACTGCATACTCCCAGCGGAAACTGATTCAAACTTCATGAAACGAGGGTTTACAGTACTTTCTGGACACAAATTTAAAAAACGCAAAATAATCGTAATCGGTAATCTAAACGATTGCTCGATCGTTAGAGTTATCAAACGAGTACTCGATTATTCGGTATAATCGTTTCAGCCCTAATGAAAATCAATGTCAATCAAGAATTCTGACGGACTTTATAGTGACAAGCAAATCAATAATTATCCATCATACTCATAGTATAAGCACTGCCTACCCGCATACACAATCACACCAACCAAACACATTCCCCCGCGGGCACATGATATGCACGTAGATACACGCGCACGCGCACACGCACACACACACACACACAAGCACGCACACACACACAAAACGCTTACCCGCAAAATGGCACGTTTTTCCTTTGCATCAATTAGCTTGGATTTCAAGACTGCATTGACAACTTGAGTATAAAAGACTCTGCGCATTGGGAAGTTATCTTTGGCATACTGTATTTCATCTTCTTTGCTCCAGAAATACGGAGTGAGATACTTCGTTGGATTACGTAATCTACCAAAGAACAGAGCACAGGCCGTATTCAGAGTCAGACTTTAGACTAATGATGTCGCTGCACTGTCAAACATAATAGTAAATACTGCACCAACATTCGCATTCCGCCTGTTTTTCACGTCTGTCAAACATCTTGCAGTAGTCATGTACACGCCTACATCTCTGTCTTACAAATACAAGGCATGGCCACCCATACTTTGGCCAGCAATCATAGCAAAGCAAGGGCCCAACAGTGTACGGCTCAGTTTCATCCACACTGCACTCTGTCTCTGTCTTCTGTCTCTGCGTCTCTTATTAGAGACCATTAGCAAACCGTCGGGCGCGACGATTGGGACAAACTGGGAACGAGGCCGGCGCGCGGGAAACTCGAATCGTTCCGAGAGCACGATTGGAGCTGCCGCAACGGGTGATCACGAAACGATTACGATTCCAGTTGCATCACGCATCACCTGCATCATGCGCCTGAATGGTTCCATGCACGGCTTCCTGCCATGCATGCTTTGACGATAGGAAGGAAAAGGTCTGAAGCAAAGATTGACTGTCATCACCAGGAGGGACCTTCCCTAGTTTGACAATGTCTCTGACATTTGCACTGTACCAGCAGGCTTTATTGCTAGATGCTGGCTGTATTCAAATCACTAGGGTACAATAACCAGCATAGGAATGATGCAATTAACTATTTCTTTGTAAAGCTCACAGCTGAGATTCTCTGCTACCTGGAATTGCTGAATTTGATTGAGAATTGACTGATAAGAGTACAGTCATGCATGCACATACATGCATCAAGCAAGACTGAATGATCAATCGCCGAAAGGAAAGAGAACATGATTGTACTCAACTACTCACAAGTTAATATACTGAGTACACCGGAGGATGTACCCAGTGTGCTGACAGTGCTCAACACCGCAGAGGCAGAGCGTAATACAGAACAGAACAACAAGGACAATCAAGGCTTGTTTGCTGCTACTTCAAGTTTCATGCTCTCGCAATCATCAGGCAACTGTTGCCTGCCCTAATTTGTTGTACGGGGTTTTCAAACAAAGCTAGCTTGGTAAAAATCAAGGCTATCAGAGCATGGGCATGGCATTGGGATTGATTCCAGAAAATGTACACCTGTGAAAGGTGCCTGTTATCAGTTTAGTACTGAACTGTACTTACATGAAGAACGCAATCACATAGCCAATCCAGGGTACATTCATCAGAAGAACGGGAAACATACATTGTCGAAGTGTCAAGCGGATCTGGTCAAGGACAGAGAACACATCATGGTAAAGTGGAACTCACAGAAGCATTTTTGCGATACGATGTGACGGCTGTGAAACCAGGAAACCCCTCATCGAACCCCCCTGAGAATCATACACAACCACAACTGGCTAATCACAGATGTTTGAGCTTGACTCAGCTTTCGCGATGCGATGTACAATGTGGGTCTTCCCAACCTCCAGTGCCCAAATTGCGAGTGCTCAACATTGCTACCCAAAGTGGTACGAGGCTTGAAACTACGATCAAATGCCCTATCTGCCAAGATGTATCGGAGATCTACCTATATCCACAAGGTCCACTCTTGTCATCCCTGGTATCCTTGCTGTAAAGACTGCTGACCTATAAGCCGCTACTCACAGCTTCATAAGCAAACGTCGACCGAAAACAGCAGCACCAGTGATTGCCGGGTACTGCTGTGCTACCAGCTGTTTTTGATGGCATTAAATGTGAACTACTTTTACTTCATAGAAAAGAAAAAAGGACCAAGGAACTACAAGTTACGCTATAATGTCCACTAACACCACCAGTTGCTGAACAATCAGCTCATGCGATAACATTGTAACTGGTAGTTCCTTAGTCCTTTTTCTTTTCTATAAATTTATCCTTGGCTCTCCATCCGAGTCCGTACTTTTACTTCAGTACTTCAATGGCCCAAGTTTCCCCATCTACTCCCAGACATAAATCCGGACTAGTTTGGGCAAGTTAATGACGTCGCCATGTTGTCACCAAATTTAGTCCAAACTTCAAGCTGGTATAACTCAGGAACGGCTGCTCTGATCAACCTGGGACCTTCACCATTGGAATCAGTGCATTTTTCGCTACAAGTTGTGAAGTTTTCATTTTAGGGTGAACTTCCCCTTTAATTGGGAACTCATGGGCTGGCACCAGAGAAACATGGATTGGGGCATAGTCACCTTGTATTTGTCAAAACTCTACATCTGTCTAATTCGTTTTCATCACTATCAAATGGTGTCTTCTTGTTTACCAGCTCCGGGGCATCGGAGACTCGAGAGTAAAAAAATAAAATAAAATAAACAAGAGTATGAGACTGATCTCCTTACCATGGGCCAGATGCGTGACACACTACATTAATCTGTCCCCCGTGGATTACGCGATTACCCGGCCGCGGAATTTTTCGCATAATCGAACATGAATCGCATTTTCTTACAACTTCCGTGTTGACGTCGCATAAACCTTGATTTTTTAGAAAAAACAGCGAGGAAAGTCCGCGCAATGACCTTCCCGCCGCATTTTCGGTCGCAGTCTGCACGACAAGAAGTGTGTCTTACCAGCGCTGAGCCATTTCGATCATGTTTTCATTCAGCTACGCTGCTTTTAGCAGGGATAGTCTGCTCTAGCTGATGTCGCTATCTACTAGTACAGTAGTGGCGGTCGACGTCTGGAGAAAGTTGTAGCAGCGATATCTTCTCAGGATCGGAATCGAAAATGAGAAATTTGATCGCTGAAGCCTTTCAGTATTGGCTCTCCAAGCGCGAGCAGTAAGATTGAGGACAGCGATGGCCTGAACCCACCGAGGCAGGTGAAGTTCCGTACCCAGTGATTATTCCTGGCCTTCTCAATCATCATACAATCGCAGGACACGAGTAGATCAGCAAAAAGAAAGTACTTTTTTGAATGGTTAATTTAAAAGAAATTCGAATCCGACATAAGGCCAAAACAAATAATTACCTTGTTTCCGGTCGCCCGACCGGGCCACTTTTTCCCAAATTCTGAAGCTTTTTTTGGTCCCAAATGTATACAAACGGTGACAATGCCATGTGTGCAAGTGCACTCAACGAGTCATAACTCAGTCAAATCTCAACCGAATTCCACAATCGAAACACCTACAAGGTAGCAGAGATTCTCAGCTGTCGGCTCGAAAACCTATGGGGTCGATACGAGCTAGAATAATGGAGCTGGAAGGACTCGAACTGTTTGCTTGATTTCTCAGGATGTACGAAAACAGGAATACACCACATGCTGTACAAGAACAGTGACAGTCAACTTTGACATTGATCCTTGCCATGATATATGTACAATGTACATGTGTAGGTGCTCTTGTCCATCAATACCACAACGATTGAGGAACCAAAAAAAGTATCCAAAAAAAGTTTCATTCCGGCCGACCTAGTCTCCTTTTTGAGGGGTTGCCGACCGGAAACAAGCCTATTTTTGTTTTGGCCTAATAATTAATTTTTAAAAGTTTCAATGGAAATCTAGATGCTGAAGGCCCGCATAATGATTGTATTCCCTGCGTATTGCCGCATAATCCTCGCATAATGGAGTGTTTTAGGCCGTATAATTATTCGCAAATTTGACAAATTTGTCCGCGCAATTCACGGGGGACAGCTGAATAACACCATGCAGCTACCTCCCGCACTGCGTTAAAACTCCACACTTTCCCTGTGGTTCGAAACCAACTTTCGTACGGAACTGAAGTTTATGCACCCAAAATTTCGAGTTCACGTCTGTACTAGAACGAATCAAGCAAAACTGTGTGTATAGGTGTAGGAGATAGTGGGTTATGGTGCATGAGTACAGGGCGTGATCTGTCCCCGGGGAAAATTGCGATTCCGCGGCCGCGTTTTTTTCCGCGTTTTTTGCGATTTTTTAAAAGACCGCGTTTTCCGCGATTTTCCCGCGTTTTTTGAACTTTTTTGTTGCACTACACGTACACACAGTGCACTGTTCGGTCAGCAACGTCTCATCGTGGCGGCTTTTTACTCAAATATGACGAGTGCTTACACCAGAGACTTGTAACTGATTGATTTCACTACATACTCACTGAAAATTGCCGCACATCAATATTATTCACCGCATATTTACCGCATATTTACCGCAAATTCACCGCAAATTATGCCATATTATGCCGCGTTTTTTGCGATTTTTTTCCGCAATTTTTCCCGGGGACAGCGTGATGCAGGCAGTGTGCCACGCACTGATCTATAACCACAGCTGAATACTCTAATACTCTTGTTATAATAATAAATTATTAATTATGGACTTCTGCTAGTCGCTACCACTATTTCGTCCTGCTATAAATTATATAAAGACTGAAGAAACATAATTCATTCTCTCTCTCCCCGGCAACTGGTAAAATCATGTACCGGTAACAAATAGTTGCAACTACCATATCTACATGTATGGTCAGTGCTGATAATAGTATAGTTTCTAGTAAACTTACGCGATGGGTGGCAAGTAAACGTGAGCGACCATTAGTCGATTGCTCATGGTGATGCTTGGTAGAAAATATTCGTCGGATATCATCAACCACAGACAGTGACCCAACTCGTAATATACAAACAAGATCTATCATACTATGAACGGTTGGAGATTCGAATCTCCGTTTCTGAGCAAGAATTCGATGATCTGTGGATTTCAGATCTCGCCTCCATCCTGCCACGCCTTGCTGGCGGACAAATAGACGACAGCTTGGATAGGAGAGCGAAAGAACTGAAGAACGCCTCAACAAGCAACTTGAATACATCGTCGACGCGTCCACAGTCCACTACTTGCAAAGTAAGTTTGCTTCAATTAATTTTCAAATACAAACATGAAAAAATGAAAGATAGGCTGAATCAATCATCAGATCATGTCAGTGAATGCACTTCATTCCTTCACTGTTTCATTTGCGAAAGGCTAAAGGGACAAGCCCAACTATTTTTGCGGATTTTCTGTCATAAAAAATAAACGTCACAGGCTGCTCTTCGTAGGTGTCCGCGTCCCAGCGGTCCGGGCAAGCGACCGCACCTCAGTGGGACACTTGGCCGTGGCTTTTGTACTGCAATCTGTGGGAGAGCCTTTCCAGGGGTAGTACACACCTGGCCTGGGTACCGGGTATGGACGAATCCCTGGTGTTGATCCTTTTTTGTTCCTTTCCTTTTTATTTGTTTTTGCTGAGAAAGAAACGTTGCTGTTTCTGTTCCCGCCAGCGCTTTTGCTCTAGTAAAACATTGCTGGCTGATAAATGGTCATTGCTCGTGATGCCAAAGGTGAAGGGAAGCTGGGTTTCTTGCCATTTGCAACTCCCTGTCTCTGAAAATGTAGCTTGTAGCTCCGAGTATTTTAGTTTTTCGACGTGCCAGACCTATTGGTATGAGCTGCAGAGATGAGGAGCAACGAAGGCGTTGGAATAATGCGTTGGATTGATGCCAATAATGGTGTTTATGGCCGGACAACGCCAGCGGTTTTCACTTGTCAGGAGGACAATCAAGTTGGAGCAGGCAGATGACAGATTATTAATTTTGGCGCATTTTTTTGCAGAGTGGGTGGCTTCAGCCGCTTGCCGAAGAGAATCATCTCAGTACCTCATGGTTACTAGGATCTGACAAATGCCTCTTATTGCTAGTCTGCATTAGAGCATAGCAGAATTGATCATGTCACAAGTACTAGTAGTGTCAAGACTTGATATGCTACGATTGTACTCAGATCATGTGGCAACTTCACGGTAATTCGTCCTGCCACTTCACGCTCTCCCGGAATTCCCTGCAGAAGTCACGTGCCTTTGCAGGGGACGACGTGTTTGCATTGCTAACTGATGCAAGCGGATGGAGTGCAGAGCAGATAAGAAGACATAATCTGGCTATTCAAATAGCTTCGGCTGCTATTAATTGGCTGAACTCCTGGAAACGTGGGCAAGAATCTAAACCAGTCCACGGAAACGATGTGACGCCACACAGGAAGCTAAATGGCAAACCAATCAAGTTCTTTGGTAATGAAACCTTTCACCAACATTGTCCGGTTGCATGCCTAGCGTCAATCAAACAAGACCAATGGATGCCACATGTACCTAAAAGATACGCTGTTGATCAACCACAACTCCAATACCACTGAGCAGCGTCTTCTATACAGATCCAATTAGATATTGAAGTATATGAGTCGAAGTTGCTGGTATAGTCTCTCCTAATGACCGCGTATTTGGCATAATTTTCTCTATACTGCACTCTAGAGCTACTTACCTTTTCCGACATTGAACTCAGGCAGTGACCACTCGCCCACAGAATGAGCCAATTGACACAGACACCAAGTACCATGTGCATCCGTCGCAAGAGAGACACGCAAGTTTGCAAGTGCAGTGGATGTACACCCACTGATTTTCTCTTATGCCAACGATATCAGACATGACCTGAGTGAAACATATCAAGACTAGCACCGCATTACTGCCCAATTCCGTAATTATAATTATTGCAATGCCTTGTGAAAGGATTCTCAATGCACACCTGGTCTACGCCACAAGGAATACATCGGATGATAATGACCAAGACAGCTGCCTATGTCTCTCTCTCTTTCCCTCTCTCTCTCTCCCTCTCTTTCTCTCTCTCTCTCTCTCTCTCTCTCTCTCTCTCTCCCCCCCCCCCCCCTCTCTCTCTCTCTCTATCTTCATCTATATCTATCTATCTATCCAATCTGGGGACAGAACTGTTTCGTCCTTTGTGGACTCATTAGCACAGCACAGAGAAATGAGGCCGAACCTGATTGCAATGAAAAATAAATTCCAAAGCCATATTTAAACCAGGGCCGAATATACTGTGCCAAACATATCTCTCTATCTATCTCTATCTCTTTATCTCCTTGACGGCACACTGGGTCCCCTGTTTTCGCAATTCTCCACCTATCAACTCCCTTCTGTGTGTGTGTGTGTGTGTCTGTGTGCGTGCACGGGTGCAGGGTATATGCGCACATATCTTTCCTTCTCTTCCTGTCTTTACCTGGTTTGTGAATCGGCTTTTTAATCGCATTTTTTTCGGCTCACTGTTTTATGAGTTCACCTCATTATTGCACACAGGCAAGCAGTCAGGCAGCATTACAACAAATCAGCTTTGCTTCACTCCTGTACAGTAGTGTCTACTACACTCTGCTTTCGCCGCATTCGACAACTCTCAGCACTCTAGATCTGTGTGCATTATGCGGCTACCTACTTGTATTATACTACTTCAGTATTAGAAATCCAACGAACGAAATCTCTCGTATCTGTGTGTCTCCACATGTTTCTCTGTCTGTCTGTCTCTCTATTCTATTAATCTATCTATCTGTCTGCTCCCCCTCTCTCTCTCTGTGTCTATGTGTCTCTGTCTGTGTCTTGGTTTTTCTGTATGCCTGTCTTTGTCATTCTCTAGCTGTCTGCCTATCTCGTTCTGTCCGTGTGCCTGTCCCTATCTGTCTGTCTGTCCATCTGTCTGTCTGTCTGTCTCCCTTTCTGTTTCTCTGTCTCCATCTGTCTGTCTCTGTTTCGCTGTCTGCTTCTTTTCTTCAGTCTTTCTCTGTGCGTCTCTTTTTGTCCCTCACTCGGTCACTTTTCTCTGTCTCTTTCTTTCTCAGTTTTCTCTCTCTGTTTCTGTGTGTGTGTGTGCGCGCGCGTGTCCTCTCTCTTCTCTTCTTCTCTCTCTCCCTCTCTCTCTCTTTCTCTCTCTCTCTCTCTCTCTCTCTCTCTCTCTCTCTATCTCTCTCTCTCTCTGTGTTTCTCGGAATCTTCGTCTCGGCCTTTCTGTCTGTCTATCTGTGTTTGTCTGTGTAACTCTCCAGCTGTCTCCCTGTCTTGGTCTGTCTCTGCTTGTCTCTCTATGCTTGTCTCTCTATGTTTGTCTGTCTTCTTGGCACTGTACTTATGTCGCTGTTTCTCCGTTTGCTTCTCTTCTTCTGTCTCTCTTTGTCCCTCTCTCAGTCTCTGTGTCTTCTTCCTTCTCGATCTGCCTCTCCCTTTCTCAGTTTTTTTTCTCTCTGTCTCTCCCTAAGGACCCTCTGTCTCTAGCTCTCTGAGTCTTTGTGTCTGTCTCTCCTTTTGTCATACATTATGTGCGTCCCTCTGTTTCTGTCTCGGTCTTTCTGTCTGATTGTCTGTCTCTGTCTGTTTTCTCCTCAGTCTGTGCTTTGTCTCTGTCTCTTTCTCTCTGAGTCTGTGTCTCTGTCTGTCGGTCTTTATGCGCAGCATCCCTCTGTTTCTGTCTTTCTGTGTCTGTCTCTATCTCTCTACCAGCCGCTGTTCTACACATAATGAAATTGTGTGGCACCGCGCACGTGGCTATGCGTGGGACATTCACACGCACACACACACACACATCCGTACGCTCGATCATACAAGTACATGTAGTAGTGAAGAATTCACCTCAGACACATTATTAAAACGTATCTCTCTTTCTCTCTCTCTCTCTCTATGCCTGCCACTGTGCTGCATATACAGTTAGTGAAATTGAATGGCACAAAACACGTACATGACTGTGTATTTACCCACACGTGGGGCATTCACGGATGCACCCACACACACCATGTATACGCCCGTCGCAAGAGAAGCACCAAATCTGCACATGCACACACACTTGTACGCTCGATCATACAAGTACACATACACACACTCATACGCTCGATCATACAAGTACAATGTAGATTATGTAGTAGTGAAAAATTCACATCAGAGACATTAAAACGTCTCTCACTCTCTCTCTATGCCTGCCACTGTGCTGCGTAATATTATACAGATAGCGAAATTGGTGTGGCACATAACATATACATGACTGTATATTTACCCACGGGCCAAGCGTGGGACATTCACGGATGCACACACACACACACCACACACATGACCTGCAGCAAATAACATTTCATAGCTACAAGACCTTCAAAGAAAGCCATGGTGTCAAGAAGATAGACGCGTACAAGGATAATTGTAAAGTATAAATTATATTATACATGTACATGTAGCAGGGATATTCTCAGAGAGTCAAACTACCGGATGAAATGGCAAACGAAAGTCTCAACTTCAGAGAGTAGAGTGGGTGGGTGTGCAGACCAGCGAAGGTCATAACAAATTGATAATAACGTGTAACCAATGTCGGCAATGGATAATGTGTGAGCGACCAAAGAGGCGTACATAGCATGTCCTGTACCACCATAAACACACTTTGACCTTGCCCATTGCGTAGCAATGATACCGCATTGTTATTTCTCCAGTCCACGACAGAATGACTGATGGCGTTTCAGGTCGCCGCTTCGACGGAACATGCGGCCGCAGGCGCAACCGTAGCCAGCAGCAGAGGGTGCCTTGTGTGGTCGACGGGCAATGGCACGCCACTCCGGATGGTTCTGGGCTGCATCGTACCATCCACATGTCGGTACCGGTGGCTCAACCGACGCAAAGTCATGCATAACGACGTCCCTCCACTCTTGCGTGGATCACGTGCGGGGTGCGGGGCAGGCAGTTCACCGAAGAGAACACACTTCGGCAACCGGTGATCTTCCCTCCGTGCCACGTGTCCAAGCCAGCGCAAACGTCATTCCCGTATGATGTGACCAATGTCCTCAGGCACTCCAAGGGTCTTTCCAAGGGCTGAGGACGTTGCGTGGGTCTCCCATTGCTGCCGTCGCGACACTCCAACGATAGATCTGACACATTGATGGTGGAAAAGGTTGAGGTGTCGTAGGTCCGGAGCCTTCGTTGTCCAGGTCTCCGCGCCGTACAGGAGGGTAGAGAGCACCACGGCAACATACACGCGACGACGACACTGCAGACTCAGTGACCGGTTCTCGGATACGGCTTGCTTCAATTGCAAGGAACTAAATACGGCAAGCAAATCGAGGGACATTAGGTGCAAACCTCGTTGTTCTAGTTGTCTAGACTGCACGGGGTCTTGAAAATACTGAGCCTCCACGTTGTATCTGTGTGGCATGTGGCATCCGTTGATCTCGTTTGAGTAGTAGTAGGCATGCACTGCATTATGTTTTGATGAAAGGTTCGATAGCTGATGAATGGGTTTATCATTTGGCTTCCTGTGTGGGTATTGCTTCTGTGGATTGGTTTGGAGCAATGTTCAGATAGTCCAGGCATCAGGCAAATTTATAATGGCGGTCCAAGCTAGTTGAATATCCGGATCACTTTTTCTCATCTGGTCTACACTCCATCCGCTTGCATCCGTAAGCAATGCAAACGCATTGTCCCTTGCACAGGCACTCCTGCAGGCAATTTTGGGAGAGCGTAAAGTGGCAGGACGGATATTCCCGTGAAGTTACAACATGATCTGAGTATAATCGTAGGACATCAAGTCTTGACACTACTTGTGACATGATCAATTCTTCTATGCTCCAATGCAGACTAGCAATAAGAGGCATTTGTCAGATACTAGTAACCATGAGGTACTGAGACGATTCTCTTTCGCAAACCACCCAATCAGCTATAAATGCTCAAATAATCTGTCATCTGCCTGCTCCAACTTGACTGTCCTCTTGACAAGTGAAAATCGCTGGCGTTGTCTGGGCCATAAACACCATTATTGGCATTAATCCAACGCCTCCCTTGCTCCTCATCTCTGCATCTCGTAACGATAGGTCTGGCATATCGAAATCTAAAACTAAAATACTTGGAGCTCTTATTTGTTCAAGCTATATTTTCAGAGCCAGGAAGTTGCAAATGGCAAGAAACCCAGCTTCTCTTCACCTTTGGCATCACGAGCTATGATCATTATCAGTGAGCAACGTTACTAGAGGAAAGTCGCTGGAGTGAACAGAAAGCTTTCCAAGCAGCAACGTTTCTTTCTCAGCAAGAACAAACAAAAATGAAAGGAGCAACACCAAGGATTTGTCTATCCCGGTATACTAGTAGGTACCCGGGTGTGTGTAGCCTCTGGCATGGCAAGGTTCTGCCACAGATTTCCAGTACAACGGCCACGGACAAGTGTCCCACTGAGATGCGGTCGCTCGCCCGGACCGCTCCGACGCGGACACCTGCGAAGAGCAGCCTGTGACGTTTATTTTTTTATGACAGAAAACTGCAAAAATAGTTGGGCTTGTCCCTTTAGTCCTACCCGTTTCATTTTGGTTTTCATGCATTGCGCCAGATCCATTACCATGATTACGTCACTTGTTTCGCATGGCGCTGTCGAACCTCTTTTTAGGACGAACATCAAGGGACCGATGATATTTGTTCGCAATAACGGGAGTTCTTCTTATGGTTTACCCAGTGAATACACAGGGTTATATCCAATACAGTTACGAATACTAGTTCTTCTTAGGCAAACATTTGTCTTATCAGTGTTCTTCCTAACGAGGTTTCACTGTATTATCAAGAGTCCATAAATTTATGGACTCTTGTTATTATTTATATCAACCGAGTTTGGCCGGAACTGATGATCCCTATCTACATGACCATACTCGAGTCCAGAGTCAAGATTCCACTGAACAATACAACACTAGTGTCACTACGTGACTCAGTGAACAGTTGACTGAGTACTGCAAGTGTCACACCCACAGACTCTTACTCTTAGGCATGCCCTCCCTTGGTGGTGTGTATATCTCCATATACACCACTACATAAGGGAAATAACTTTTGAACTGGCAGTAGTTCAACGGTCGGCTAGGAACAAGCCATTAGGAATAGGAGGCCACACACCGTGAATATCCGGGAGCGGACTGGGAATAAACAAAGGGACCTCGTGTATATGTATATATTATAACAAGGAACCGAGTGTATATATACACCAGTATGAAAACCGAGGCGAAGCCGAGTTTTTTGAACTGGTGTGTATATCTCGTTATACCTCACTCCATATACACTTACAGTCTTAGGCATGCTCTCCCTTAGTGGTGTATATATCTCCATATACACCGCTAAGGGAAATTAGCAGTAGTTGTCAGCGAGGAACAAGCCATTAGGAGGTCACACACGGTGAATATGGAGAGGTATAAATATATTATAACAAAGGAACCTCGTGTATATCGAGATATATACACCAGTTATAAAAACCTCGGCTTCGCCTCGGTTTTCATACTGGTGTATATATCTCTATATACACTCGGTTCCTTGTTATAATATATACATATACACGAGGTTCCTTTGTTATAATAATATTAATTTTATACCTTTCCATATTCACCATGTGTGACCTCCTAATGGCTTATTCCTCACTGACAACTACACTCGGACGTCTCTTATCCGGGCACCTTGGCTTGGGACCGGGTACTGCCCGTATCTCAGATTTGCCCGTATCTCAGAATAACTCATCTACCATGTATCATATCACTTTTTGAAGAAGTTTATTTGGAACGTATTGCACATGTTCAGGATACAAAAGGAACCCATTGCTAAAAATGTGTGGATTACATAGGTTGGCAGTGAAAAATAAGCACTTCCGAATACGGAAAAAGTTCAAAACCCCCAAATTCGAAGTATTTGTGCTATAGGAACTCAAGCTAAAGGTGCCCGGTAAAGAGACGTGCCCGTATCTGAGGCGTCCGGATAGGAGGCGTTAGAGTGTACTGCTAATTTCCCTTAGCGGTGTATATGGAGATATATACACCACTAAGGGAGAGCATGCCTAAGACTCAGTAAGTGTATATGGAGTGAGGTATAACGAGATTTATACCTCACTCCATATTTGTGAACCCTCTGGTTCTCTAAAGTATCAGGAACGAACGACCCCACACGGCACGAGGACAACTATTTATTCTCAACAGTATATTTCACTTCCATCGACTAATAACACTGAACAATGACTGACTGAATGAACAACTGAAACTAACTGAATAACTAACACTAAAACCACCAGGTAGTTATAGCGTGAAAATGACAGCGTATATGAGAAAAGCATACACATACAACATACAACTACAGCGCACACAGCCAACCGCACATAGCGCCTGTAGCGTATGCCACGTCGTAAACATCAGCGGTACGGCGGAGTCGGGATACAGCTGCATTGAAACGAACACAATGTCACAAGCGAGAAGGCCTTTCACTCTCGAGAACTTGTCGTTTCACAACAGCATCAGTGCTCTCCCAATAGTGGTGTATACATGTATATCTCCATAAACACCGCAGGCCCGTCACACCCACTTTGGAGGTGGGGCGGCCGTGGAAGGGGGGGGGGGGTCCGAGGCCCGGGTCCTCCCCCGTGAAAAAATTTGCAAGCATTTCCAGGCATTTGGTGCCACTTCAGTGTGTTGTAGCGCAATGAAAGACTTTTTTGATTCTGCAATAAACCACGATCGGGGACAAGGATTCTTCATTATTTGCCACGTTTGGGCTGAGCTGCGATCATGGAGTGTGCTCCAAAAAAAAAAACGGCCGAAAAAGTGGGGCGGCCTCAGCCGCCCCAGCTGTGACGGCCTTGCACCGCTAAGGGAAAAAATAGCAGTCACATGAGTTGTCGGCGAGGAACAAGCCATTAGGAGGTCACACACGGTGAATATGGAGAGGTATAAATAATTATAGTATAACAAAGTAGGCTTCGACCAAATATGCTTGCGCATATTTGCGCATATTTTGCGAGACAGTTCATATACTGTAAACCGGGAATGATTATTGCGATGGTCTAATTTCTGCGAAATTCGCGACCACGTGGAAATCGCGAAATTTAGACAGCGCGAAAAGGAGATCCATGAAAGGTTTAGCAAGAATGCCACAGGTTTAGCAAAAATGCCATTCTGCAATCGCAAAATTAAAACCTCGCAAACCTGTCCGGATTCTGAAAACTCGAACTATAAACACCGCGAAAATTTCACGCTTTACAGTATGGTAATAGCAATTTTTTATCTCCACGTAGATTATTTACAGTATGGCATATTATATATTGTAGAGAGGTTCCGGAGTACGACTTTTCGTGCCAAAATCCGTAGAGGCGCTACGGATTTTTTATACGTCGTTTTCGAGCAGTGAAATGTTCCGGAGTACGGAACTTATGTGTTTGCCGTCATTGCCTAGGTTACGATTGCAAACACGTCACATTCCCGCGCTATGCTTTTTATTTTGAAAATTTGTACCGAAATCAAAACTTCCCGCGGAAAATCGATGTTTCTCGTACCAAATTTGTACTCGAAAAATCTTTCTGCACCCGATGACGCAAAATCTCCATACGAAACATGGTTCGTATGAAAGCCAGTCCACACGGATTCTCCGGGCCGAAAAATCGTATGGAGCACGCCTCGAAAAAATCCGTGGCGCCCACACGGATTTTGGCACGGAAAATCGTACCCCGGAACCTCTCTATTGAGCGACAAAGGGAATATTGGAATGAAGGCAGCATATAATTCAAATATTCTGAAGAAAATGAGGACAAAACATTCATATTATGGACAAAATGCGTTCAGAAATGCCTTTATGGATGAATTTGGAATGGCTGAGGCGTTTGCTACATTTCCCCATGGATGAACACTATCGCTACGGTTGCTGGGGACACACCCCAGCCATACTATTCCGCATGTGTTTTTAATTTGCACCATAAGCATGATAGCCGTGAAGCCAATGAATATTCCAAGGTTGTAATTTTACTGAAATGATCTACACTTTCTGCTTATGTCGAGCATATTTTGGCATATTTTGGCATATCTTTTTGCATATCTTGCTAAGCCTTTGGCATATTATGGACGTTTCCCTGATATGCGATGAGCATAATATGCTCTTTTTTTAGCATATTTGGTCGAGGCCTATAACAAAGGGACCTCGTGTATGTATAGGATATTGACCAAGACGAGGTCTATATGGGAAATATAGGCCGAGTAAAAGACCGAGGTCCGCCGAGGTCTTTTACGAGGCCTATATTTCCCATATAGACCGAAGTCGAGGTCAATATCCTATTTATCACGATTCCTTTGCCATAACCCCAAAATTTGAACCTTTAGGAGCTATTTTAACCTTTTTAGTACTCGTATAGCGTTTGTACTATAGTGTACATAGGATGTTGCCTATTTTGGGTACAAGACTGTAAGAACAACAGGGTTCAGCATCTGCAGCACAGTGGCTGGGTGGTATAAGGGGTTGCTTGAGATTCATACTGTTGTGAGTTCGAATCCTGCTTGTTCTCTTCCTTTGTCTTCTTTCTTTTAATTTTTCTTTTTGAAGTGGAGAGAAAAATTCTAAGTCCCTCCAAAGTCGAAAGATTACAATGCCTAAGTGGTCGATACAAGCGGTCGATATTGCGGCGATATGGGTAATATAGGACCAGTCAACAGGTCAAGGATCACGAGAATTAGGCTGCGTTTACACGACAATGCACGGCCAGTTTTCCGTTTTCAGTCCCGCATTTCTTTTTTCGTTTTCGTACGTTTACACGATCAAAGCCGATCCGAGGTGGTCTCCGTTTGTACCGTTTTCAAGCGTCTACACGAGAGCAAAGGATCCGCCAAAGTTCGTCATGTGCCAAGTGTTGCCGTGGAAGCACCAATCACACTCAAGTAATGGTTGAAAACAGGCACACGACAACACACGTCACATGACGAAAATTGTAAAAACAATTTTTTGGATTGTCGGATCCGTGTAAACGGCCGAAAACGAAACAAACGTGACGGAAAACGAGGCCAGCACACCGTTTCGACTGTTTATTATTATTATTACTTGCATGTACGCGTTGGAGTCGACCATGCAAGCATGATCCACAACTTCGCTTATGCTGAACATGATATACAGGACTATGACAGGGGAAAAAATGAGCTAGAACGATGATAATAATAATTATGATACTTATATCATAATAATATACAATGTAGCTCATGGGTATTGAAGATATGTCATTTATGAATATGTCTATAATTATGAATATTGCAGCCTGAGTGATAATGATAGTGCTATTTCCTGAGTTTGACTGTTTCAGGATCTGTCGGAATATCACAATGCACAGACCCTCATGAGATCTCGCCATGCTGGTCTGTCATGGGCAATGGCTCCCAGGCTCTGCAGAGCGTCTACTATTGAACAATCCAGCATTGGCTTGGCGCAGATCTCCCACCATAAAAACTACAGCCGCGAACCACGTAGTGGAAAGCTACACAAGATGGCCAACCCATTTTCACATGTACAGACAATTTGCAAAAACGTTCCGAACATTCAGGGAGAAGACATTACTTGCATGACACATTGGCAGAACGAACAAGGCAGACTCGAACATTCCAAGATTCTGCAGCCGTTGCGTTTCAGGTGTTGGGTGGCAGCTCCGTTACTGAGGCCGTATACAAGTCGTCGAGCTCGGCTAGCCGCCGCCAACTAGTCAGCGCAACCTCGGCCACGCGCTCGCATTAGCTCCATGCCCGCGTTGACGGAGCTCCGGGTGACCAACAAGCCGAACAGCTGCAAGTCGCGACTCCACTCTCTCTGGCCGTCCGCGTGCTCTAAAACACTCCGCTCCACTCGTACTCCCTCTTTAGCCGTTTCGCTGCTCGTCAAGCCCTGCAGGCAACTTGATTTCTTGAAGGGTACAGACGTCTATGCCGTAGAAAGAGAGTTTACACACCCAAATTTATCCGGCAGAACATTTCCGTTTTCAAATTCTTCCACCTTGGCCAGCGTTTTGGTTTTCTTCCGTTTTGGTGTACAACTTTTACGTTTTGCTCCGCGTACCGTGTAAATGAACCATGGATCCGAAAGGATTTCGTTGCGTTTTCGCCCCCAGCGTTGTCGTGTAAACGCAGCCTTAGTGGAGGTCGATATAGAAGAGTGATAAGTATAGATTATAGACCGGTTAGGAGGTCTATACAGGATATATAGACCGAGTAAAAGACCGAGGTCCCCCGAGGTCTTTTACGAGGTCTATATATCCTGTATAGACCAACTATGAGGTCTATAATCTATTTATCGTGTTCTCCACGCAATAGTTTCTCTTCATATACGACATATCCTTGTAATTCTAGTATTATACTATAGCCTATACCGCATTGTACTGCATTGAAAGTCAAGATCATTGTTTAAACTAGGTTCAGCATCGGTAGCACAGTGGCTGGGTGGTAAGGAAGAGTGACTGAGATTCACAAGGTTGTGGGTTCAAATCCCATCTTGTGTATTTCTGCTTTCTTCAAAAATTTCTTTTTCTAAGTTGGAGAGAAAATTTCTAAGTCCAAGAAGTTCTAAGGAGTCAAATATAAGTAGTCAAATATATCGTGTATTTGACTAAGCAGTCAAATACGCGATATATTTGACCGCTTAGGTATCAGGGAAATTAGTGGGGTCAAATACTAAGAAGGTGATAAATCGAGATATATACTGGTGTATATATCTCCATACACTTGGTCCCTTTGTTTATTTTAGTATACATACTGTATCGACAAGACTCGAGCTCTCTGGCAGTATGGGAGCTTATGGCTGTACTCATGGTATCAAGAGTACATAACCCAAGAGTGTGCAACTCCAGCTATGGGGTCTGCGACGGCAGAACTTCACATCACGTGATGAACCCGTGCACTCTATATCTAGTGCATGATAGATACTGGGTTGTACGCAGCCCAGCTTTGGGTACAACTCTCTTGTGGTCACTTTGCACTGTTTGCCAGCATAACCTTTTGAACCATGTCACGTGATGTGAAGTTCTGCCGTCGCAGCACAGCATAGAGGTTGTGCAGGCAGTTGCACACTCTTGGTTATGTACTCTTGATGGTATCGATTCTCTCAACTTAGCACTGAATTATAAGGCTGAACAAGCCGTTCTTGGCTCCTCCGAAACCGTCACGGATGTAATGCTCGTATATACAATGTAGCCCCAAAGTATCTACGAAGCGCAAAATAACAACCTTCCAACTTGGAAGGCTAAGGTGTGGAAAATTCCAATGAGGGGAAAGGAAGTGCAACGAAGATGTGCACGAGCTATGTCCCACGGCAACAAAACATGGTGAATGTTACAGGGTGATGACCGGAGACGTTCCTAAACATCAAGACCGTGAGCCAGGACGTGCGGTGGAGGATTCAGAAGCAACATCACCAGTCCAGTAGCCGCTAAATCCTGAATCCTGACGTCGTGCTCTGAAAGCCTGTACTACAAGTCTACATGTAGCTGTCGCGATCAGTTTCCAACACTAGTACAGTCATGTTATTTGTACACGTATATCACGTATATGTATGGAGTAGTGACTTGCTACAAGTACTCAGTGTAGTTTTGTCCGCCTTGGTTCACAGGCATGTACAGGTAGTTGTAACAGTACATGACAGTGTGCTATTCCATAATGATGTGCTGGTATGGGATGATGCATTTCCGTGACCGTGTTGTCACAAGTTTTGGCCCTCAGTACAGTGACTAGGTGACCTCTCTTTGCGCTGTTGCTATCACATCACTACTGTATACTGTAATTCCGCGCATATAAGCCCATGGGCCTATATCCGGATATAAGCCCACCTCCATTTATAAGCCCATAGGCTAATAAACAGACACAAATGCAACTCACGTGTCAAGTAGAAATTTTCACAAAATGGACTCTTCCTACCATGGTACAGCAGTTCAGTGCAGTTTACCAGTAGATTATGGTAGACTGACCATGAGCACGGACTTGTACTTTTTCATGAACCTTCAAAATTCGAATATTGGCCCATGGGCTAAAAAACGAACATTTACTGGACACTTTATCCCCAAACTGCATTGTTTCACATAATGTAAGCCCATGGGCTTATATGCGCGGAATTACGGTAAGTACAAAATTTCGTTTGGAATTAACCAGTTTCGCTATAGGCGTTAGGCCGGCCAAGGAACTACAAGTTACGCTATACTGTCCACTAACACCACCAGTTACTAAACAATCAGCTCATGCGATAACATGAGCTGTTAGCCAGTTAGTTGTAGAACGTCAGTACCGTCGGTCAGTGTCGTGCAATGTTATCGCATGAGCTGATTGTTTAGTAACTGGTGGTGTTAGTGGACAGTATAGCGTACTTGTAGTTCCTTGGTCTTTCTCTTTTGTATAAATTAAACTCTGGCTCTCCATCTGAGTCCATTCCTGCACACCTGATGAGCCGTCTTTATCTATACGGCGAAACGATCGTCGTGTAAAACTGCTGCTTGCTACCGCTGCTTATCGTCCATCTAAATTGTCATAGACGAAGTACAGTGCTGTTTTACGGAGGCATTCGGTTTTTCATGATTCTTGTTCGCATAGCTTCCCCTTTTATTGATCTTCGCATCTTTTGAGCCACACAAGTTGTGTGGAATGTTGCTTTGCGTTCTTGAATCGTGGTTTGACCGTATTGTCCAATGGTCTTGCCAGTATCGTCATCGACATGCATGAACATCCGCCAACGTCCTTCACAGCTGAGACTTTCAGCTCGTGCTTATCTTGGTTGCGCTCACCTTCCCCTCCGTATGTTATTTCTATAACTTAGAACCTTCCAAGTTGGAAGGCTGTTGGAGTGCGCATCCAAGATGTGCTAGCGCTGTTAGCCAGTTAGTTGTAGAATGTCAGTACCGTCGGTCAGTGTCGTGCAATGTTATCGCATGAGCTGATTGTTTAGTAACTGGTGGTGTTAGTGGACAGTATAGCGTAACTTGTAGTTCCTTGGTCTTTCTCTTTTGTATAAATTAAACTTTGGCTCTCCATCTGAGTTCATATTCGTTAGGGGGCACGAAATAACTTAAAAGTTTGTACCAAACTAAAGTTTTTTTCTGAACGTTCGGGGTGCTTGACCAAAAACGAAATTTAGTACGTTACAAGCCTGCAGGCCTGCTGGTGGAGCGATCTAACGAAAGATTAGTGGAAGAGCTTTGAGGATGTGGATGTGATAATCATGACAGAGGAGCCTGAAACTCACGGTTCCAGGTTTCAGTGTATTTTGTCTCCGAGAAAACAGGTTTGATCACCATGGTCACCGTAACTGTCGAGTGATGCATGTCCTGCATGCCGGGATCATGGAAGCTGTACTGGGAAGCGCTGTTTTTGAAGGCGTGAAAGGGCGAGCTTGACTTAGGCTAGTTCAGCCATGTCAACAAACTATTATTACTTACGTCTTTCGTATGTAAGGCCGGCACCAGATCAGAGCGACAAGCTGCATGCAGCGAGCAGAACAGAGATAGAGTATTATAATATTATTATAGGTCCACCTAGAATTAATTCGTTGTTTCGGGTCACTTCACTCATCCGTACCAGGGTCGGTCGGTCGGGTATATTTTTATTTTATTTTATTTTTTATTTTGGTTACGTCCATGCACATGTACATCGAATAGCTTTTGTCCATCTAGCCAGTCGATCAAATCTGACTGTAGTGGAAACAATCCAGCGCAGTCATTGTCCCATCAGATCCAGGTCCCCTCCAGGACCAGATATTGGCCTCGCTGGCAAACGAGTCTGACCGGCGAGCAGCTCTCACTTTGAAAACTTCTGTAAATAGCGACAAGGTGGCGGAGCTGATGCTGTTTCAGGACCGATTGCGGATCGGAGATAGAAGACAACGTCGTCACCAAGCGCTGCATCCTGTCATTTGGCTAGCCATGGCTGCTTCTGAGGTGGATATCTGGACTGCTATTATTAGGGTCGCGTGTGTACATAGTCTAGTCTGTACATTTGCATGCACTATAAAAAAAAAACATTTTGCGGTCGGGTGAAAAAAGACGGTCGGATCGGCTGACCCGAAACAACGAATTAATTCTGGATGGCCTAGTATGCCGGCATTTCATATCCTACTCTTCGACCGTCGCACCATACATGACATTGTAAGTAATTAGTTTGCTGAAGCCCACAACTAAGTATTAGTTCAAGGCACAAGCAATGGCAGAGTCAATGGGAAGATTGCTGTCGGCGGTGGCCCTGAGCACGCTAATACTAGTATGTTGCACATTGTATTGTTCCGGAAGGTCAGAAGCCGGGAAAGTCCTCGCTCCAAGGAAGAACGTACTCTTCTTTGCTATTGACGGTAAGTCCTCGTACTTCGAAGTACTAGTAATGCAAATTCATTCATTCAATCATACGTACCGACTTCTACTTCTACTTCTAGTCCAGTCCTCCGCCTCGCCCCAGCTCCACACTACTATCGTCCAAACTCACTCATCTCGACGCCTCGAGGCGCTTTGAGCAGAGTAAACTTCACTGAGTAAGTAAAAGTAAAGTTCGCATGTCCGCGTTACGACGGGACACTACCAGAAGCTTCGCTTGTGCCAGGCCACCACCATGCCTGAAAGTGAAATACCACGGTAGCAGATATATGCAGCGCCTAGCGGCGAGCGTGAGGTGGTAAGTCTTACAACCAATGCTCGACATGACACGACAAGTCACAAGTGGGCGAACCTCATTACTGTAGGGCTGAAACGATCGTGGATTTTCACGTATCGATTACTCTTTAGCTTAAAGGGGAAGTTATTAAGGCAAAAATTAAAATTTCACCAGTTGTAGTCTTCGGGGTGCTGAGTCGAATGGTCTTGGTCCGAGAAAGCTGAGACGCTCCCTTCCTACTCAAATCCCAATCGAACTCGCGCACTTCCACCGAAACTGGGTGACTGCGCCCTACTAGATGGGGATTTGTATGCAAAATGTCACTAAAAGCGCCATTTCGTTCTTATAAAAGCATGGATGACCGCGATTGGCCCATATTGTAACCGTTTGAAGGTATTCTTGGAAAAGACAATGCTTGCTCAAGGCAACACAACTGATATAGGGCACTTCGTGCCCTAAGGTGATAACGCGCGTGCTGACAGGATAGGGAAAGGTGCAAGATACAGAGCTAGAGGGCAGATAAGGTTAGCGCTAACAGGGAACTGTTACACCATCCCTCCCTCCTAAGCGAGGCACATGTGCCTCCAGGGAGTCGAGGAATATGTGGAAAGGGAATAATCAAAATGAAATCGTGTCAACCCAACAACGCTCATCTAATTGAAGCACCGTGCAAGGTAACCAAGGACAGTCAGGCGAGTGAAGATAACGGAAATGGGGAAAATCTAAAACAGGAGGGGAATGGATTGCTTAACACAACAAGGATCAAGTGGGAATTCTCAAGGTACACGTGCAATTGGATTTGAGCGAGTAACATTTCGCTGTAACCATAGTGTCACTAACATGCCCTGGACGCCCTGTAATGCCTCAGAGCAACTATCGGCCTACCGGCCTCGTCCAGCAAGTTCTCTTCTGGCTCCCAGGTCGCTTCGTCGTCTGGGTGCCCTTGCCACTTGACAAGGTACTGAGTCTGATGCCTTCGCTGGCGATCGTCAAGAATCTTCTCCACCATGTATCTGGTCTGACCGTGCAAGTCAGTGAACGGTGGCGGGGGTGGCTGCCGCCTGCCGGGAATAGTATTCTGCTCATACCGGCGCAGAGCAGTGACATTGAAGACAGGGTGGCACCGAATAGCGCTGGGTAGATCCAGCTGATAGGCGTTGGGTCCGATCTTCTTGATGATTGGGTAGGGCCCGAACCACTTAGGGCGTAGCTTCTGTGAAGGCTGATCCCGGGCTTCTGCGGTTGTTAGGAAATCCTTGTACACCAGCACCATGTCGCCAACCTTCAGGTTGCTGGGCACCCTTCCCCTGTCTGCATACTGAGCTTGTCTAGCCTGAGCGGCAATCATGGCGTCCTTTGCCAACTTGACGGCATCCGCCCGATCCTGGAGCCAGTCTGGGGCACTCCCTCCTCCCCTCCGTGCCAGGAAATCTGGTGGGGACTTGGGATTAAGTCCATAATTTAGATAAAACGGCGTGCTAGAAGTGGAAGACTGATATGAACTATTAATTGCAAATTCGCAAAGAGGCAGAAGCTTGTCCCAATTATCTTGTTTGTGGTTAACAAACGCTCTAAGCACATACTCAATTACTCTATTCATTCTCTCAGTCTGCCCATCGGTCTGTGGGTGATTGGCAGTACTAAACGACAAGGTGGTACCCAATTGATGAAACAATTCCCGGAAAAATTCAGAAGTAAATCTTGGGTCCCGATCACAAACAATAGTGGAACTCAAACCGTGTAATCTAAACACATTCTGGAGATACAAATCAGCAGAACCCTTAGCGTCAATTTTGGAAGTCGTGGGGACTAAATGGACACATTTTGTAAGCCGGTCAACAAATGTATAAATTGCATCAAAGCCCTGAGGGGTCTGGGGTAAGCCAACGATAAAGTCCATGGAAATATCTTTCCAGGGGGTGTCTGGTACTGGGAGCGATTGCAGCAAACCGGATCTAGGCAACCCACCCTTAGTGCGCTGACATATGCCGCAAGACTTAACAAATTTCTTCACGTCAAGGCCCATCTTGGGCCAGTAGAAGAATTGACGAAGCCGGAAATATGTACGATCCCGTCCCTGATGGCCTGCCGTAACACAGTCGTGGTACTCCTGCAGGAGCTGAAGCCTTACTGCACACTTGGGTACACACAAGCGATTGTTTGGTGCTGCACGGAGGTATAGGTACCTGGACTCTTCATCCCAATAGTACCGCTCGTGTAGATTATCAGAGGAATCGCCGCGCAGCCGCTGAATTATTGGGGAAAGCTGCTCGTCATTCTGATATGCTTCCGAAATCATCTCAGCAACCCTATCACTTAGTTCCAAAGCAAACTCAATCGTATTCAAATGGGGTGCTGGTAGGATGGGTGGGCAATCCTTTTCCTCAACTACATTGCCAATTGCTGACCCGCGCAGATCAGGGCGGCGGGATAACGCATCAGCCATATTTTCCTTGCCGGGTTTGTGATTAACTGTGAAGTCATAGTCTGCAAGAAATTCAACCCATCTAGCTTCGCGCTTAGTGAGATTGGCTTTTGTGCTCAAGTAGACTACGGCCATGCTGTCACTGAACACTTCAAAATGCTGGAATAGATAAATTCTCCAGGATCGCAGTGCAAACACCACCGCCAGGGTTTCGCGTTCTGCAGCAGTGTAATTTCGCTCCGCTTGTGACAGCTTACGACTGGCATATGCCACAGGATGCCAAGCACTATCGCTTTCCCCCTGTTGGAGAAGGACGCCTGCTATTGCAAAATCACTTGCGTCTGTTGCAACTCTGAAAGGCTTCTGCACGTTTGCTAGTTTCAACAGCGGTGCACTCAACAAGGCCTGTCTCAGGGATTCGAATGCATGCTGACGGGGGCCACTCCATTCGAACCTGGCATGTTTGCCAGTGATCTCCTCTAATAGCCGCGATATAGTAGAGTAGTGCTCAATAAATCTTCTAAAAAAAAAAAAAAAAAAAGTAAATTATCGTATCCGTTCCCGAAGGGAACTCACGACGGCCGCTAACACCCGATAAACCCTAGCGGCATCTTCTAAAGTAGTTCGCAAAACCAAGGAACTGTCTCACCTCCGTAACTGTCGTCGGTGGCTGCCATTCCCTCACTGCTTTAAGCTTCTTTGGATCTGGAGCGATACATTCACCGTCGATGCGATGCCCTAGAAACAGAACATCCTTGACACCAAACTCACATTTCGACTGCTTACAGAATAGCCTATTTTTCCGGAGCGTCTCAAGAACTGTCTGGATATGTTCAAGATGATCCTGCCAGGATTTGCTGAAGATAAGAATATCATCCAGAAACACTACCACAAACCGCCGTAAGTACGGTTGGAGAATACTGTTCATCAATGACTGAAACGTGGCAGGGGCGTTAGTTAATCCAAAGCCCATAACCCGGAACTGGAAATGACCGAAGGGAGTATTGATAGCCGTCTTAGGTACATCTTCCTGACGGATCCTAAGCTGATTATATCCCGAGCGTAAATCCAGCTTACTGAAGTATGATACCTTGGGTATCAAACAGGTCATCAATGTTTGGGAGGCAAGCTTTGTTTTTGATGGTGATCCTGTTCAAATTCCGCCAATCACAAACCATGCGCAATGAGCCAGACTTTTTAACGAAAAAGACTGGGGCACCGTATGGTGACTTGCTGGGTTCGATGAAGCCCTTGCGGAGTCTGTCTGACTTTCGTCTGTCTGACTTTCTGTCTGTCTGTCTGTCTGACTGTCACTGTCTGTCGTGCATTCAAAGTTTGCTGTACTGTGAACGTCCGAGCAGCAGCTCGTACAGCAGGCAGTGTTGTATAAATCTGGGAGAGGACACATGTGCAAAAGCTCAGGCAATCAGTGTGCCTCCTGGTTCATGGAGAAGCCCTTGGCAGAAATTGCGTGGACCTCAGATTGTTCCGACTTTTCAAGTTTTGGAGACGTTTTCACCGTAAAACAACAAGAGTATGAAACACATGACTCTCGTCAGCTAGCTGTCGACATACAGTTAGGAATGCCCAAAAGTGGACTGAATAATAGACAAGTAGAATGTTCGCTTTCCATCGTTTGTGAAATTTCTTCGGCCATGTCGGAAGACAGCAACTTTAGCAGACACCAAGTTACACACTTTCTGAACCCTGCTGCTGGCTGGAAAGTGAGATGTTCATCTATCACTAACTGAACCAAGGTGTTTGGCAGAGCTCGTAGGGGTAAGAGCCTTTCCTTTACAAGTCCAGGGCCTTGGCAACTTCATGCACTGCTGGCAGGCGTGGCCGCTATGCATATCCAGCGGGGCGGGGTGGTAAGTCTGAGACCGGGATTCTCGTGCGTAACTAAGGGCGCGTTCGAATTGTCTTCATCAACTGTTCAAACAAATTTTATAAAGAGATTAGTTGAAGTGTCCCATTAGAACAGTTTCTATCATTTTAAGAGTTTTTCAGTGGAATTGTCATGGCGATGATGACGTCCGATCAGATTGACCATTTCCACGTACTACGTGACGTAGCTATTCCAAACTCTTCGAAACTAATCCACCTCTCCCATCGGATGAGGTTGTGGAGTTTCGAGGAGCTTCGTTTTTCTGAAGGGGCCAATAAGGCCACCTCTTCAGAAAAACGAAACTCCTCGAAAAGTCAGAGTGACAATTCGAACGCGCCCTAAGTAACTGTTACTTGCCCAGACTCACTACTCAGAGTACTCCGAAAGTGAGGGTAACATGGATGCAGCCAATGAGTAGGGCTGAAACGATTACCGTAATTCCGCGCATATAAGCCCACGGGCCTATATCCGGATATACTAGTAAGCCCACCTCCGTTTATAAGCCCATAGGCTAATAAACAGACACAAATGAAACTCGCGTGTCAAGTAGAATTTTTCACAATATGGACTTTTCCTACCATGGTACAGCAGGTCAGTGCAGTTTACCAGTCGAGTATGGTACACCCATTATGGCCACGGACTTGTACTTTTTCGGGAACCGTCAAAATTCGAATATTGGCCCATGGGCTAAAAAACGAACATGTTTTACGGGATATTTTATCCCCAAACTGCATTATTTCACATATAAGCCCATGGGCTTATATGCGCGGAATTACGGTATACCGAATAATCGAGTACTCGTTTGATAACTCTAACGATCGAGCAACCGTTTAGTTTACCGATTACGATTATTTTGCGTTTTTTAAATTTGTGTCCAGAAAGTACTGTAAACCCTCGTTTTATGAAGTTTGAATCAGTTTTCGCTGGGAGTATGCAGTTGCCAGGGGTATTATTATTATTATTATTATTATTGTAGAAGAGAAAAGGACATATGGATACGAGTTAAGAGTAACTCTCCATCACTGTAACATGATACTATATACAGTCAGAAAGTGCAATAACTAGGCACAAAACTGACAGAGTACTGAAACATTCGACGTCCTGACACCTAGCTTCAACACATCTCCGTAGCGCTAACCGACAGCCTTCCAACTTGGAAGGTTCAAGGTTATGGAAAGACCAAAGAGGGGAAGGCAAGCGCAACGAAAACGAGCAAAAGCTACAGTCCCAACGGAACGAAGAATGTCGATTGTTACTGGACGATGACGAGACCAGTACGATATTTGACAAAGCGGTCTAACTACAATTCGAAGCAGCAAAGCAGCACACCACCCAACTTGGGAGGGTCATAAAATATCAAAGATAAGTAAAGAAAGGGAAGCTTTGCGAAAACGAATTGTACAAGCCGAAAGCCAAACTCCTACAGTACTCCTCATGCATGACATTGTGATGGACTAGTTGACTACAAAACAAGTGGTTTCACACGACGTACGTTTCGCCGTATGGTTCGTGACGACCCCAAAGGCAGACAGACAGTCAGACAGACAGTCAGTCGGTCGGACGGACGGACGGACGGACGGACGGACGGACGGACGGACGGACGGACGGACGGACGGACATCAAGACAGACAGGGTGTACAGATACAGGAGATTGTGGGACAGATACGGACGAATAGCGCAGGGAATTTTGAAACCGTCACCAGAGAAATGCAATGCCAGGACAAGCAGTGTGCATTTTACGATCTTTTATCTCCTTGCTGCTTTTGGTTCTCCTGCCTGCTTCAGACCTCCGTCCTGACCTTGGCGCGTACGGTGCAGATTTTGTCATATCACCTAATATAGACAAGCTTGCCAAGCGCTCTCTGCTCTTTGAGCGTGCATACTGCCAAGTATCTTTCTGCTCACCATCACGGTATGTAGAGAACACGGTATGTAGAGAACACGGTATGTAGAGAACACGGTATGTAGAGAACATGCACCATTATGCATTCTACTACTCTTTTGAATGCATGGATGCATACACGTACACGCGCACACACACACACACACATATACACACCGGCACACACACACACGCGCGCGCGCACACGCGTGTGCACACACACACACACACACACACATTACTACAATTGCTACCATTGAAATTTGAAACCAGGCCAGCCTGATGCCGATCGCCTGGCGAAAGCAACGAAAAAACCGCAGAGCTCAAATTTGCTCCATGCATGATGCCCTAACTAACAGTGAATATCACTGATTAGTGCTCTTATGTTCAAGCCTCACTGTTGTACTGTTATAATCAAGAGTGGTAGCAGGTTCATTCTGCCGGGCTTGGATGGAAGCTTTGTCAAGCTGTCCCTTGGTGCCTTTTGTGCTCTAGAACAAGTCTTCTGACTGGCCGTCGTCCGGATACCACACATGTCTGGCAAATTAGTGGTCAGGAGTACTGGAGGCAGGTAGTTAATGCTACCTCACTTCCACAATACTTCAAGCAGAATGGTGTAAGTCACTTTCGGCATGGTGAATCAACACACTGTTAAAAAAAGCCTAAATCATCTTTTTTGCACCGGGGGTAAAACTAAAGGCTTTCGAAAATGCAACATGAGTAGACTCCCAACTTTGATAAAAGCCTGACCGTGGCTTTCACCCTACTTGTAGGCTCAGTGACTGCCCGCAGTTGCATCACTGGTATCCTGATTGTGCACGACAATTACGTTGATGCCTCCCTAAGACCATGACTAAGAAACAGAGGGTATCAAGTTAAAGTCCTGCTTGTAAGTTGAAGAATCCCTCCAACTATGCTGCAACCCAAACACGGTTAGGTTGTCGACCACAGTATGGTGGGTCTGCTCTACTCATCTCTCACCGCTTTAGCACTGAGCTGCATCTGCACCTTTACCCTTGAGGGTGGTGAGGTTTTTTTGCGGATAGAGAAATCAGTCTGATTCTGATGCAAGCCGTGAAATTGTTTTGATGCCCCATAACTGTTACCATGGTAATGCTATCATTATGTTATATTTTACTGTTGGATTAAATGGCTACAGTATGTTACCATCGGCATGGGGAAAGTGTTCCATCCCGGTAGTCCAAGTGGCAATGATGATAAGAAGTATTCATGGAGTCCGGAAGGCTTGCCTTACTACCATTGTAAGTACTCTACAATACATGTCAGTCACACAAGCCCAGTTTCAGTGAGCTACGAATACCGGTAGATAACTATGCTCTGGTTCACACATCCTAGTACTAGTAGTAGAAGACGAAAACCACTCGGAATTGGTTGCAGCTCAGTCAGAATTTCAAGTATTGCCTCCATGCTCTGGTTGATACTTCAAAACGTAGGTCTAATCTCCTGTATCCTCTCTCTGCTATCCAGGAGCAGCATCAGGTGCCTGATCAGTATGGGGTGGTGGCGCCGCACAGAAGCGGAGCACATTCTGCGGATGCCCAAAGAAATGTAGAATCGTTCTATTGCACATTGTCTCCACCGTTTTACGCTGCATGGATATAATACATAAATGTCGATTCAGCTGGTCTTATTGATTGGGGTTATAAAATGTAGAATAGTCATTATTAGTGATGCACAGCTTTGATGACCATTGCCCTGTCAAATTTGTGCCTGTTTCTCTTGCCTTGTGTTTTGTGATAGCTCCGATTGAGCATCGCTATGGACCAATGAATAAGACAAGTAAGACATGATGGCTAGTTCATACCGGCTTAAGTTCAGGGGTGTCTTCATAGCAGGAACTGTTGAAACATCAGAACTGATGTTGCCATCAAAACGCAACATTTTAAAATTATTACTCCAAAGGCAGCTCGCAACACGTGCCACACAGTCATACCGTCACACAGTCATAACGATGGCACTTGGGTCTTTTTCCCTCCCCTAGGGGACCACTGTGACCACGGTCAGTTTCTGGAAACTACCATAGGTGAAAGAAAGTGATTAATTTTTGAAAGGATTGGGAGAACTTCAAATTCAAAGGATCTCACGGTCGGGGAAGTGAACTGCCTGGAAAGAGAAAAAAAACGCCAGACCCACCAGGACTCGAACCCGGGACCTTGCTTGTCATGAGCAATGCTCTAACCACTGAGCTATGGAACCAGGCTGAACCTAGAAGGTGCTGACAAGTTTTTCACTCCAAAGGCAGCTCACAACACGTGCCACACATACTGATGGCACTCGGGTCTTTTTCCCTCCCCCAGGGGACCAACCACGGTCAGTTTCCACCTTTGAATTTGAAGTTCTCCCAATCCTTTCAAAAATTTAATTATTAATTAATAGTTCCACTTGAAACATCAATGAAACCATTTCGTTCATGTCACTCAAGTTTCTTAGTCTAGTCCATGCTATCACTGCTGTTACTCTAGTCCATGCTATCACTGCTGTTATATTTATTAGGTATTGCATGGGCTGCCGAAGGGTTTGAAGACAACCAGCTACCTGATGGACAGATTGCGGATAATGCTCTGAAGGTTCTGCAAGAGTTGAAGCAGAATAGAACTGAGCATGGCGAGACAAGACCATTCTTTATGGCAGTTGGATTCCACAAGCCCGTAGGTTCATAGCACGTATCACATGCTTCTGTATTTGAGTATGACCAATAATTTAGGGCTCGAACAATCGTGATTTTTCACCTCATGATTGATAACGGTTCTAACTCATACTTGTTAGGAAACGGTGTCAGGTTTGTGTGCAAAAATTACTCTGTTTCCCAAGCTATGTCTTCATCATTCGGTATAATTGTTTCAGCCCTAATTTTATATAATTATTTGACGAATTCAAATGTAGCAACTTGAGTGGTTATGATGTAAACATAGCGCAGGTGCACTCCGCCGTGAGTCATACAAATTAAGGGGCAGTACTTCACTTGCCACCTCTGTAGGATTTTAGATCTACCATTGCATTTCAAAAAGTCGGCAGTTCGAAGTTGTATGATGACTCTACAAGTTTCGGTAGATTGAGTACAACATTTTACAGCCAAAATTTACGAGCTACACTCTCTACCATCCCCTGAGTCCGTAGAGCTATCCAGAGGAATGTAACGGTATCCTCTGTCAATGTACGTGGATCTAATGCAAGAACACACAATTTTCTAATGTTCAACTGTTACTTTTTGCTAATCACAGCACATCCCCTTCATTGCGCCGAAGAAATACTTTGACATGTATCCTCCGCAAGACCAGATAGCTGTCCCGAAGCACAGATTCCCGCCGACTGACCTACCATACATTGCATGGAGCGTGTGGCCATTCTTCCACACAGTTGGAGGTGTTGCACAGTACTTCACTGGGACTGAATGCTTCACGAATGCCTCCCAGGCTTACACGGAACGTTGCATGATGCCGATCAACGCCACGCAGTACCTACGTAGATCGTAAGTCTGCAATAACGGAGTAACCGACTCACTGAGTACTGAATAGTGTGAATGCAAGTTGAAATGCTGAAATACTCGTATATGTACCACTATCCATGGCGATGGTATGCAGTTCAAACCAGGAAGACTTACTTTTAGGAGAATTGGATAATATTTCTTAAAAAATGAATTGCTGCACGGCCTCAGCCTGCACCCTGAGGAGAAATATTTGGGCGAGCTGAAATATTCCGTGGAAGAGAAAAAGGTTTCACAGCAGCAGCAACTTGTAGACCATGTATGATTGTGGATGTGGATTGTGGATGTGTATGATTGTGGATGTTTTCATTGTCACTTGAGATATTATTCATGCCATGATGCAATCTTTCACAACTGCTGTCATTTACACCTTTGCTTTATGGCTATATAAACCAGTACTAGTATCCAGATTTTTCTCATTGCTGTTTTCCTGATGATCGTTTAGTGCGTGAAACTCGGAGTTAAAACGCTTTTTCATCCTCTTATTCTTGTTGATCGTGGAGGTTATGTAAGATAGGAGAATGATTCAATGCTGCTTGACGATCAAATAGAACTTCTGCTTCTTGTTGACTGCTCTGTTATAGGTACTATTCGGCAATGACCTATACTGATGCACAGGTGGGAAAGGTCATGGACAAGATGGAGGAGATGGGCTTTGACAATGACACCATTGTCGTACTGTGGGGAGACCATGGTTGGCAACTGGTAAGACAGCCTTGCTATCCGTATTACAAAGACATTTCCCGGCATCAATTTCATCGGACTAACATGAGTGGTCACAATAGGAAGGGGCGTTTTGGGCAGAACTCCTTACAAGTACGTAAAGTGCCTCGTCCCCACAGTTCCAAATCCCCGTTCACATCCAATCTGGCATCCTCGCTAACGTTTGCCATCTGATGATGGAAATACTAGCCGGTGAGGGGCGCCAGTGTCAGCTCCATGGCAACAGCCAAGCATATCGTAGTCAGTTCCTACACAAAAAAAGATCACGAAACTCATTGTGCCTGAGGGTGGGGAAATCCTCTACAATTACAACCGAGTTGCCTGGTGATCGATCGGAAAACCTTGTCCACAGATGCAAGACTCCAGTGTGCTATCATATGTAGTGACCAGCTGTAATACAGAGCAGTGGCGTCCTGAAAGTCCTCCAAGGCTTGAAAGACCAAATCTTTGCTTCTTGATGGGTGAACCAGTCAGCCATGACGAGGCACCCTTGTCTGATAATTCAGGAATGCGGCGCTTTTCGATCACCTAGCGTCTTACAACAGCCTGTTTGGCACCGCACCACTATCTCGCCGAATGCATGTGTTTGCACCTTCCACTCCCTCACCACTTTTGCCATCGGTGCCACGATAGGCACAACATGAGGACTAGTACATGATGTTCCACTCACCCGTACTGGTACTTCAATTGGATGAAGTCTACAGTTACTACTGGACCTCATGAACATGTGGCAGTAGTGAACAAAAGGATGCCATTCAGTTGAGTCTCCAAGTCCGATAGAATAGGTTGCGACACTGGGTGATTCCTCTACATGATCATGTTCATGTTTCTACCTTCCTCTGTGTGTATAGGGTGAACACGGCGAGTGGGGGAAATATACAGTAAGTTGGGTGTTTCTGAAATACTTGACTGCATGTGTTGATAGTATACGTATCGGAGTGTCCTAATCATGGCACATGTATCGTAGCACACCAAATTTGTGCCCTGCTTAGCTGTTCCCTGATTACTATCCTTATGAAATTATGCAACAGCCTGTATGAAGTCAACAGTCTCTTTGAAGTCTACAGCCTGTATGAAGTCCACAGCCTGTATGAAGTCAACAATCCAGGCTAATACCTACTCCATGGTGATGAAACACAGAAAAAAACACAGTGAACAGGGATACAAATCGTGATCTGGGCATCATTGTCTTTTCTTATTCTCCTCCTTCTGCCTGTCGGTGTGTCTTGATGTCCTCCACTGATCCCCCCTCCCCATCTAATCAGAACTTTGAAGATGGAACTCATGTACCGTTCATGCTGCGCGTTCCGGGTGTAACTGATGAAGGCATGCGCACGAAAGCACTAGTGGAGCTTATCGACATCTACCCAACACTTGCTGAGCTGACGGGTCTGCCAGCACCACCGCTCTGTCCTCCAATGTCACAGGTGAGACAATTTAGAAGAAAATTGAAATTAGGAACCGGCTGTGGAGATGTTCTCCTAGCAGTGTACCTGATGTACATGTACATGTAGGTATGAAGTAGTTGATGTGCGAGCAGCGGAGTAATAAAAAAAGCACTCTCTGACAGAAACTCACTGCGCGTATGCACCTCGCGAGCATGATCATGACAGATTTTCGGATCGCGCACGCTATCCTAAGTTTGAACGTAGTACGAAACGTACCCGAGACACATGATGTGAGTGTTTGCCGTCGAAGACCTCATCATGCAGAGTTGCACACACTTGGAAGCGTATTGACTCGTGGCAGTACTGATATGTTCAAGCACAATCCTGTACACATAGAAATCTGAAAAGTATGTCCGGGTACCAGGTACAGATGGACATCTGAGAGCTAAGACAGCAGAGTCAGGCGCCGACGAATATTGGCCCAAGAACGTCCAGCCTGAAATGCTAAGAACGCCACGGCCTAAAGTTAAGAACGGCGGTGTTGGTTTTCCGGCAGCTTTCGGGATACATATGATCCACATATGATTGTTTCTAAGAACGTGCTATAAGAACGCAGCCGGATTGCTGAAAAATAAGAACGCCCCAGGCTAACCCCTTGAACACAACGTTCTTGGACGCGACTCTGCTGTAGTGCAGTCCATATCCCAGAAACACAGAAGCTGTTCAGTAATCGTTCTTCTGAATGCTTGCTTGATCTGATATGAGACAGTCTGAGTAGAACGTCAAACAACTTGAACTCGACGTTGGTCGTGCAGCCAATCACACCCATATGGAACACATGACACTTGTAGCTTTGGATCAACCACACAGCTCTGTATAGCCACATACAATCAAACCTCTTTGGGACGAACACCCAGGGAGTCCCAATCGTATTTGTTCTCAATAACACTAACATTTTAGTTCTTCTTATCCATATTTCATAGTCTTCATACCCAGTGAATACACAGTTGTTTCACATAAGATGCAAGTCTACTGGTGTATTCTGTCTGCACAATCATGTTGTCAATTGTGGTGTTCCATAATGCAGAAAGTGGGTACATGTGTGGAAGGTGTGAGCACAGTACCTCTCTTTCACAACACGACAGCGGCTTGGAAGGAGGCTTCATTCTCTCAATACGCACGGCCACTGTCTGGTCTTCCCAGCATCCCGGGCCATCCTCCATTCCCAAAAGGCACTGATGAAAGTGTGATGGGATATACCATGCGAACTGATAAGGTAATCATGGTAGTAGCGTTAGAACGGCATGCGAACATACATTGTATACATGTTCTATTCTAACTCACTGCAGTCCCGTTTGGTCTCCATGGAATTTGTATCCTCCCCCCCCCCCCCCCCCCCCCCACACACACACATTCATGTCTCTAGTTGTGTGTGTGCGTGTGTGTGTGTGTGTGTGTGTGTGTGTGTGCGTGTGTCAAAAATGAAGAAAGAATGTAAAAATGAAAAATGAAAATGGGAATTCATTGGCTAGAAAAAAAGTCACTTCAATCAGCTGTGTGGTGTAGACCAGGCTAAAATTAGTGGCGGTCAATTCATTAGCCTTGCAAGCTATTGAATGGTGTAGTCCCAGCACAAGTTGCTATGTCTAACATAGTTGTTCGCTATCATCGCTTCCGCGATGGGCAGGTCTAAGATCTGAGGTGTGTGTCTGTGTGTGTCTGTGTGTGCGTGCGTGTGTGTCCCATATGGTGCAGTGGTATGTGCAGTCGATTTCCAATCGAGAGGCTTCGGGTTCAATTCCCGACGATTATGGTCGCACACGTCTTTCTTCTCTTTCTCGGACTCTTCCTGACTTTTCTTTCATTGTCCTGGGTGGTTACCAACAGCCAGTGTATGCCGGAGTATGTGGTGTGGTGTGTGTGTGTGTGTGTGTAGAAAAAGAAAAATGGAAAAAAGAAAAATAGGGATTCACTGGCCAGAAAAAGTCACTTCAAACAGCTGTGTGGTGGATACCAGGCTAAAAATAGTGGCGGTCAATTCATCAGCCTTGCAAGCTGTTGAATGGTGTAATCCCAGCACAAGTTGCTATGTCTAACATAGTTGTTCGCTATCATCGCTTCCGCGATGGGCATGTCTGAGGTCTGAGGTGCGTGTGTGCGTGCATGTGTGCATGTATGCATGCATACATGTGTTGTGTGACTCCGTAATGTCACCAATGTTTCCAGTTAGATCTTCTTCAGCTTGTGTTGTGTTTCTGTTTCTATGTGCATCATGTGGCATCTGCGTGCCTTTGTCCAGTACCGCTACACAGAATGGGTCAAGTTCAATCATACAACAGCGGTAGCCGACTGGACGGATGTTTGGGGCAGGGAACTCTATGATCATACCCTAGACTCGGAGGAGTTGTTTGACGACGAGAATGAGAACCTTGTGGACAAGCCGGAAATGGCTGAGCTTGTCAAAAAGCTGCACGCCAATCTCCGTGAAGGCTGGAGGGCTGCTATGCCTGCATCCATGCGCACATGATGCAACTTCATCATGCACTAAATCCTTGGAAAATCACATTTCTTTTTTCTTCTTCCCCAGATTCCATTTCAGTATCGTCCCCATCCGGCTCACACTTCGGAGACGGAGAGTGTTATTTGGGTTGGACGGTCTGTAAGGAATGTTTCATGCCCATTTTTGAAAATACACATTAATACACTGGTACATTTAGTAACTCAGTTACTTACCTTGATTGTAGGAAGTAGTTTAGAGCACACCTGCTCTTTTCCATTCACTCTGCAACAATATCGAACTCGTTTTATCAATTCTTAAAACGTTTCGGCAGAATTACCCTCATCAATTGGTCTATGTAGTCGGCACTCACTGGCAGGGGCGTAGCACCCGCTACGACTGGTACGACCATGGCCGTACCACTTTTCGAGAAGAGTGTGGTACGTCTGGAACGTGGAAAACCGCAATAAAAAAATCGGGACCCGTCAGATCTTTGACTTTTGTTTGAGTTTGATTCATACTCGACTCAACACGGCTATTAAAGTATTAGGTACACTTGGTTCACGGCAACTTTAGTTTTCTGCACGTGAACCATAAAATTCTAAGGACTACAAATTAGTAAAAAATGTGCCAAAAGTACCCAGAACACAGGACTTTGCGTATTTTTTACAAAATTTTACCGCGGGAGGACCCCGGACCCCCTTCACAGCCCGTTCCCCTCCTTTGGTTGTACCAGTTTCCAAGCCCCTCATACGCCCCTGCACTGTTATTCTATGCAAATGTACGAATGCCAAACTGCATACCGTATGTCAGCGCCTTTAACGCGTCGCCATGGCCTTATATTCGAAACACCGCTGCTTTCCTAGATATTTTAGATGCAAAATGACTCACCCACTACGCCATGCCATAAAAGTCAAAGTCCACACAGAAATTTCAATCTAAATCCACTTGTTCACCCGTCCTGCTGGGCTGTAAGTTTGTTAGCATAGTACTTATTCCTTCATTTTTACAAAACATACTTCAAATGTCATTTCATTCATGAAGCCCATGGCTTTATAACCGAGACTGGCTTTATAATCGAATATACCACCATGGCTTTAAAGGTGCAGACATACGGTATGCTGTCGAAAATGGATATGCAGCGGTGTACACTCTGATCGAGGGACCTTTGCATGTACACCATTGTGTGAAGGCAGTGGCATGACTACACCATTGTGTGAAGGCAGTGGCATGACTACAAATTTGGCATTTTTCCTGAAGCACCTACATGTACATGTACAGTGCTGCTCAACGAAATCCAGTCGTGTCACTAAAGTTTGCGCCTTACACCATTTCGCAGCCCAGTGTTTGCAGATCTAGGGCTGTGCAATGCCCACCTGGTGCGCACTGGAGTGACAGGACTGGATTTCAGCGAGCAGCACTTCACTTCCTTCATAAACTGAAGCTCAGCTCATAAAGTCGTGCACCATTCGCATTCCGGTATACAGTCGTCCCTCTCTAATCCGGCACCTTTTGCAACGGCATTTTCTGCTGGATAAACAAGGGTGCTGGATTATGAAATCCTGCCCTCCAACCCGGCCCACATGTTATCATACATGTTTGTGTCGTACGTCAAAACGTAGGGATTTTCTGTGTCAAACCAAGTACTTTGTGGAATGCATGTCTATAACATACACTTAGGAATATCCTATGTACTGGCATGGGATATTCCCAAGTGTATGTTGCATGTGTTGTGTATGTTACAATGGTCCCTGACAGTCTGCGATGTACACAACTGCTGGATTAGAAAATCGAATTATGTACAGTTTGAGTGATTTGTTGCAGAAAATCGCTGCTGGAGGCGGAATTCAAATGCCGGATTAAAGCATAGAAAATGAACTGAAAAAATCCGTTTTGCCAGAAAGTGTGCTGGTTTGCAAGGGTGCTGGATAAAAAAGTGCCGGATTAGAGAGGGACGACTGTACAAGTTTGGGTGGTTTGCCTTCGCAGGGTGATATATCTGCCGGTAGTAACTGGCCGCAGCATATACGATCAACACATGTAAACATACTTATCTTCTAAGTTCTAACAGCAACATGTATGCAGAGAGGATTGCTGCTGAGCCGTACATAGCAGGCAATCTAGCCTAGGATTATCACTATCACTATTCTATGTTGTACTACAGCTGTAACTTGTAAGCATCCAGACTACAGAATACTTCGAAGCATAATACTAGAGCCAGCGCTGATGGCACGTGACCTGTATGTACTGCTGAGTATCCACTTACAAATGCACTGCAAGCTACTGTTACTACATGTACATACAGACACCTGGAGTAAAGTCACTAACACCTCCAGTGAATTATAGTGAGCCGAAGTGCAACAATTAAGCGCAACAATGACCAGGGTTCTAGCCACAGGAGGGGAGGGGGGGGGGGGGTGCACAGCGCCCTCCTACTCTGATTGAGCACCCCTCTGTGAAAAGTGCCCCCCCCCCGACCTTACTCATTTTGTCGATTTTTATGTTTTTTTCATGCCAGTCAACGAAAATGCAGTCGATGGTCACTACTAGAGGGTTCATAGAGAACATTGGTCTGGGGTGAAGTTGGGGGTTCGCCCCCCAAGACAATTATTTGGAAAATGGAAAAATGGGTGACAGGGTAACTGTTTCCCCTGCCGGTCCTCTACTATACTTAGTCTTTTATAGTACAAAGTCATGTACTAGTTTGATCTGGCTGGACGGCCCTGCTGAACCAACAGCATTCCAAGTAACTTTCAAGGTCATGGTTGATCATTGAGGAGAGACCAAAGAGGGGACAAAGGGCAAAATGTATGTCATGAGAAACTACTTGTTGTGTAGTCAATTACATGTAGTCTATCATATTGTTCTACATGATTGTACATGAGGAGCTGTACAGTGTACAAATACTGTAGGAAATATTGGCATTCGGTTTTGTCCTTTTCGCAAGCTGGCTTCTCATTCCGTACATAGTATCTTCGATACCGTATGTCAGCGCCTTTAAAGCCATGGCCTTCTATTCGAAACACCGCTGCTTTCCTTGCTATTAATTTTTAGATGCAAAATGACTCACCCACTACGCCATGCCATAAAAATCAAAGTCCACACAGAAATTTCAATCTAAATCCACTTGTTCACCCTTCCTGCTGGGCTGTAAGTTTGTTATTATATTACTTATTAAAAGCCCTGGGCGAGCACTACCGACTTCACCATGGCGACGAGGTACTGCCGCTTGGCGAGTCGGCATTCACAGAGGTTCGCGTCCTTGCCACTGAGTCGGATCGGGCCAGGAGGAGAATACGCGAAGCAATACAAATTCGCGACACGAGCCCCAGCATAAACAATAACGCAGGGTGGGACCTCCTGTGAATTCTCTGGTGAAGCCTTGTACATATTTCTGGCCCTGATACTCGCTCTTCCTGGATGGTGGTGGTTTAGCACCCCTTGAACTAGTGCACTGTTACTACTACTGTTGTTGCTAGCGCCTGCAATTACATGTCTGCACGCACCTAGTGCACATGTACATTCTGTTTGTTGCTTGTACCTGTGCCATTTTTAGAGTTGTCGCGTATTGCGTTATTTCTATACCTGTTTTTTTTTGGTGATGTTTTGTCCTTTTGTTCTCTCTCTCGTCATAGTGCATGCAGGTGTGATTTGTTATCAGTTTGCAGCGCTCCTCGTATATTAACCCATCCTAACCGGTGTGCCCACTTCATTCCTGATGATGGTTATTTCATGACCGAAACGTTGAAATATAATATTTTTCTGGTGAAAAGCAGTTATTTGAGTGTGAGCCAGTGTTGCTCACAACCAATATTTATTACTTATTCCTTCATTTTTACAAAACATACTTCATAATATTTAATAAGTCATTTCATTTATGAAGCCCATGGCTAGCCAGCCGGCTAGCTGTATAACTGAGACTGGGACATACGGTAATTACATGTATTATCAAGAGTTCATAACCCTGGGGGTTATGAACTCTGGGGGTTATGAACTCTTGGTATTACTATATTTTTACATTTCCCCTACGAATTCCGGGGTCGGCCGGTCGGCTCACAGCTCATGGAGAACTTACGTCATTTGTAGAACAAAGAAAACATGCATTTTGTTATGTTGGGCTTCGACAGTCTACACTGTAGTTCGGAAATTAATTATTGCGTTTTCGTGCTTTCGAAAGCAAACTAACAATGCCTACAATTCGAAATGTACGTGTACCTTATTTCATTCTGAAAGTAGTCGAGTCTGTCCATTAGGCAGTGATCATCCGCCTTCTTGATCTTGGACCTACAAACTCCCTGGCCTGATGTACAAAAGTAACATCGCTCCACAAAACATGAAAAGCTTCAAAACTGAGTGAGAGAGTCGCCTTGTTACCTCGTCTGCTCCAAAATAGCTTCACTGTCACACTGCGTTGTAGTTGTACTTGTAGAGTCATCCCAGTGCATGTACTGGCAGTAGGGAGTTTCCCTCTTCTGACTTCTTTATTTTTCACGTTGAAAACAGTCTGAGTGATACAAGATTACGATCTGCCGGGGAACGGAGGAGGCAGAAGGAGCCTCAGCTGGCTTGCTCGTTTCCATCGTTGTTCCCCTCTTTACACCACAGGCTCATGGTACTAGTATAGTGCTTGTAGTAGTGCTGCCCTTGTTGATCTACTCGAACGTTCCGGCAAAGTGTTTGGTTGAGGAGCTTGATTGATTTTTTGAGTTCAAATTGTGAAAGACAAAGGAGTTTGTGTGACAGTTGCTTGTTTATACACAAAAGTAAGTAAGTTCATGTCCCTGGACGTCTGGCTGAAGGTAAAATGCATGACGCGGACGGAACAACCAGTTCTGTTGCGAAGATCTTCGCGAATGTGTTCATATCGTTCGTTGGTGCTGGTGTCCTTGGTCTGCCATACGCTTTCAAAGAGGTAGGCACAAAGAAAATTGAAAAAAGTCAAAAGTTGTTATTTATTTTATGTCGATGGATATCCACAGTAGACGAATGCATTAGTGGAGTGGTGATGTTGCTTTGTCGTCTCGGTTCGTGTTATCAGTACATGCATTTGCAGTAGAGTACAGAGAGCTCAAGTCCTTCCCTTTTTTCACTGCTGCTGTCAGTACTTGCTTGTGTCACGTGTGTGTGTGTGTGTGTGTGTGTGTGTGTGTGTGTTTGTATGTGTGTGTATATGGTTTTGTTTATGCGTGCGTGTATGTATATGCGTATGCATGCGTGTGTGTCTATGGTTGTGTTTACACGAGGCGTTTCAACCCGGGTTGAGTTCGACCCGGGTCAAGTTTCAACCCGCCATGAACAGAGATTGACCGGAACGTTTACATGACGCGTTGCGCTTGACCCGGGTTGAATTTTCGCCCCGGGTTGATTTCAACCCTCCCCTGGAGGGGGGGGGGGAGGGTTGAAATCGAGAAATCGTACTACTGTACTTCTGTGCGTATCTCGCGCCAGGTTTGAACAGCACGCACCGCACAGGCAAATTTCGCGCGAAAGTACTGTATTCATGTGGCCATACAGGACTTTAGAAGTGGACTTTTGGGCGGCATATCAGTATTTGACCCGGGCCAACTGTCTTCATGTAAACACCCACCTATTTTTTCCATCGTACAGACTTTCAACCCGGGTTGAAAATTCTCGTGTAAACACAGCCTATGATATGCTATGCACATGGAACGGCTCTCTCCGTGTGTCCTTTGGCCTATCTCTGGGACTTGTTGCTGTAAAGTGATACACTTTCACGGGGCACATATGGTATTTTGCGTTTTCAAAAGAATTGTGCTGGTTCACGATGAGAAACTTTCACGATTTCACCTATTCAGTTGGATCTCGTTCTCTCTTTCTTCTCTTTCTGGCTCTTGTAGTGTGCTTGGATATTGGTGTCACTGTCTAAGACTCAATGTGTGTGTGTGTGTGTGTGTGTGTGTGTGTGTATGTGTGTGTGTGTGTGTGTGTGTGTGTGTGCATGTGTGCGTGTGTGTGTGTGTGCCAGCTAGTTCGGTTGGTGGGTACACTTATGCCTGATTGTGTTGGGTCTGTTGCCAACGGGCTCGGCTACTTGAACGTGTAATGTTGTACCGGCCACCTTTGTTGGTTCCAGGGTTCATATACTTTCTATTTGAAGTATACATACCTGTTAACCATGGACTGCTTCTGGCTAGATTAACTCTTGTGTAATCAATGATGCTAGTGAAGCTTATATCAGATCCACTCTGATTTAGCCACCCACACTAGTAGCACGTATTACCTTCACTGGGGGCAGGGGTAACTGCAGTTGGATCCCATGACGGATACCCTGATGCCGTCAATCCTTTTTCTGCACCTTGTCCTCACCCACTTACTGAGGTGTGGTGAGCCCATAAGTGGGATCATTTTCAAGTCCACCCAGAGTTTTGGGGATTTCAGGGGGTGTCGGCCGTTGGGCGGTTCAATAGCCAATTGAGTCATCTTTCCAAGATTCCTTTTGAGTCTCTCTCCCCTCTCCCGGGGAGACCCACGTGACCAGTTTTGGCAGTGTGTGCAACAAGTGTGTGTGTGTGTGTGCACATTGGTATTGCGTTTGACTCCAGCACTAAATTCTGGGCTGAATTTGTTCATGTCTAAAGTTTCTCTCTTTTTCATTTACACTTGACTTCATGTTGGAGCAAGCCAGTGCCTTGCGTTAGCTTGACTCACCTGCAAGTCATAGCATATGTTTGTGTATGGGTCTGTGTACATGTGTGCATATGTGCATGTGTCTGTGTATCTACGGTTGTATCTGTGTACATTTGTGTATGTATGTGTGTGTGTGTGTCTGTCTGTTTGTGTACAGGCTGGTATCGTTGAAGGCTCATTGGTGATGGTCATGATTGCGATTATAAGGTACGAGTTGAAGTTGAACTGTCTTTTCCTCAGATCTGGCATGTGTGTAAGGCACACTTGTAACTGTGTCATGGCAGAATGAACTGAAAGAAGAGTACATGTACTGCAATTATAGTGTTGCTCGATAAAATCTATATGCTTGAGGGAAGTTAGCACCTTGCACCGATCCACAGTCCAGTGCTCGCAGGTCTGGGGCTACGCAGCACCCAGCACATTCTTCACTTACGAGATCAGATTTCATTGAGCAACACTGTAATTTGTAGGGAGTAGACTTGGTCACATCGATGCCTGACAACCTTGATTTAGAAGCCAGTCTAGAAGTATTTCTGCCTCCAAGTAACATAACGGTGGATTTACCATTCCCTGACTACAGAGTGCAGTAGTAGTGAACATGGCTGGCTAATGGCTATTACTATGGCTATGTGTGTGTGTGTGTGTGTGTGTGTGTGTGTGTGTGTGTGTGTTTGTGTGCATGTGTGTGTTTGTGTGCGCGCACGCGCGCGTGTGTGTGTGCGTGTGTGTGTGTGTGTGTGTGTGCATGTGTGTGTGCATGTGTGTGTGTGTGTGTCCATGTGCTGAGAATATGTCAACTAGTGCCATACATTGTACATTCATGACTACAGTCAACTTCGCTAATAACGACTACGGATATAACGACAATTCGCGAATAACGACCGAATTTCCATGCCCAGAACAAAGTCCCATCTAACTGTATGCATTTTACTTCGGATATAACGACTATCTGAATAACGACAATTCGCGTATAGTGACATGCTTTTAGTGCCCCGCGGTCATATTTGCTGCTTGAATAACGACTTTCTAGGCTTTTGACAGCTATTTCAAGTACCTGTCAGTCAAGTACATGTACCTGTCATGCAGAAGTACCAGAACCTATGGTGATGGATCTTTACTTATAAAGAAGAGGCACCTGTGACGTGTGTCTGTGTGTGTGTCACGCTCCTTATAAAGAAGAGGCACCTGTGACGTGTGTTTTTGTGTCACGCTGAAGCGCTGCGGAGCAGCGCAGCCCTGAGCACGCGAAGCGTGCGAACAGTGTAGCACAGTGTAGCTAGCGGCCGCAGAAGCACTGAGCACGCGAAGCGTGCGAATCGTGTAGCTAGCGGAAGCAGCCACAGAAGCACTGAGCACGCGAAGCGTGCGAATCGTGTAGCCACCACCACGTGCTGAGCACGCGAAGCGTGCGAAGCGTGCGAACAGTGTAGGTGGTAGCAGACACGATCAGTACGAGTAGCAGTAGCAGCCGCGCGCAGAAACACTGAGCACGCGAAGCGTGCGAATCATGTAGCCACCTAGCCTAGGTCATAGGTAGCACTAGCAGCCGCACAAGCGCTGCGGACCACGTGAACCGTTCTCTGCAAATAGAAACATCTGCAACAAAAGGATACAAAAGATCTGCACTGACTGCACTCTGCATCTGATCTGCAGTGAAGAGCGCATCGCACTTTTGTTCGTAAGTTTATGAATTTTTTGAGCCGCTTCATCCGCCACCAGGTGATGGACAACCCTGACCAGCCTCCCGAAGGCGTAACAGACGTCCCTCCTTCTCCTTCCAACGATGAAGAACCTCCCGGGGGGGGATCCCTCACCAGGACTTCAGCGGTCTGGCCACCACCACGTGCTGAGCACGTGTGCTGTTCATGTACTTGCTTCACCCGCATGCCACATTCGGCCAGGCAACGCTGGCCGGGGGGCTGCTAGTATTATTATAAAGGCACACATGCAAGAAAATGCAGCCAAGGGGGCGGGGGCTTTTTCTTCCTTTTTTATGTTGGCTTCAAAATTGTTGGATTTACCAGCACACATATGTATACAATGTACATGTACAGTGTAGTTGTACCTGATTGTACAGTAATCAGCATACATGTACATGTACATGTCTCTGGCCCTGTAGATGGCTCAAAAAGGCATATTTTTCAATTTATTTCCCTTGCATATTGAATTTTTAGTTCCTTTCAACTGCAATATGAAAATAAAGTACACATTGACATAGAGCAAGAAAAGAGCTTGATTTTGATATGCATGTCGTACTATACAAAATATGGGTTCACATACATTCAAATAGGACTTCGGTTATAAGGACACTTCGCGAATAAGGACACTTTTCTGGTGCCCCGCCGAATGTCGTTATTGGCGAAGTTGACTGTATGTACATTGTATATAGAAAGGCAAGTGGGGTCACCAGCTGTAATAAGCGTGAGTCCTACAACAAACTCTCCTCCATGCGCTCTAAAGCCGACCATTGCTACCCTCGGTAGCCATTAGTACTCCTATAATTTCAAACAACGAAGAAATGTTTTACCCGTGACCCCTTCGTTGTTTGAAATTATTGGTGTGAGTAATGGCTACCGAGGGTAGCAATGGTCGGCTTTAGAGCGCATGGAGGAGAAGAGTTTGTTGTAAAATTCAACAGCCGAATGGTACCGTTCACAGTTTTGTTGATAAGCGCGAGTCCATATGATTATATTCTTTTGCCTTGATCCTTGAGGGTGGTGGCATTCCTACGGATGCGGAAAACTCGATCTAAGCGAGTCTCACCCGAATCGTGATTTTTTATAACTTTAAAGCAGTAGGTAGACACTGTTTCCTTGCCATGATAAGTGTGGTGTCATCGTAAACAAATGGCTTCTCTCATTTGAGTGACATTCTGCTTATGTGTTTGGATACATCATTGTCTGCCCAGCTCCAAGGCCATGCTGCTGATAATTGACTGTAAAGACTTTGTTCAGGCGAAGCGTGGACCTGATGAGGTCACGATCCCGCTAGTACCGCTGGCTGACTCCAAAGTCGATGCAACAGATGATGCAGTACAGAGTGTAGATTCACCCCGACCTGTTCGACCTAAGGTATGAACTTGTGTGCTTTTGAATGCGATTGATGTAATTAGGGCTGAAACGATTATACTCGGTATTAAAGCGATCGATAATTCCTTATCAATCAAGTAATCGTTACGTTATAGATTACTCGTTAGGGATTTTGAGTCCAAAAACTACTGAAAACCCTTGTTTTGTGAAGTTTGAATCAGTTACCAGTGTGAGTATGCAGTTGCCTTGGGCATGGTGCATATTCTGAGGTTAAATTGACTTCAAAGCTGCCATATTTTGGAGCTACCCTGCCACTAATGCAGATTTTTTGGTATTATGAAGGCCTAGCTTTTGGAAACAGAGTGATTTTTGCACAAAAATCTGCCATTCTTTGCTAACGATTATAATCAATTAATCGATCGTTAAGGTAAAGAGTAATCGATAGGTGAAAATACACGATCGTTTCTGCCCTACAGTAAGATCGGGCGCCGAAGAACACCCAGGCTAGAAAACCGGCAAAATTTAAGAACAGTCCAGGCTAGAATTATCAGATTTAAGATCACTTTTAAAATTTACAAAATTGTACATGTATGGGAGGTGAGTACATGTCATGTACACGTGTAAACAGTAACTGCTACAAGTACAGTCATTCCCATTTACGACACCCACTAGTTTAGAAGTACTACATTGCACTACATGTACATGTACATGTACATGTACATGACAAACGTCATGACGTCACTCGACTCGCCGCGCGCGTGTGAATAAGAACGGTCTGGCTAGAATCAAAAATATAAGAACTTTCCTAGGCTGCGCTCGAGCCCCTTCGTTCTTCGGCGCCCGATCTTACTGTAGATGTAATGTATGGGTGAACGCGGCTGTGTTTGAAAGTGTATACGTTTGTGTGTGTCTGTGTCTGTATATGTGTGTGTGTGTGTGCAAGTGTGTGTGCAAGTGTGTGTGCAAGTGTGTGTGTGCAAGCGTGTGTGTGTGTGTGTGCGTGTGTGTGTGTGTGTGTGTGCATCTGCACGAAGATGTACTCATGTTATCAAAAAGTCGTGTGATTACGGGCCTTTTTCAGCCCTGTTTTGTATATTTGCTGCCAAGCTTCTATTGGAGGGCATGCACAAAATTGCGGTGGACGCTTACAGAACTTGTCAAGGCCTACAATGTAGTTGGGATTTTTTCTTGTTCTTTTCTTCTCGTTATTTAGGTTTGTACAGATACCATGGTTTGCGTGTATCTCAGTATTTCTCCATTGCATGTTTGTGTTGCTGGTACTCAGTAGTCAAATCAAGCTTCACATGTTTAGTGTAGTGCTGCTACCTCTACTAGTATTTCTTCACTTAGTCTTACTCACCAGTGTGGAGAGTAGGTCCTACGCTGCCATTCTCGTTGAAGTATGCGCGCTCGATCCCAAACCCTCATTGAAAGAATTAATCCTCGCTCTACAAGTTGTAGTAAAAGCAATCACACTCCTAACTACAGTGCAAACTTCAGGCTCCCTCACAAGCTTCTTTTTTTTCTCTTGATATTTGTCACGAAAGTGGTGGACATCACGCAACTACATTGTAAATAAAAGGGGGTTTGTCAACTGACAACCGCTCTATTTAGTTGCTATTCACTCTTTAGATGAAAATTCTTTTTTTTATGTCAAAAATGTTAAAAAAATTATTGATGTTTCGAGCCAGTCACCCATCGTCAGAACGGTCATCTAAAGAGTGAATAGCAACTAAATAGAGCGGTTGTCAGTTGACAAACCCCCTTTTATTTGATATTCGTCACAAGTACAAATACTCAGGTGGAATACTGGTAGAGAGAAACTGAACAAGCAAAATGAATTCATACGGCAGAGAGGTAGTGGAAACAGCGCAAAGAAAAGTAGCCAAAACCAACACGATAAAATGCGTAGTGTCAATGGAACGCATAGAAGGAGTCGTGAAAAGGTGCATGTGTGAGGAATCCGAACGAGCGTGCAATATATTGCAACAACAATAGACAACCAATGGATAAGTAGGTCGGTAGGAAGGTTTGGTAGGTCGTCAACCACTCGCTAGTTTTGTCCATTGGCTGTCTGTTGTTGCAATACATCGCACACTTGCTTGGGGGTGTTCTTCACACTTGCACTCTTTTTGTCATTCCTTCTCTGTGTACTTCAAAGTGCAAGGTGATGTACTTTACTGTGTTGTTTTTGGCTTCTCTTCTCCTCGCTGCTTCTTTCACATTTCCACTGTATAAAATTCGTTTTTGCTTGTTCAGTTTCTTTTTTACCTGTATTCCGCCTGATGAGAAGGCAATGAAAGTGCCCGTGGAATATTTGAAGAATGTTGATTGTGAGGAGTCTGAAACTTGTTCTTTTCTTGAGTGTTATTCAAATCCATCATATCATTTTTGTTTCCAAGAGCTGACTATCTAGTAAATAGAATCCCCTGAAGAGCCATATTGAAATTTTAGAAAGGATGTGTTTTATTTTGGTTTTAATATCCTTGAAACTTTGATAATTGTTGAGTTTCGATATTCAATCCTCTTCTTCTTTTTGTGCCTTTGTTGTTGCTATTTTTCCTGCTGCTACTGTCTAGATCACCAGTGCAATGGACTATGGTGATGTTGGTAAGTGGTAGCTGATTTCCATGGCACTGGCTGGGAATAGTGTGTGTTAGGGGGATTTGTCAAGAATTTTGCTCAATTGCACCAGTTTTACCCTATATAACATCGCTCCTGTAGCTCGAATTCATTATCTACTTCAAAAGAAGTACATGAATATTGTACTGGCTTCACTGATGAGCTCTTAAAGAGCGAAACAACTGTCTAGAAGGCCTAACAATTTGTAACAATATCATTGTCTCAACAGAACTGTCCTTGCTATGTCGTTGCTGTGCGAGAGGAATGGGTTGGCCGAGAGTTGTGTTGTGGAGTTCGCTGAAAAAGTGAAAATTGACGTTTGGGCCGTGCTGGTTTGCTTTTCTGTCCATGCATGTTTAGGCTATCATGCGATGGGGACAAACGGCCGAATCTTAGTAGATATCAGTATTGTGGTGTCGCAGACAGGTGAGTGGGTGACAGTATTGTGGTGTCACAGACGGGTCACTGGGTATGTCTTGAGCATGTGGGGCCGACTGGCTGTTTCTTACCGGTACTCTGTTGTTCCTTTTTAGGGGTTTTCTACCTTCCATATCTAAGTTTTCACAGCTACATACCTGTATCTTTTATACATACCGGTAGTGGTGATCTTTTTTTAGAAAACATCATTATTTGTGTCAGAGAATTGACTTTTTTTCTTTTTGATTAGCAATGAATACCAGACAAGGCAAGATCACTGGTTTGCACTCAGCGAATCTGATTTGCCGTTGGGAACATCCTAAAGAATTACAGGCTACATTATAATGAATTAAGATGTGGTACATTGCCCGGGCGTAACAGGCACTGACCATGTACATACATGATTGTACTATAATAATTATTATTATAGTTATTGCATGCACATTGCACTGCATCATACCATAATCTATCGTAACATTGATTCCAATTTCACTGCTGTGCAATGTTTCGCTCTTGGAAACGAAGTTCGATAGCAATCTCAGCCTATTTGTAGGAATCAATTCGTAAATTGAGATTCAAATCCGGTTGAATAATTTCCTGTGTGTAGTGTTTGAGATTGCTGGCCTTACTGTTGGACTACAGTAGGACTATGTTGTGGTTGTTCTGGTTTCCTGACTCATTGGTTCTTTCGCTCTGTTCTCAGGTTTCTGCTGTGCTTACCTTATCTTCATATCGCAGAACATGGCTCAAATGTTTAAAACCTATGTTCCCATACATGAGTAAGTCCTCATTTCATATTTTATCAACACTCTCTCTCTCTCTCTCTCTCTCTCTCTCCCTCATCTATCTATCTATCTCTATCTCTGGTCTCTCTGCCTCTCTGTGTACGTTAGCTGTAGTTGATTTATAACCTATGACTAATTGCACATGGCACAATGTTGGTTAGAAATCAGGCTTGCACGAAGAGTCTCCTGTGATGGTATGGGTGCATTCTTATTAAAATTTTGGCAAATCTGTTTTGGTCCTACAAACATTTATAGTGCAGCTATACAAGGTGTAAATGCGTTTCCGTGTGCTTGCCAGTTGTGTCATGTATATCACACACACATACACACCACCACCACCACCACCTGCATGTACGCCCGTCGCAAGAGAAGCACACGCTTGCATACTGGTACTGCAGCAGTGGCACCAGTAGATCTGCTAAGTCCAATCCCATGACAAACCACATTACAAGCATGTGCCATTATGTGCTATTTATATTGTCAGTTGTGAATCAGTGAGACTGTCGTGGTATTGTTTGTAGTCACTAGTGTTGCTTAGCTGGACTGTCAATTTCTGTGCTTATCTCTGTTGTTGTTTTGTGTTGTAGGAATGGCTACTTGGCCATTTTGTTAGCACCACTTGCAGGTCTAGCTTTGTTACGCACTCTAGGAAGTTTAGCTATATTCAGGTGAGTGGAACTGGTTACTTGTACATGTATGTCCGAAGCTTGTTCATTAAAGGGGAAGTTAAGGCTAAAATCAAAATTTCACCAGTTGTAGTCTTCGGGGTGCTGAGTCGAATGGTCGTGGTCCGAGGAAGCTGAGACGCTCCCTTCCTACTTTAATCCCAATCGAACTCGCGCACTTCCACCGAAACTGGGTGACTGCGCCCTACTACATGGGGATTTGTATGCAAAATGTCACTAAAAGCGCCATTTCGTTCTTATAAAAGCATGGATGACTGCGATTGGCCCATATGTTGTAGTCTTTTGGACGCTGAGTCGACTGGTTTTGGTCCGAAAAGGCTGCGATGCAGCGTTCCTCCTTTATTCCCAATCGAACATGGTTGAACAAGCGGTCACGTGCTCCTGCGTACACCAGTCACCTGGTCACCGTGCCTGAGGGTATAACTTACTAGCCTGTTTGACCTTTTTTGGGTGCAGTCCTGTCACTCGAGTTGAACTCGAGTTGAACCTTGGTGTGAAAGTTGTTGCCTGCTGGCGTGGTGACCAGGTGATTTGGGCACCCAGGAGCACGACTCATCATCATGCTCCGCATCCTCCTCTTCGTCCCTTGACCTCCGTGCTCGCTTCCGGTTACCTACTCCAACCGGCCCCGTAGCCCGCACGCGACCACAGCTGTACGACGCGGTCGTAAACACATGGAGCTGGTAGCCACTGGTCCCGAGGTTTTCTGTGACGAGCCGGCCGTTGGTATCAGATCATTGCATGTTAACTGTGTATCTGCCACATCCACCATGGATGGTTCCACGCCAGGTGCTCTAATAGTTGACGGTTCTGATCGCAACACGAGTGTAGGAGACACCACTGGCAAAGGAACGCTCATCGGCCTGTCACACCCACTGTGCTGAGGAGCTGATGTAGACGTGGGTGCAGTCGAAATGCTGTCAGTCGATTCCGAAGTCTGCATTGGAGGCTGCACTGGATTCTTTCTAGGCCGGCCGCGTCTAGGTCGCGTAGAGCGCTGGGATTCCGGTAGAATCTTCAATGGTACGTGTTGTTTGATGCGTGTGTACAGGTGTTGAACAGTCCTACCAACATACCGGCTACCACACTGCCGGCATTCAAACTGGTAAACCAGATGGCTAAGTTGGTTGGTTGGTAGGACATCCTTCAACACCCGAAATGCGCGCATCGTTGTGAAGACTGGGCGAAATTTGACAGCGTAGTAGGTCTTCCGCACCAGAGCTCTCAACTCTCGGCAAACATTAATAGATTCTTGACCTTTCCAGGGCAGACACAAATAGATAGGGCACCTATCTGGACCAATGGTCGGTTCTTTGTCATTTACCGTGGCATGGAGTATTTTGTTGAGCACATGAACCCCACTGAATAGATGTAGTATTATCACCTTTTTTTGTTTCGCTCTTTTTCACCTTCTTTCACTTTTATTTGTCCATAAGATTAGTTCAAGTAGTTCCCATTCCATTGTTACGTAGATTCACTGATGATTGTAACAAGAAAACAGTTCTGAACGAATATCCTCGCTTTCCCTTCCTTGTGTGCCTTGCGATAATCGTACAACATTTTACACATACATGTCGACATATATGAAATGCTTACTGTGCAATTAGTTGTCTTTGTAGCTATATTAAAACTGCTGTCTCCGAAACGCTTGTTCAAGAATTGGGTGGGCAGGGATTAATGACTACTTAAGTGTACGGGCAGGGTGGTCGCTACTCGAGCACACAGAGTTGTGGAACAGCAGGATATTTGTTGTTGTTGTTTCAAATCTTTATTCTCACCGTTGTTGTTGTTGTTGTTGTTGTTGTTGTTGTTGTTGTTGTTGTTGTTGTTGTTGTTGTTGTTGTTGTTGTTGTTGTTGTTGTTGTTGTTGTTATTGTTGTTGCTGTTGTTGTGTTGTTCTTGTTGTTGTTGTTGTTGTTGTTGTTGTTGTTGTTGTTCTTGTTGTTGTTGTTGCTGCTGCTGCTGTTGTTGTTCTTGTTGTTGTTGCTGCTGCTGCTGCTGCTGCTGCTGTTGATTTTCCATACTGCAGCGCATTTGCCGACTTTGCCAATATCCTTGCCTACACCATTGTCTTCTGGTTTGACTTTGAGCACTTGAATGAAATACCGTAAGTGCTGAATGCATGCTCGTATAACCCAGTGCCGTTATTTGCACACTGACAGGATTCAGTTCATGCACCGGATCTGCCTGATCTACTTGAAATGTTTTGAAGTTGTCTACGTCGAAATGTGTGCACGCCACAATCACTGTATATGTCAGGTGAATTGCTTTGTCTGATCATCATCTATTAGAACCAATTACATATATCTACTTCGAAGTATGCTATTCATAGCTCAGCGTATATTGGCGAGCAGCCCATCCTGTACACACTTTTTGCACTGGTTAGGTCATTGGTTCATGCTTGTCAGTGCTAGGGCTGAAACGAATGCTCAATGAAGCGAACGAATATTCTTTTTCCGAATACATGCGAAACGAAGAATATTCCGAATATTCTAAACCATGCAATTCCCATGGATACCTAGTTTTATCCATGGTAACCATAGACCATTAACTGGCATACACCCCAATTACAAGAGAGACATTTGAAAAATCATTTGTCTTGCTGATTATAACACATCGAAAGAGGCAAGCCTACTTATATTTTGCACCAAATAAGCTTGATCGATGTCAAAAAGGCGAGTTTATGTACATTTACGAATATTCCTATTCTACTTTAACGAAGAATATTCTTTTTCCGCCTTGCATAGTTCGAATATTCGAATAATTCGAATATTCCTTTCAGCCCTACAAGTTGTCACAAGACCCACTGGTTAAGTCATTGATTCATACTTGTCACAAGACATGTTGTCACTGCCCATTCCTGTTGTCTTCTCTATAGGTTTCGGCCGAGAATAGCATCTGCCAGTTCATTTCCATTTTTTCTAAGTGTTGCCATATTTTGTTATGAGGTGAGTTGGTACTAGATTTATAAGTTTGCTCTGAATTTCACACCACAATGCCCTGCATAATGCCCTGCATAATGCCCTGTTAGTTTGTAGCTTGCAAGACACCTGTACACAGTGATTTATTTGTTGTGAAAATCATGTACATGTACAGTAAAACCTGTTTTGGCCAGACCCTGTACCAGACCCTGTACCAGACCCTGTACCAGACCCTGTACCAGACCCTGTACCAGACCCTGTACCAGACCCTGTACCAAGCAGAATCCTATAAGGCTGTATAGACCGGACAAATTGTCATGCACCAACGTGCTGTGGATCAAACGTGCATCCTTGGATGAAGCAGAATCCTGTCATATCAAGACAGGTTCCACTGTACCAAGGGTGTCCGGCCAGGGCAGGTTTAAGTTAGTTAGTTTAGTCCACTGTACCAAGGGCGTCCGGTTAGGGCAGGTTTAAGTGTTACTGCACTGACGTGCTGCTACGTGTGTGGTCAGTTTGCTCACGGCTTACTGTGCCAATGCTTTTAATTAATATACTGCTGCTCTTTTTCTTCTTCGGCTGCTGCTGATGTTGTTGCCATTTGCCATTGTTGTTGTTGTTGTTGTTGTTGTTGTTGTTGTTGTTGTTGTTGTTGTTGTTGTTGTTGTTGTTGTTTCTACAGGGTGCTGGTATGATTCTATCGCTCGAGTCATCAGTTTCTTTGGAGGTTCGCCACAAGTTTAAACCGTACGTCCCACATGAACTTGTATGTATTCTTTAGACCTCTGTTGGATGCTAGATGTTGTCTAGCTAAAATAATAGACTCCACATGCAGCTCTCTATGTATGGTCTGTAAAATGGCGGGGGTCAACACATGCTAAACATTACATGCTCTACAGTTCTGTCACATTTTGCCAATCCATCTCCTCTCGCCATCACCATCAGTTTGCGCCTTGCACCTAGCCGATGGGTGACGGTATCTTGCTTGGCAGGCTGGTGCATCAGTTCACGCATGGCGCATAGTTGATAACACACACCAACGGCTTCCTGGATTGGGACTCGAGTTTTGTTCCTCTTGGACTCATCAGGCAGGGCAGACCAGCTAGAATAATGGAAGCCGCCTTCAAATCGGTTTAGTTGGGATTGTTGTGATTGTTTACGACGTAGCATCTATTTCAAGGAAAGAGTACACGATTGGGAAGACCAAGAGCATTTTACGGAAATAGTAATCATGATATTCACTGGTCTTGATTTTAATATAGGCTGGCTTGTGTGTTCTTCTGTACTGCCTGTGGTGTGTGCTCTCAGAATCTTCTTGATGGCAATGGCTGTAATCACAACATTGTACGTTGGCTTTGGAGTATGCGGATATATGGTAAGAAGAAAAAGGCTATTTTCTGTATAGTCAATTTTTCTAGATCTTGAAAATGTAGTGATACACCCAGTTGGATGTGAGAGATTTGACTTGTGCAATCCAAAGACACTCCTGATATAGACCACACATGTTGTGATATATCCAATGTCTGGCAAAGCTAAAGCAGAGCCCTCCGCCATGCATGCCACCAGTTCTCCAAGTCAAACCACCCTGCATAGTACCCTGCACGAGTCTGCGCTTGCCTGTCAGGCAAGCTTTCCTACCTACCCCCCCCCCCCCCCCCTACACACGCCCTTGCATACGTCTCTAAGTGGGAAGAGCCAGCGTATTCTAACCTGTTCGTAGTTTATGTGGACTGTTTGATCATGGTAGAAATCATCCAGCATTGTTTCAACTAGGTCTGAGTGCAAGTGTGCTGAACCGTATAACAGTTACATGGTGAATCCGAGTTTAAACTTAAAATTCATCCTGTGACCGAAATATGTGCAAATTTGGCCGTTAGAGACGGATCTCCGATACAACCTGTATGGCTGCTAATAGAGAGGTTCCGGGGTATGATTTTCCGTGCCAAAATCCGTATGGGCGCTACGGATTTTTTCCAGGCGTGCTCCATACGATTTTTTCGGCACGGAGAATCCGTGTGGACTGGCTTTCACACGAACCATGTTTCGTATGGAGATTTTGCGTCATCGGGTGCAGAAAGATTTTTCGCGTACAAATTTGGTACGAGAAACATCGATTTTCCGCGGGAAGTTTTGATTTCGGTACAAATTTTCAAAATAACAAGGCATAGCGCGGGAATGTGACGTGCTAACGATCGTAACCTAGGCAATGATGGCAAACACAGAAGTTTCGTACTCCGGAACACTTTGCTGCTCGAAAACGACGTATAAAAAAATCCGTAGCGCCTCCACGGATTTTGGCACGAAAAATCGTACTCCGGAACCTCTCTAATATATTAATTTGCCATGGCAGAATGCAGAGGGGTGGGTGCATGGCATTGTGCATGTCACCTCTCAGGACTATGCCTTTTTCATCCAGAAAAGCCCTCCTCCAGTCACTGAGTGGTGCATTTAGAAAAGCAGTTTCACAGCCGAAAGTAAACAGTGCACCTCACCTTTGCTTGGTGAAGATCATATGCTGAAGCCTAGTTTGTGTCATAATGTGAAAGCCACCTTCTTGCTTGATTGCTTGTAAATGTACTTGACCAAGTAGGCTTGTTTGCTGATCAGTCTCTTAGTCAATTGTCTGTTTGTGTTTGTTTGTATGCTGTGCAGACTTTTGGTCCTCATACAAAGAACATTGTAACATTGAATTTGCCTGAAGGTACGGGATCTGCCTTTAGTGTCTCCATCAACCTGATTGTAATTGAGTATGGGCTGCACCCTGGCTTTGAATCTCATCTTGTTGTTTTCCTTTCCGTGCTGTGTTTAAGCGTCTTATGTACAGCTACCGTAATGAAGACAAGTGCTGCTGCAGATGTAGACCGGTAATGATAGGGAGGGAGGAGCGCATTGAAGTATTTTGTGTGTGTGCGTGCGTGTGTGTGTGTGTGTGTGTGTGTGTGTGTGTGTGTGTGTGTGTGCATGTGTGCATGTGTTGGTTTTCTCACAGGATTTCTACCTGTGCTGGTGAAGTCGTGCCTCTGCTTCTCTCTTCTCTTCACATACCCTGGTAAGTCATGTATGTATGTATGTATGTATGTATGTATGTATGTATGTATGTATGTACCGGTATGTGGGAATGCCCTGGTCCGTCTCAGTGATGTATGTAGATATGCCCTGGTAAAGGTAGCCATGTGTTTGTTATGGTGGATGAGCGGACATCCAAAAGGTGCATCTAGAAATGCATGTTTATTTCTTCTCAGCCATGCAGTTGCTGATGCTCTTTAATACATGTAACAACACTGTAGTCAATGAAGACATGCACTACATACAAGTAAGACTTGTCGCTGCTGCTACTGCTGCCGCTGTTGTTGTTGTCTTTATTGATCGTGTTGTTGTTGTTGTTGCTGTTGCTGTTGCTGTCGTTTTCGTCGCTGTTGTTGTCGTTGTCGTCATCATTGTTGTGGTGTGTGTGTATGCGTAAATACCAGTGCTTCTACAATGGGTAGTACAGTCGTCCCTCTCTAATCCGGCACTTGTTTATCCGGAACCCTTGCCAACCGGCGCACTTTCTGACGAAACCGATTTTTTTCGTTCAATTCCTACATCTTAATCCGGCACTTGAATTCTGCCTCCGGCAGTGACTTTTTGAAACGAATCGCTCAAACTGCACGTAGTTTGATTTCATAATCCGGCAGTCGTAAATCGCGTACCGTACAGGTGCTCTCCTTGCCAGGCCAGGCTAGGCCAGTCTGGTCAATGTTGTCCAGGAGACAACGGCAGTCAACCATACTTTCTTATTTTAGCAAGGAGTAGTGTCCTGCCAATTTTCAGGTGTGTGTGTGTGTGCGTGTGTGTGTGCAAGAGTACATGTGAACATGTTCTCTGTTTTACTTTATCACTTTATCACTGTGTATATTCCCGGAGAACAATTGAGAATATAAAGCCGTGCACCAAATACTTGGGTCGACACGGAAAAACCCTGCGTTTTGACGTACATATGATACATGCATGCAATTGGGTAGGGCCGGGTCAGAGGGCAGGATTTCTTAATCCAGCACCCTCGTTAATCCAGCAGAAAACGCCGTAGCAAAAGGTGCCGGATTAGAGAGGGACGACTGTACATGTACTGATGACTGCCTTCGTTGTGTATGATTCTGGATGTTTATCTGGATGCCTTGTTTCTTTGTGTTCTTGTGTGTCCGTATGCGTCACTTTGTGTGCAACTCACCTCTCCACACGCGATAGTAATGATGTTTCCTGTTATTCGCATCATTGAATCGCAATTCTCTCAGGAGAACATGGAACAGTGGAAATCGGTGAGTTTCCTAACCTCTCTTATCATGATGACTAATGTGGCCCTAGGTGTCCAGTGTGTGATCTGTCGCAAACCTGTATTGGTGCCCCTAGGAGGTTTGGAGAGCAGCAGTGAAGTGACTTAGTGAACGGCCTATTATCAAGTCAGCAAGATCAAGACCTAGAATGAGGAGAATTCTCGGCAATTGTCTGGTGGCCTTGCACTTTTTACTAAACTGGATCGAACCACGCAGCTTCAAAATGTATTCTCGGAGTGCATCTTCGTGCGATGGTCGGAGAAGAATAGGGTGACCGCTCTGTATTCGTGAGAGATACGTGACCTTGTCGGGATTTCCAAGTTCTTTCACGCGACCACAGTAGGATTTCTTGACCTGACACACCGTGCTCGCAGATATAATTATCACGTTCGCGCTCCTTGCTGAATTTGACTACATTGTCTGGAGCACGTGTGTATTGATCCGTATGGAAGTATGTTGAAGTTATGTTGGGATAGGATGTACCTTGGATACTACGTACACTTTCCTGCTGCCCATGGGGTACGTCTATACGACATGATCTGATGCTGTTCCTACTGCTGCTGCCGGTGTGCTGCTTTCAGTGCCTTCCAATTGCTGACACAATGTTCACCTCTACCAGCAGCAGTCCTTGAAGAGTGATAGCACACTCCATGTCTGTCTGATTGCTAATACATGTTTGACATGGATCATGACTCATGAGAAAGCTGCACAGTCATGTCATCACACATGCCCTTGCACCAGTACTACATTACTACACTTGTACGTTGAAATCAGGCCTTGTGAGCCAGTTAGTGCTGCCGGGCTCTGTTCAACCCTAGCTCTGGCAACGCTACGCTCTAAACAGGTTGGTTATGAGGGCGGGTTTCATAGAGCTTAACCATACATGGCAATCTAAACTCTTTAGGGCCAACAGCAGCCCCAAGGGACCGATGGGATTTGTTCACCTTTGCGAGAGGTCTCCTTACCTGTACTTTATGCACAGTGAATACTCGTACTTGTACATAGTAATTTGTCCAATAAGATCACACAATACTAACTACATGTATTACATGGACAGGCTCTCGTAAGTCAAAGGTTTGTCTTCTCATTGCTCTTCTTAGCCAGGTTCCACTGTACATAGATGATTTCTTAGCATGCAAAATACCCTTGTACAAATGCTGTCCGTCGTCTGGTTGTATTACGGTGTGTTTACAATGTTCCTTTCCTTTTGCAGGGTATATTCTAGAACGAATTTCCAACCGGTTACGGTCGAATGAAGAGTGGGGGGGGGGTCGGGGGGTCTCCCCCGGAAAAAAAAATTCAAAATACAACCCAAATATGGCACTCGACAGCAACTTAACAGATTTCTTGGTGCTGGAGTGTAGCAAAGATATAAGCAGCTCCATTCACCCACAGAAAAGTACGGGCGGTTGGAACTGATTTGTAACTTTTCAACCGGTCGCCAACAATTTCAACCGGTCGAAAACCGGTTGGGGCGGTTCTAGAAAATTCCCTGCTTTTGTGTGTGTGTGTGTACGTGCACGCACGCATGTGTGTGTGCACGTGTGTGTGTATACATGTGTATGTGTGTCGTGCACAGGTATTACTGCGTTTCTGTATGGTAATACTCACCATCCTCATTGTGTTGATCATCCCGGACTTCTCTGTCATGATTGCATTGATCGGCTCAACGTGTTGCACTCTCCTGGCGTTCATCCTGCCTGCCATCTTCCACATTCGTATTTTTGGCGGGTTAGTTCATGTCTGCTTTTTAAAAGGTGTTGGTCCCACGTGTTTCCGACAAAGCTTTCTTGAGATATTTCCGTTTGAAAAACTAAGTTTCGGGGGAGGCTGTGCCATGACGTCATGCAGCCACGACACACCCTCTGCAACGTCATAGCATGCAGCTAGGTCAAAAGAAGTGCGTAAAGCAATAGTGCCTGCTATTTCAAATGATTTGGCGGCCGATATAATAGGTGGCGCAAGCGACCCCGTAACTCCTTGTGAGAGTGAGGATGCAGCCATGGCTGACCTTCATGAGTTAGGTCTGCGGCTGAGAACTTACTGGCATGTACGTGATGAGAACTTACTGGCATGTGCGTGATGAGTTTGTGCACTATTGTACTCTACAGCTAGCATGCGTGCAGAGACCAGCGTGGCAGACGTAAAAAAAGTTCTCAACTCGGAACGGCTAAAAGATGGGATAATCTCAAGATTTGCCGAGATGAAAATCACAGAGTGCGTAGTGTTTGTAACACTGAGTTGAATGGTCTTGGTCCGAAGATGCAGCGACAAACGGTTCCCCAACCGAACGCGTTCTGGATAATGGCCGTTTTGTACACAAATAGATGGTGTGGCTACCTGGCTGCACGCTGTGACGTCATCACCTGGATCAGGGTGAATTTGTGCTCAAATTCGCACATGTTCGATTGGGCATATCTGACGAACCATGGACCGCAGCCTCCTCGGACAAAGACCATTTGACTCAGCGCCCCAAACTCTGCGAACCCTGAAATTTAATTTTTTTCACCGGACTTCCCCTTTAAAAGTGTGCGGTAAAAACAACAATTGGCTGTCAGTGATGGCACCACATAGTTGCAGCAACCATAACATTACTCTTCTTTAGCAAGGAATGTATTAAATGTACACCAGTCACCTTGATTCCTGACACCACGTGTGTCCATGTCCACGCCAGGCCAGTCATGTAGATCTTTGCCGGAGACGACTATTGTAGTACATGTACGAGTACTGAGTTCAAGAAGAGCAGACCTTGATGCTGCTATAATGCAGCACATACTGCTGTTGCTGCTGTGACGAATGTGGAGATGTTTAGGCTGGAGCATAACGTCACGTGTATATGTCTGTCTCTCTGTGTGGCTGTGTGTGTGTGTCTGTGTCTGTCTGTCTGTGGCTGTGTGTCTGTCTGTCTGTGTCTGTCTGTGTCTCTGTGTCTGTGTGTCTGTGTCTGTCTGTGTGGCTGTGTCTGTCTGTGTGGCTGTGTGTGGCTGTGTGTGGCTGTGTGTGTCTGCGTGGCTGTGTGTGGCTGTGTGTGGCTGTGTGTGGCTGTGTGGCTGTGTGTGGCTGTGTGTCTGTGTGTGTCTGTGTGTCTGTGTGTAGGAAACTCACACGATGGCAAATGTCACTGGACTACTTCCTCATTGTGGTTGGCTTCGTTGGGTAGGTTTCTACTGTCTAGCATATACTGCAAGTGGAAAACTTTCCCTAGAGATCATAATTCGGTATATATTCGCGACCATCACTCATTCGCAAATATAAATTGCCGCAAACTGCTGTTCGCATTGATTGTGGACAATACATGATCCAACTGAAGAGACCGAGTCGCGAATATTTCCTCATCACGAAGCAGTGTGATCTTTGACGTGAAATGTACGCACCACGGAAGTTCATTGCTTTAGTATACTAGAAGAGGTTATACGATTACATCATCGGTTCAGATGCTTTGTATGTGTAGTGGCAATGGCACGGTGCATCGATGCACAGGCTCAAGTGAAACTGCCAATTCACGCTGTTTACTTAGCACCAAGAGTACATGAAAACCAGAGCGTGCAGCTCGGATGGGTTGCTGTCACGGCGGAATTCCGTGATTACATCATTTTAGTGATGTAGTGCGTGCAAGCAGGATTCAAGCAGGTCTCTTTCTGCACAACTGCAGCTCAGTCGTACGCACTACGCCATTTCCCGGCTCAGATTTGCGCCAAATATGATGTAATCACGGAATTTCGCCATGACAGACACCCATAGTAAAAAAAAGCCCCAAGTTGCACACTCTGGTTTTCATGTACTCTTGTTAGCGCCCATAAGTGAATCCACTGGCTCAGCACCATTGCGTCATGTGTAACGTGTATTAGTCTCTGGACGTATTGTATTGTCTCAAGTTGTACATGTACACAACGTGAAATCTCTCCAAACGGTGCAGAGACACTAAGCATCCGAATTGAAAGTGTTCTGTGTATTTACCATCAGCGAAATGCTCCCGAGCGCCTTGCAAGGGGTCAAGGAGAACTTGACGCAGTTTCCTAACTTCTCTTTACTACCGCTCTGCCGTGCAGTAGGAATGTACTGCTGTCTGGTGAGCCTAACCTGTATCCTGTGTCCAATCTCATGTTATTGCAGAGGTAGCCTTGGACTTCGTGATGCTCTCACCCGTTTATAGAATTGCGTAAGTTCCCAGTTCATTTGTGACTTTTTCAAACTCTTTTAACTTTCCCAAGGCAAACAGTCCATGACAGTAGATGACATCAAGAGTACATAAACCAGAGTGTGCAACTGTGCATATCAGATCTGAAACAGCGCAGTTTGTGCACTACGTCACCCTGATGAGGTCAGCCAAGCCGCGACTTGCGTACAGCTCAAATTTTCATGTTTCATAGCCCGGAAATCAGCCAAGTTTGCTTGATTTTAGACGTCCTGTTTCAGGATTTCGGTGTTTTGTGTAACTGTGTACGCTGCCACATCCACCGACAAGTAAAGTCACCGGCTATCCGTATCAAAAAACCGAAATCAGGACAAACTCAGTGACCTGCACCACCGCGACTGGTTACGCAACTTTTCACCGTACCTGTGGCTTACCATGCCGTCAGAAATGACGTAGTGCACGAATTACGCTCCCACAGGAACCATCCCGAGTTGCACACTCTGGTTTATGTCCTCTTGATGACATCCATAGCACTCCAGCAGCAGCAGCAGCAGCAGCAGCAGCAGCTGTGCATGAGGAAATAAGAATAATACCACTGGTGCAGTGTAATGTATGCAATGTTACTGCAATACTGTGTATGTGCAGTGGTGGCAAGTCAAGTCCAACTCCAGGAGCGGTGCGCTCGCTCTACACCAACACAGCACACAACCACCCCAGCCTCAAAGCAAGGACAGGGCATGAATGCAAACCTACAGTTGTACAATGTATCTTGCAGTTACACCCAGGAACAATGTGCAGGTGTGCAGTGGTACACATGTTATATGCAAGACCAGAAAGGGAATGCCATCAAGGTGATCTTCATGCTTTGCTGTCATGCCAGGGACGCATGCACACTACTCGCTACTACAAACAGTTCGCTTTAGCCCTGCATCACTTGTAGGTAAAATCCATCTCGGTTGCCACCACTGGAACCCTGTAGAAGGCTCCAGCAGAGGGTTTTGGGGGGGGGGGGGGGAGAGAGAGAGACTCTATGCAGATAACACTGTAGATCTAATTTGCTAGAATGGGGATTGTTAGCCTATGATCATGTATCCTGGAGAACCCATCTGTATTCGACTGGGGCTCTACAGAGGTGATGGTGTAGCAAACATGAACATTATGCATGACGAATGTCACATGAGACACGTCCGCTGTCCCACAAGCGTATTCTAGTCTAGGGTATAGCAGCAATGTCGTAACATTAGCAGCCAATTGCTCAGGACAACTTCTAGTCTAGGTGGGGTTGAACTGTGAGTCCTCTTGTGTGTGTTTGTGCGTGTGCGCGCGCGCGTGCGCGGACGCCTCTGTTTGCGTGTTCATCTTGACTGTTGTGTCAACAAGTTCATACATGATGCATGATTGCAGGCGCTACAATATATATTTGTTTTTCACAACACAGAAGGGAGAATCGTATCACTACGATCATCATATTTGTTTTTTCTCGCAATGGAAGCGGTCCTCACCAATCTTGTTATGTTGCCTGATGATTGCGTAAGCATGAAACTCCGAGTAGCAACGGTTATGTATCCTTGGTGAGGACTGCTTCCATTGTGTGTACTAGCTCCAGTGCATCCCAGCACTGGTGAGCACTATTTGCGGTGGACGGGACCACTTCTCCTGTGTGTAATTGTTTTTCTCTGTTTTGTGTTGCTGCTGCTATTTAATGTTGTTTGTGTTGTCGTTGTTGTCATTGTTGTTGCTGCTGCTGCTTCTGTTGTTGTTTCAAATCTTTATTCTCACGATACGTTGTTGTTGTTGTTGTTGTTGTTGTTGTTGTTGCTCTAGTTCTGCTGCAAGATACAGTATGCTTGGTGAGGTATCCTGACTACTAGTCTCTTCATTTTAGCTTTGTCTAGTGTCTCGGCGGAATCTTGACTATTTCTTCCTGTTACATTACTTTTCATGATTGAAGTAGTCTTGTCGCACTGTTTCGTGTTTTATTTTCTACGATGCAGCTGGTCTCATTACCGCTTACTTTAACTACACCGCATGTGTTTCCTATAATTCTGTGTTTGGATTGTTCTTGGCAGGTACAAGGCTCCTTGTAGGATTTTGATACACCTATTTTTTTCTTTTCATTTTTCTTTTGCTGTCTTGATGAATTTTCCTGTGGGGCACAGCTCCTACTAGCTGTGCGTGCTTCAGCAAAGTACTGGAAGTCTGCTGTGTTCGGCTTTCATGATTAATTTTTATATGTCCGTACCGGCCTAGCTGCAATCACTTTCATGTGAGTGATTTTGCTCATATTTATATCCTCATGCTGAAGCCTGTTAGCCATTTGCAGAACACTAGTTATGATGCTGTGCTGCTTTATACATGAACATTAATTATGATTGTAGGTGCATGTAATAGTTTGTCTATTTTGCTCATTAGAATCTGAGTCTCTTGTGCAATGCCTGCTATACAATCTTTCTCGGTCTCTGGTACATAGCAACTGCCAACTGATGATGTGAGAGGTGATTATACTGCTGATTACACCAAGAGGTGCGTAAGTAGTACATGTACTCTGTAGTCTTGATAGCACCCGTGCCAAAGAGAAACCACCGCATCGTTGTGGAGCCATAGCTAATAAGCAACAGCCTGCACTGTACTTGAAGTATAAACTATTGGACTCAGTACTTTTTTGCTAGATGGCCAGATTTACTAAGGGACGTACCGGGATGGTGACGGGAAAAGATTGGTCAGACCAATCGATCGATCACAGGCCATGCAAAGCTACCGAAGGTTAGGTCCTGAATGTCCTGTACACGTATACTGAAGTCTGAGTATTTCTGTGGTGGAATGGCAGACCAGGCATGTAAGTATAAATCAAGTGCTCGCGCTATCGTGATGATCACTGGATGTCGAGTCCCCGGTACCATGGTGTACATACTCATACTGTTGCATTTTGTACAGCATCTTGTTCATGTGCTTTTTTTTAAACATTACTGAGCTATTGACTATTGTTAACCTCTAGATCTGTTCAGACCTACGTATAAAAGTTAAAAAATATTATAAAAGTGAAAAAGCTTATAACTATAATTATTATAGAAAAGAAAAAGGACCAAGGAACTACAAGTTACGCCATAATGCCCACTAACACCACCAGTTACTAAACAATCAGGCCATGCGATAACAACATTGCACGACACTGACCGACGCTAGAGTTGATAGCCAGTTAGTTGTGGAACGTCAGTACCGTCGGTCAGTGTCGTGTAATGTTGTTATCGCATGGCCTGATTGTTTAATAACTGGTGGTGTTAGTGGGCATTATAACGTAACTTGTAGTTCCTTGGTCCTTTTTCCTTTCTATAAATTTATCCTTGGCTCTCCAGCTGAGTCCATGCTTATAACTATACTTTTGATTTTGTGGGAGGGAGCCCATCTTGTACATGTGTCTGTGAGAGTGCACTTGGATCAGGGACAGATGTTCTGGCTGCTGGTCTGCAGACCTAGCAATGCAGAGTGCGCTGACCTTTCGCGTTGAGATGCTGTAGTTTTGTTTTGTTTTGTTTTTGTTTTCCAAGTATGGGGTATAGTTTGTTTTCCAAGTATGGGGTATAGTTTGTTTTCCAAGTATGGGGTATAGTTTCAATTAGTTTGTCTGTGATCATAGTACAGTGCTGGCAACTGAAATCCAAGGGGGTCGGATTTCAGGTGCCAGCACTGTAGTTGAAGTTCTGCATAGCCTGTACCACTCTACACTATAAGTAGTGTCTGTACTAGTAATGTAGAGATATGGCAATCAGCTACTCTAGATGATCAGCCGGGACAGCCACGGAACATGTAAACTATAAAAAATTATATTAAAAATTAATGGTGGTCACAGTGTATTGCAGAAATCTCAGCAGCCTCTCAGCAGCTAGCCTCATAATCTAATCCCAGTGTAAAACAGTATCAGCAAACGACAATGGTGAGCAAGCATTTAGGACAAGATAACGTAAAAGGATGTAATCATGATCAAGTGCTAATGCGGGACGCAGCAGGAGAACATAGCCGGATAGGGCACGTCTGTGTGTGTGTGAGTGTGTGTGTGTGTGTGTGTGTGTGTGTGTGTGTGTGTGTGTGTGTGTGTGTGTGTGTGTGTGCGCAGTGTGCAGTGTGCACTGTATGGGATTTGGATTTGTCTGACACTATTTTCCAGACGATGCAGGGTCTTCAGGTAAGGATGTCTTCTTATCAGTTTTACTATGCCGGTGCGTGTACTGCTCACTGAGTGGTTCTGAGTGTGATCTCGACCCAGGCAGGGCTGCCGTCTGATCCGGTTGATGATGGTGGCCTTCTTCCAACTTGCCCATGTCATAGCGGAAGTTATTGACATGGTCACCAATGTGGCGCAGATTCTTCATGACAAGATGCACATCAGGGTGGTGTGGATTGTTCTCGGGAGTGTAGTCCTTTAGCGTCTGTATACGCCGCCGTGGCGTGACGTTTGCAGCGTTGGCCTGAGCTCCGCCAGTATCTGCCTCAGGTGTGTCGTTGGCCTGGCCAGGGACATCACCTTGTCCCGGCTCCACACGCCTATCCACAGCGTCGTCCACTCCTGCCTCAGCCATTTTCTTGCGAGGTGCGCCTGCCTTAGAATGCCTGCACAATACCAATAACAAGCAGAAGGAAAGATCATGTGAAAACAAGATCCTTACATAAGGGGCCATCCGTACATATAGATATTTATCACATGTCAACTGAGTGCTTCCTTGGATCGGGCCAATCACTGATCTGTATGAGCGGGCAATAAATCAGTCCAACGCCCGCATCCAAAGCCCGTCGTCCGTGACAACCCTGACAGTGAGACTGGACGCATGAGATCTACTCCGGGATGTGAACTTGGTGACTGTGTAACAGTGCAGTGTACATGTGAACGCGTGTTCGAAAGTGGCGATCTCAGCTTCTCTTTTTCTTTTCTTTAAAGTGTTGCTGCACACGAGGTCGACTTTCTCCTTTAGTTTTGATTCTTTCAGGTTTAAATAGTGTATTCAGTAATGTTAGGCTGAAAGTGATAAATCCATTATGGCATGGTTGGTCCGGCGGGCAATAAAGGATTTCCGGTGCCCTTCAAGTGAGCCCTCGGGCCTAACAGTTACGGCCCTCTGGCTCACTTGTCGGGCACTGAAAATCCATTATTGCCCGACCAACCATGCCATAATATACTTATTTAGAAACGAAAACTAGTCGTATGGTGGTGGGGGGGGGGGGGGGGCGTGAGCGCCCGTTCGTTTCTCGAAAAATATCGATGCACAGTTTGTATGTGCGGGCACATGTCCAGAAAAAAATATCGATACTATGTACCGTTTGTATGTGTTCGTTTTCAGGGGGGGGGGGGGGGGGGGTTGAAGAGAAATGACTAGTTTTCGTTTCTAAATAAATAGTTTCGCAATCTATACCTTCGCATGCAAAGAAGCAAATCCACACAATCAAGAAGACACTTCCTTTCATCTATCACGTACGTGTTTGTACGTGTTTATGACACAGATGCAAGTGCACATCTGCAATCGCACCTCTTGCCGTCTTGGCTTGAGCTGTACAGTGTGTGCCATACTTATACATGTACCTGTATGACTTGTACATGTACATGTACCTGTGCATACGGTTTACGACACACATTATTATTATTAATGCAATGAATATAACTAAATGCGCACTCATATCACAACCATGGGGACGAATCATGTACATGTATTCCAGAACGTTTTCTTGTCATTATTATTATTATTATTATTATTGCGCACACACTCATGGCCAATGCCAATCAAGGAGGAGGTGAGGGCGATTATAGCCAGCCATGGCAAAACAAAATGAATGTGCACATCTGCCATCGATATGGCACATTGAGCGCTTTGGATTTCACATTTGGACCCAGGTTTTATAATTCTCGAGTGAACAGAATGAACGGATTGCGGCCATGTAAACAAACGATATGTCAAAATCGTAAAAGGGGATCCCACGGACCTAGCATGGCGTTATACATCGAGTGGGTCAATTCTGGAATTAGCAATTCCGCCCTCTCTTCAGAATTGACGGAGGATTGACGACGGAATTTGTGTAATCGAACGGTGCATCCGCCATAACTTCTAGAATTGACCGAAATGTGTGTAATCGAACGCGCCCATTGTGTATGCAAATAATTATGTGTACATCTCAGATGATCTGCAATCAATTTCATATTGCATATTAAATGTGAAGATCGGATATAGTGACTTTATGTTCTCTCCCGAAGGAGTGTCGTTATATCCAATCTCCACTGTAGTCTGCGCTACCATTAGTAAATACACCGGTATGGATAATAGTGGCCAGAACATGTAGCCAGAGATTATTACCGGTGTGGTGCTGTTTAGCGAGAATAGCAGCCTCAGGTGTACCTCCGACCCGGTATTGATCAGATCCGAGAGTTGTTCGAAGAAGAAGCGTTGTGCCGTGTGGCCGGTTACGAGAAGACTCGTATCGTAGTTCTAATCTATGTGCAGTAGCACAGTCACTAGGCTGCTTAGGCGCTAGCAGTACCCTCGCCAACTAATACTGTAATACTTGTCGCAGCAGCAAGCGAGCGTCCAACCTTTAAGCTCCCATTTTGCACCACCCAAACTACAAGTACTCAGTAGCCAGAGCGCTAGCGATCGCTGCGAACTAACTAATAATAATAATTATACCGGTATATTATTATTACTTTTGTCGTTTCGATCTGCCTTTTTTCTTCAACTACTAGGTAGAGGAGACGGCTCGATACCGGGACGTTTTGACAGCCAAATTTGTATAGACCCAAACCGATCATCAGCGTTGATTTTTCACTCGAAATATGTTTGTGGAAGGAAACTGGCATGTTGTAGTTTGCTCTGGGGCCAGAGTCAATCGAACTGAGCCACTCCTTTGTGTTGACCCATTGCCTCCAAGTTGCCCAATTTTTCGCTTCAAAAAAGTTCAAATCAGAGGTGGCTCCAAACCGGACACGTTTTAGAGTGCACGTCAAATTCACTCTGGGTCTGAAATTAGGTAATTGCTATCGCTCCACGACGGCCAGTATAGAGTAACAATAAGCCTTGTGTGTGCTTCCATTAGTTTTGATTGGTATGCGGTGCTTTATTGGCGAGAGGCGAGCCGCTGTTTACCTGTGACAAGAAGTTGATTTTTCGAAAGTCGTAAAACTCAAGTCGCAGTGCGAAGCAACACGTCAAAAACTCACCTGCTTGATATGGCGCTTTTGGTCATCGCAGAGCCATGAAATTTTGGCTCGGAGTATAACACATAGTAGTCTCACTGTGACATATTATGTTTTCTAATCAAAATACCAAGAGAGAAAGTGAATATTGAGTCCGTTCCGGTTTGCAACCGGTGTCCTATTTGAAACCGTCCCCTCTACTATACTCCAGTACGTGCACGTGAACCATGTGACCAAACAATGACCTAAGAACTAACTTTGACGTCTTTGTGCACACTTTTTTGTGTACTGTCCATATCAGTCTACACCATGTACCAGGCCAATTGTCTTCTGTCTTCGATGAACAATGGTCTGTGTCCCTGTCACACACTTCCAGACTGGCATGGTGTCTTGTGATTGTTTGAAACTTTCTGCCAGGGAGTCCCTGGTTTCTGCCTTCAACAGTTCAAGTCAATGATTGTAATATGGCCAGGGAGTGGCGTAATGTTGGACCACTACATTACTAGCTGGAATTGTTTATTTGTGAACGAGTTCAAGTCGGTGTTACGGTTACGTGAAGTCGTGTAGCAAGCGCTACGTCGACCAAAGTACGGTAGCAAGGTCACCGAGGTGCTGCTATTTCCAAAATACTACAGAAGTCCTAACTCAAACCCCATTGAAGCCGCCGAACGTGCCGTTATGTATCGGTGGATTTTGCTTGGGCAGAAGCTACTCGCTATCCAGGATGATATCCGTCAGCAACTTCTTCGTCCCCGCTTGGTACATGGTGGATTGCACTTGGCTACACGTGACACCCGGTACCCCGCCACGTAGATCTACTTATAAAACGAGCAGAAGTCCAAGTATATTGTGCAGGTAGGAGAGAGAGAGAGAGAGAGAGAGAGAGAGGCTTGAGGAGAGCCGTGTTCGTCCTCTAGTATGGCTGTGACACGCCATGACGATGTTGGAGACACCCCGTCACCAGCATATTCCCATTTAAGCTATACTGATGACATGATCGTACAAACGACCTGTAGCTATGCACCGGCATACGTAACATCGTTGATAGAAGTCTTCGCAGTCGCACTTGGTGATGCTGTAGTGTACACGTTCATGAGTTGGACAAGAGTACGCAGTTCATCATTGACGGTACATCCATTGACTGTACATCAGTTGAGTGTACATCCTCAACCAGGCAGTGTGCGTATTCAAGCCATTCAAGCACTTTACATTTCAGTGCTATGGTTCACACTGGCCATGACGAAGAGCTGAACGTAACGAAGTGCATGGCTCATGAAGGCAGAGGCGTGCCAGTTTGCTGATGTTCCGGCAGCTCAGGCCTGGACGAACTTGCACGTTCCGCCGGAATCGTCGGGCGCAGCACCATCACTGGTGGCATGCAGCAGGAGCAGTGCACCAGGCGCAGACTTTTATCTATGCCTTCACCGAACCCCGCTACAGCATGAGCGTGACCTCTACATCATATAGACGCACGCATAGAGTTATTGTCTGGGAGCAAGTCGATGTGCATATACATGTAGTTGGTAAGTGAACACCACTGTATGCTATACACCAGGGAGTAGTGAAATACCATTATTTCACTACTCCCTGCTATCTCTTAATCCGGCAAATCCTACATGTAGGATTTCAGCCATAATTTTGTACTTCGAAGGTTGAGAACTTCATCATGAACATCTGTTTTCCTTTGTTTTAGCCTTATATGGGGTTGCTGTGAATCCTAATATGGGTGTCCATGTGTTGTGCAATCTTAGAAATGCCATGTGGTGATTTTTCACTCCAATTTTGGAAGAGAGGTTTGGTCAAAATTGTGATCCTACATGTAGGATTTGACATCTAGTTATTGTTTTCTGGATTTTCTTTGACCATGCCGGGATGATCAAGAAAGTGATGGTGGTGGTAGTGACATAGATGTCATTGATACTGGTGATCAGGACCACAGAGAACATTGAGCAGCAGCCAAAGGTGTACACTTGTACCGGTACAGATATTGAGGCTATGCAAATGATGTCATGGTGGCGAACTGGCGGGTTCGCTTATGGGTGCTAAATACAGTGTGAGACGGCGGTTTTGCTTGAGCTAGCGCATCGCAGTTGTGCCACGGCTTTCCCAAAGCATCTCAAAATGATCCGATAGTGTAACGTCTATATAATACGTTACATGCCCTGTACTCTGACGTCACGTTGTATACTCACTGGTGACTCGAGTATTTAAATTTTTTTCTACATGTAGCTAGTTTGTCACATTCTCTTTGAGGAGAAAAACCTGCAGAAAATGCAGCAGATTTGTCCTACAGTAGAATGCAAATTATCCGAACGATCAATTGTCCAAACTGCTTCGTTGCACTGAACCGAAGGGACAAACGTGAGTTTTGCTGATCTTCCCCATGCAAATAGTGCACATACAGGTTGCTGTCATAAGGTATCCCCATGGCATCATTTCAAGGAGCTGAAGTGTGTCTAATCAAGTTCTGTGGTACTGCCGAAGAAGATGAGAAATGATGAAAAGTTAGGGGTGGGGGGTGCATCTTTTAGATTCGTATGTGGCCGCTCTCTTATCCGCATATATGTGCTCCGCATCCCAACCCTCTGTAGACAGCCTAATTATTTTTTTAAACATGAATAATGAGTATTATCACATGTCACGTGAGTGTTTCCTTGGATCGAGCCAATCACTGATCTGTATGAGCGGGCAATAAATCAGTCCAACGCCCGCATCCAAAGCCCGTCGTCCGTGACAACCCTGAGTCTGAGACTGGACGCATGAAATCTACTCCGGGATATGAACTTGGTGAATGTGTACAGTGCAGTGTACATGTGAACACATGGTGGAAAGTGGCGATCTCAGCTTTTCTTTTTCTTTCCTCTCAAGTGTTGCTGCACACGAGGTCGACTTTCTCCTTTAGGTTTGATTCTTTCAGGTTAGTGTCTTCAGTAATGTTAGGCTGGAAGTACTAAATCCACTATGGCATGGTTGGTCGGGCAATAATGGATTTTCAGTGCCCTCCAAGTGAGCCCTCGGGCTCACTTGGAGGGCACCTCGGGCTCACTTGGAGGGCACCGAAAATCCATTATTGCCCTCCCAACCATGCCATAATATACATGTACCCTCGTACTTGGGTAATGAGTGACTCGTTGGAAGCTTGTACACGAAACAAAAACCGATTTTGTTTCGTGTCGGAATTGTGTCATGCATAAAAGAGGTTTAGTGACTCGTGAACAAGGTGCACTTGGGTTGTATGGCGCACGACGGAAAGTAAAACAGCAACAGAAGTACGGGACAACTGTGCGGGTACTATAAGGATAAGTGTTTGTAGATCACAGAAGAACCTTGACTACCGGTCACAGCGCTCGATACACAGCGTGCAGAGCCTAGTACACACGAAAATCCGGTGGAACAAAAAAAGTGATTAAATGTCTCTACTCACGAGTTTCATGCTGAAAAGCAATCATCAGGAGACTGGGGCTATAGTCGGGGTTGTGTGGTCTTATTCACTATAGGTGTCGTCCCATGGCAGGTATGCAATGCTAGTGTTTCAGCGTGAAGGCAGTGTAAGTGATCAGTACAGAACTATGCGGGTGTCGTGGGGATATTATGACACCAGCCATGACGCTACCGGACGGCGGGGCAAAGGAGAATACAGGCAAAAATGCTAGTCATGCCATTTTGGCTTGGTGAGAGTTGGCACCAACTCGGGGAGGGCGCTGAAACACTAGCATTGCATACCTGCCATGGGACGACCACCGGATTTTCGTGTGTGTTTGTAGATCATATTTTCTTGTTTTGCTACGGTGGACTAGTACCAGTATCCTTGTTTGATAGCGCGATCTCTTAGCTGTCCACGAATCAAACAGCCGGACTCTTGTAAACGAATCCAGTCTAGGAGATGTTGGTGAGACTGTAACCCAGACCTGACCCATCGATTGGTCTCAAATGAGTCACTGAACCTCTCTCTGTCAATGAACCTCTCTCTGTCAATGAACCTCTCTCTGTCAATGAACCTCTCTCTGTCAATGAACCTCTCTCTGTCAATGAACCTCTCTCTGTCAATGAACCTCTCTCTGTCAATGAACCTCTCTCTGTCAATGAACCTCTCTCTGTCAATGAACCTCTCTCTGTCAATGAACCTCTCTCTGTCAATGAACCTCTCTCTGTCAATGAACCTCTCTCTGTCAATGAACCTCTCTCTGTCAATGAACCTCTCTCTGTCAATGAACCTCTCTCTGTCAATGAACCTCTCTCTGTCAATGAACCTCTCTCTGTCAATGAACCTCTCTCTGTCAATGAACCTCTCTCTGTCAATGAACCTCTCTCTGTCAATGAACCTCTCTCTGTCAATGAACCTCTCTCTGTCAATGAACCTCTCTCTGTCAATGAACCTCTCTCTGTCAATGAACCTCTCTCTGTCAATGAACCTCTCTCTGTCAATGAACCTCTCTCTGTCAATGAACCTCTCTCTGTCAATGAACCTCTCTCTGTCAATGAACCTCTCTCTGTCAATGAACCTCTCTCTGTCAATGAACCTCTCTCTGTCAATGAACCTCTCTCTGTCAATGAACCTCTCTCTGTCAATGAACCTCTCTCTGTCAATGAACCTCTCTCTGTCAATGAACCTCTCTCTGTCAATGAACCTCTCTCTGTCAATGAACCTCTCTCTGTCAATGAACCTCTCTCTGTCAATGAACCTCTCTCTGTCAATGAACCTCTCTCTGTCAATGAACCTCTCTCTGTCACTGAACCTCTCTCTGTCAATGAACCTCTCTCTGTCAATGAACCTCTCTCTGTCAATGAACCTCTCTCTGTCAATGAACCTCTCTCTGTCAATGAACCTCTCTCTGTCAATGAACCTCTCTCTGTCAATGAACCTCTCTCTGTCAATGAACCTCTCTCTGTCACTGAACCTCTCTCTGTCACTGAACCTCTCTCTGTCAATGAACCTCTCTCTGTCAATGAACCTCTCTCTGTCAATGAACCTCTCTCTGTCAATGAACCTCTCTCTGTCAATGAACCTCTCTCTGTCAATGAACCTCTCTCTGTCAATGAACCTCTCTCTGTCAATGAACCTCTCTCTGTCAATGAACCTCTCTCTGTCAATGAACCTCTCTCTGTCAATGAACCTCTCTCTGTCAATGAACCTCTCTCTGTCAATGAACCTCTCTCTGTCAATGAACCTCTCTCTGTCAATGAACCTCTCTCTGTCAATGAACCTCTCTCTGTCAATGAACCTCTCTCTGTCAATGAACCTCTCTCTGTCAATGAACCTCTCTCTGTCAATGAACCTCTCTCTGTCAATGAACCTCTCTCTGTCAATGAACCTCTCTCTGTCAATGAACCTCTCTCTGTCAATGAACCTCTCTCTGTCAATGAACCTCTCTCTGTCAATGAACCTCTCTAATATCCTCTACACTGAAGTTATTATTATTTATTATTATTTTGCTTGTTCGCGTTGGCATCAACCTGCATAAAGCAGGTATATAGCCTTCGCTTAACACACTGAAGTACATACAATAAATCAACTACTGAGGCCGGGTCCATGGCTGCAAGCTAGCTCTTTTGTTTAGCTCTTTTTGTTTCGCAGCCCAGTGTTCACCGGTCTAGGGCTGCGCAACGCCCAGCGCATACTTGAGTGACTCGACTGGATTTCATTGAGCAGCATTGTACATGGTCAAACCACACTGCAACTATTTGGAAATATTGAGCGAAGTTTTGCTTCTCATACTAGGAATAAAACCCAGAAACACAACCAATTGTTCAGAAAATGAACAAGAGAGTTAATGAACACTGGCAACAATTGTAAAGTAGCCCTACTCAAAGCATTATAATAATTTTATTAAAAAGTACAGAAACACGGTGAAATGACAACACACAAACAATAAAAACACGGAATGAAACAATAAGTTCCTCCGATGCCCACAAGGAGGTCATCAGGAAATCGAAAATGAATGCTGATACTTGTTAATAAGATGGGACGATTTTATTAATTAAAATAAATACCAGTGCCCGCACAGATTAGATTAACGCTGAACACAGAATCAGAAGCAGCGGTGAATAAAATAATACAGTAGCTCATACACGTAGATAAGCACACGCAACACACGCACAACACACGCACAGTGACAAGCTACACACTTTGGTACGCTTGTTACGAACGGGATTATCAAGGCTTCACACATGCACACGTACATTAGTTGTAGGAGGTAGCAATAGGATTTCACAATCAGATCTACAAGAAGTACCCAACGTACCCGATACAACAACGAAAACCACAAAAAAACATAAAAAAACATTGGTGTAATCAAGTACCCAGCCATGCAACATTCTTACAATGACCAGGTTGGACCTGGTGTTGACATTGCTTTGTTGGAAACAGGAAATGGGCGATGTGGAGTAATAGCGTCGTGGGAAACAGCTGCTGCAGCGTTCTGTTCCCTTCCTGGCGTCTGCAACAGCCACTGGAGCTCTTCTTTATCACGGACAAGCTGCTGGTGACTCCTATCGAGGTCACCAGTACGTTCCCGTAGTTGCTGAGCTTCTGTCTCGGCAGTTCTGCAATGAACACACAGTAGAGTGTGCATGTTTGTCAAACACGCTGCTGCTGCTGTCTGCTGTCTGCATGGGAAAACACTGAAAACTGATGAAAAACACATGCAATGATTCTTTCTGATCTGATCAATACAATATGGACTTCCACTGCTACAAGTCAAGCACTGAACAAACAAGTGTACAAGGAGAGGCCAAGTTCACACAACACAATGGTCCATGACGCTGCACACTCAGAGTTTCTATGGACCCGGTAACATACTAGTATACGCATTCCATTTTGGCACATGGTCTGTGCCTCTCCTGCAGAACCAGTTGTTTACAATCTGTATCAGCTATAGCGTACCCAGTCGTGTACATGTGCAGTCACACATACAGACAGGGAAAGCTCTTACTTTTGGTGGAATTATGAGAGCGAAGTGGACCGTACGGTACATCCACGTGGACCATGTGCAGCTTCCACGTATTTTATTGCATGCACAGTGTACGCATACAAATTGGTCATAGCGCGTCCATGGTATTTTCCGCTCCTGCAGTGCAGGTTCAGTGCATACGTATGTGACCGGGCCCAGAACAGTGCTAACGCAGTGCAGGTTCAGTGCATACGTATGTGACCGGGCCCAGAACAGTGCTAACGCAGTAAAGATACAATGCTTCGCGAACCATCGATCAGTCTGGTCCTGAGCTCTAGTAGTCTAACCATCGATCAGTCTGGTCCTGACCTCTAGTAGTCTAACCATCGATCAGTCTGGTCCTGACCTCTAGTAGTCTAACCATCGATCAGTCTGGTCCTGAGCTCTAGTAGTCTAACCATCGATCAGTCTGGTCCTGACCTCTAGTAGTCTAACCATCGATCAGTCTGGTCCTGACCTCTAGTAGTCTAACCATCGATCAGTCTGGTCCTGACCTCTAGTAGGTGCATAGTCACAAGAATACTTGGCTTACCGGTGAAGTGACCTAGTGTGATGAAGCTGTGCTTGTAGCTCCTCGTTCTTTGCACGTGCAGATTCGGCTTGCTGGAAAGCAGTGTCCAGTTTCTCAATCTACACAAGCACAGGAGTTTGGCCGGGACAAAAGTGTATATTTTTTTACAGAGAGTGACAAAAGACACAAATCAGAACGAGAAAGCAAGAGCATAATCCTGCAACACAAGAGTTCTGTATTTTCGAAACTAAAAGTGAGAAGACACATGGCACATGCCCAGTGGCATACTAGTAGGCATCCCTCAAAGACAAATAGGCAATGATATGTATAGGCAATGATATGTATAGGCAATGATATGTATAGGCAATGATATGTATAGGCAATGATATGTATAGGCAATGATATGTATAGGCAAGAGTCCATAACCCCAAGAGTGTGCAACTCTATAAATGGGGATCCGCGTGGTGGAATTCCAACATTACGTCAAAATGACGTACACGTTCGTTGCGCTTGTAGATTTTCTGCTTTGCCCTGGCTTTATGTCGAATTCACTAGAGTCGAACATGATTTTATGCCTTGAACTTTGCCGCGAACCGCCCAAGTGTGTATGAACCTCTATACCCAAAGCCGCCCTTTCGCCTGGAGTTATGGATTCTTGATACCATTGTACTACTCCCTGGTTCCAAGCACCGGAGAAAAGAAACTTTGAAGTTTGAACTTCCTGGTTCAGAGGGCCAAAGAAGCTGTTTGTTTGCTTCCAGTAGTGTTGTTGATAGTGTTCTTTCTTAGTAGCTCCCAGACCTTGAAATAAGCTTACTTGGTTGGTATATTTCTGTTGCCAATGCCTCCAAATCGAGGACCAATGTCCGACGTTTCTTCATCCAAAATTTCCACATCGATCAGTGAGGCTACTTTGTTTAACTATAACGTTTCCGTGGAGGCTGTGCATTGTTCATAGAGCAGCTAGCTAGGATCGAAGTACTCCGAACTTCATGCTGGGTTTCTTTCGACCGAGTCGGAGGTTGTCACAGAAGTGCGGTCTCATTTAGCTGTCCATTTGTCTAGAAATGAGGACACCCCACACCTTTGACCCGTTTGGTGATTAAGAGTGACTGTGAGAACTGTGAGAACAAGACAACGAGTACTTTTCATCAAGGGGAAGAAAAGTACTTCTCGTCCAAAGCCTTTCAAGTGGCAAAAGGTAAACGGACTCAAAAGGCATATGGGTAATATAGGACCAGTCAAGGATCACAAGAAATAGTTCAGGGCGATATACAAGAGTGTTTTAACAGCTTAAAAGCTCTACTAAAGTCTAAAACTCACCTTTACTTGTAAATCTAAGTTGGTACAGCGCAACTGCTTGATCTCATCAGCTTTCATTCCCAGGACAACCCGCAGTGACTCGACCTCAGCTACCAGGACTTGGGAGTTTCCCTAAATGCCACCACAGAAGGGAGAAAGCAGGCAAGTGAGAAGTGCAAGTAATGTTCGTCTCTGTTCCAAAAGGAACTCGCGACGGCTGCTACCATCCAAAACAATCCAAAATGGAGGGTGTGAACAACAAAGCACATTTATACTCTTCAAAATAAAAAATAAACAATGATCAACTCCATAGCATTGTCATTCAACATTTCGACTTTTGACAAGGCTGCGGAAGACAACATTCAGTTAGATGCTCCCCGCAAGTTTAGCTATAGTACCACAGTAAGTATAGTACCACAGTAAGTACAGTACTACAGTAAGTACAGTACCACAGTAAGTATAGTACCACAGTAAGTATAGTACCACAGTAAGTACAGTACCACAGTAAGTACAGTACTACAGTAAGTACAGTACCACAGTAAGTATAGTACCACAGTAAGTACAGTACCACAGTAAGTACAGTACTACAGTAAGTACAGTACCACAGTAAGTATAGTACCACAGTAAGTATAGTACCACAGTAAGTACAGTACCACAGTAAGTATAGTACCACAGTAAGTATAGTACCACAGTAAGTACAGTACCACAGTAAGTACAGTACCACAGTAAGTATAGTACCACAGTAAGTACAGTACCACAGTAAGTACAGTACCACAGTAAGTATAGTACCACAGTAAGTACAGTACTACAGTAAGTACAGTACCACAGTAAGTATAGTACCACAGTAAGTATAGTACCACAGTAAGTACAGTACCACAGTAAGTATAGTACCACAGTAAGTATAGTACCACAGTAAGTACAGTACTACAGTAAGTACAGTACTACAGTAAGTACAGTACCACAGTAAGTATAGTACCACAGTAAGTACAGTACCACAGTAAGTACAGTACCACAGTAAGTACAGTACTACAGTAAGTACAGTACTACAGTAAGTACAGTACCACAGTAAGTATAGTACCACAGTAAGTATAGTACCACTGCACGCACGAGGTACTGCACGCACGAGGTACTGCACGCACGAGGTACTGCACGCACGAGGTACTGCACGCACGAGGTACTGCACGCACGAGGTACTGCACGCACGAGGTACTGCACGCACGAGGTACTGCACGCATGAGGTACTGCACGCACGAGGTACTGCACGCATGAGGTACTGCACGCATGAGGTACTGCACGCACGAGGTACTGCACGCATGAGGTACTGCACGCACGAGGTACTGCACGCATGAGGTACTGCACGCATGAGGTACTGCACGCACGAGGTACTGCACGCACGAGGTACTGCACGCATGAGGTACTGCACGCATGAGGTACTGCACGCACGAGGTACTGCACGCACGAGGTACTGCACGCACGAGGTACTGCACGCACGAGGTACTGCACGCATGAGGTACTGCACGCACGAGGTACTGCACGCACGAGGTACTGCACGCATGAGGTACTGCACGCACGAGGTACTGCACGCACGAGGTACTGCACGCACGAGGTACTGCACGCATGAGGTACTGCACGCACGAGGTACTGCACGCACGAGGTACTGCACGCACGAGGTACTGCACGCATGAGGTACTGCACGCACGAGGTACTGCACGCACGAGGTACTGCACGCACGAGGTACTGCACGCATGAGGTACTGCACGCACGAGGTACTGCACGCACGAGGTACTGCACGCACGAGGTACTGCACGCACGAGGTACTGCACGCACGAGGTACTGCACGCACGAGGTACTGCACGCACGAGGTACTGCACGCACGAGGTACTGCACGCACGAGGTACTGCACGCACGAGGTACTGCACGCATGAGGTACTGCATGCATGAGGTACTGCACGCATGAGGTACTGCACGCATGAGGTACTGCACGCATGAGCTTACAGTCACATCTCAACATACTCGTTCATCAGACGGAAAGAAACAGGATTGGACAAGACCACACTAGTAGCTGCAGCATGTAACCATGGCAGCGGGCAGCAGCTTTAAAGGCGTAACTTGTGCAACTCACCTTTTGTAATAGATCTGCATTCTCGGTTTTGAGTATGGCCACCTCGGAAAGTGCAGCATCACGTTCAGTCACAACATTCTGAAAGAAGGAAAGCATATAATATGTACATGCATCATGACACTCAGTCTCCGGATAGGACAGCACGGAGCACAATGGCGTTAGCAACAGCGGCGGTAGGACTTGTAATCAAGGTGATACGCACAATCAAATATAAAAAATCCACACAGCAGGAAAGAATGTTGATTATATGTGACACTCTGTTAATTAAGCCTAGTTCACATTCGACGGGGCGCGACGGGACGCGACGTAAGGATCGACGGGAAGTGACGGGACAGTCTGACGGCGTCCAATGTGAACACCAGGAACGGGAACGCAACCGCATTGCCGTACGGATCGGGAAGCGACGGGAAGAGGTGGATCAGTTCAACTTTTCATACCGTAGACGGGCGTAGACGGGGACGCAAGCGTACAAAACGACTGCATTTTGAGTGTGAACAGGAGACGGCATCGTGCGCCGACTACTCCCGATTCGTACTTGGAAATTTTTAGCATTTTGAACACTGCGCTTCCCATGATAACTCGCAGAATGGCTAACACGACTTGAGTTGAATTTTAGCAAGATAAGGTCTGATGTCACTTATGGTATTTAGGGATAGTTCAGGAGCGTGACAGACGAACTATTTTATCATTTCCTGGAGCTATTATTTGAATGGCACACCTTTCAAAGCTACTTCGTGAAAAACTGGTATTGTGAACTTGTTAATTCCGCTTCATTCAAGGCGAAATAATTGAAAAGAAGTCCCGAAAAACAAGAAATTAGGTCCAAAAGTCACCCCGTCACGGACCGTGCCTTATGACCCGCGCCGTTCGCTGTTCAACGACACAACGACTGCAGCATGTCATGTCGTACGGATCGCACAAGATTTTATAGCTCACCTCAGCCTTCCCGACAGGCCCTTACGTCCCGTACCATCAGCGTTCCGTCGAATGTGAACTAGGCCTTACAGTTGTATCATACACCTGAAGCATAACTGAATATGACCATGGTAGCCGCAATGGCAGCAGCAGCACAGTTGCCATCATATGGTGTACAATGCATGTAGAGGTTTACTCTTGTTAGTACGACATCGGTTAAAAGACAAGCCTCATTAGTAGACGATCCAAAATCCCCCGACGAAATACATTTAACAGTCATACATGCACTGGAATGTACGATAAATGTATTTCGTATTTCCGGATAAGAAAAAATTCGTTTGCAGACCAAAAAATTCCGTTATAACGTCACCTTTAGCTGTCCCACAGGTTCAATTCTCTCATAACAAGACGAAACAAATGGCCACGGACTACGCATTTGCTCAGATGGCTCAATGCTCCCTGCCAGCAACTTGGTGTAAAGTTTGAAAACAAGATTTCTCTGTATTTGTTTCTTTCTAGCTAGCTCGATCAATGTTTCAAGTTGTCTTGTACAGGGGTCTAAGGAAAACTTTGTTTTATGATGGGGACAGGTGCGTAGCGCCGCCGTTGGAGGAGGGGGGGTGTCAGGGAACATTTTGAAATTAGGGTGCAAAAATCCTGCATTCTGGGCACTTCTGGGTGAAAAAGTGGTCCGGCCAAAGCCTGACCGGCCGGACCGGCTGCTACGCCCCATGGAGGAGGCACAGTATGTATGATGTAAATCAGCAGAAAAATGTCGAAGACCTGATAGTAGACAATACTCGTTATAAGACAAACAAATGTTGAACTCCGAGGGTACTAGTAGACCTGTAACTACGCCAAAGCAGGGTAAGGTGCTACTAGAAACCAATGTGACACATACGGTACTCTGATATAGTACAGGACTACGGTTGGTCAGTCGCGACAGTGACTTCCATGGCTGATCAACAAGGCGTAACTAATAAATTCAGCTTTCCGACATCACACACTCTGGGTAGTTCTATGCTCTTGGTAATCATGAGGTTTAGTACATGTACAGTCGAATGTCACTTATCCGACCACTTCGGGAATCAGGCATGTTGGATAACTGGATATGTTGGATAACTGATATTATTTTTTATGTGCATATATGGCTGGATTTCACTGATTTATGTACACAATACCCAAATATACTCATGCATATTCATGAATTGCTCCATGTACACATACATGTTAGCATACTTGACCACATCTACTTCAAGTAAATGCATATTACACCGTATATTAAATATACAAAAAAAGTTTTTTTAACCCTTTACCTTCTGTGTGTACATGAATCGACCGAATTTGGTCGATGGACATGCATGCACTAAAACAATCGTAACTCGATCAATTCTTGACGAAATCTCAAAAACTAAATATGTAGGAAGAAGCCGAAGAGCTCAGCTGTTCATTGCAACAATCGGCGAAGAGTTGCGATGCCGCATTCCAAAGATATCGCGCTCGACATTTCAGCCACGGCAAAAGTAGATTTTTTTCTGAGTGACTGGCCTTGAGCTGGGGATTTTCTCTCTCCTGACATGCTGAGTCACCTGTGCATGTTTTGAGCGCGTGGGCAGCATAAAAAGAAACCCAGGACAACAAATTTGAAATGTTTACGATGAAGGAGTGAGAAATGGCTGACGAGGAGAGAATTTTCTCGGATACCCAGCGATGTGGAGTATTTGAAACACCGTGGCGTTGGATATGTGATCTCAGTAGTGTCCAGTTTGAGCTCATTGTACGCAGCTCGTGGAGAGCTTTCCAGAATGCCCAAAGAGTGTGAAAATTGGTTGATTAGAACCAAAGATATTCTCAGAATGAGGTGAGAAATATCGCATTTGGAACTGCCTGGGAATTATGGTCAGAAGGTAAAGGGTTAAAAGAATTTTACTGTTGAGTCATAAAATTACCACTCCCGGGCTTGTCGGATAACCGACGTGCTCGGATAACTGGCGACCGGATAAGTGACATTCGACTGTACATGGTACTCACAGTGATGGTCTCTTCCAATCTAGAACAAGATTGCTGGTAGTCCTGGACTTCTGATTCATGGCCTAACTCCATCCCTGAACAAGAAAACAAACACAAGCCAACACTGAAAGCACATACTAGTACATTGTACAGTGCTGGCAACTGAAATCCGCCCAGGGGGTCGGATTTCAGTTGCCAGCACTGTATGTCTCAGCTGGCTATACAGGGGCAACGTCGGAAGCTATTTTAAGGTGGTACGGTCAGTCATCTGAAGTACAGTTTACTTGTGGGGGAGGGATGGTGGAGGCGAAACTTTTGGAAATTTAGAGTCCAGATCAGTGTATTTTATTGATTCACGGGGTACCCGGGGCAAAAAGTGGTACGGTCAATACCGTAGTGACCGTACCGTGTCCGACGCCCCTGCTATAGGATTGATCACCAAGACTTTCAGAGGAGCGGCCCTTACAATGCGGTGTATTATCAACTAGTCAACTTTCAAATTTTCCATAAAAGTTACTTTGGAAAATTTGAAAGTTGACTTGTTAATTTACGCAGCATTGTTAGGGCCACTCCTCGGAAAGTCTTGGTGATCAATCCTATAGGCAGCTCATTCAAGTGGAATATTGATCATCATACGTACACTGTATTTACCGCTTCTCGCACCGGGCAAGACAAGGTGACAGCAAAAGGATGGCTTTTGCACATGACCACACCTCAGGAGACAAGAATGGCCACCCATAAGATTGTGAAAAGGACTTGACACACAGCACAGGGAATAGCAAGACTTACCCTCCAACTTTTGCTTGTGATCCCGTGAAAGGAATTCCATTTCGCTCTTCCACTGAGCATCGATAGCAAACAAGTGTTGCTTATGCTGTTCCTGCATCTCTGCATCCTTGTCTTTATAAAGTGACCGGCGTTCTTCCAATTGATTTACAAGATCTCTATTAGTTATGGTCAGGTTTTCTACAACAGCGCAAGAAATCACACACACACACACACACACACACACACACACACACACACACACACACACACACACACACACACACACACACACACACACACACACACACACACACACACACACACACATTGAAGAAGCGATGATAGTGAGCAAAGGTGTGTTAGGCTGAGAGCAACTTGAACTGGGATTACTTCAAAAGTACTGGAAATGTTTACAAAGAAAGGACCAAAATGTTACATGTTATCCGTAGTCCAACACTAACAGCTATAAGCAAGATGTTGTAAGATGTTGTGTGATAGAGCTTATCATCAGGTCGTTGAATGTCAGCATCACATCAGTCAGTATTGTGCTAGCTGTTGCACCTTCTCACTGCACAACATCTTACAATATCTTGCTTATAACTATTTAAAATGTTGGATACAAACTACGGATAACATGTAACATTTTGGTCCTTTCTTTTTAAATTTAATCCTTGGCTCTCCTTCCGAGTAGCACTGTAAATATACAAAATTTCGGCATTCACGATTTTTGACATTTCGGCAGCGATATATTTTCGGCACGAGGTTAATAATACTAGTGCATCACCAACGCTGATGTGAAAAATTTCATCAGCGCTCTGAGTAGTAGAGTGTGAAAGAGGGCTGTGTAATCCAAAGGCATAAGCCTATAATATGTGAAAAGAGCATACCTATTTGTTTCTGAAAGTCATCAAGCTTGCACTTCTGATCCTGGACCAGAGATACGCTGGCAAGGTGTTCATTATGCCAAGCAGAAACCTATAGAAATGGCAACAAACAGAGATACAATAAAGGTCCAATGTACCATCTACAAGGTAACCGTCCAAACAACCAGAAACAACAAACACAAAGAATACCTTGGTCTTACGGAGCCACCGTTTAAGAAGAGACATGCTAACCATTCAACAGCACTAAGACAAGAGCGACTGGAGAAGGCCACGGAACTATTGAAGTGTGTCTGGAACTTAAAGAGCACGAACAACGAGCACAGTACTGCAAGCCATCCAACATTCGCACAACTAAGCTTTCGTGATTTCTAAGAACCATAATAGTTTGAAGAAGACTCCACATGCAGCTGTCTATATACATGTAGTCTGTAAAAACGGCGGTAAACGCACGTGAAACATCACACGCTCTATCTAGCGGCAAACAGTTCTGTCACATCTTGCAAAAATATATCTCTCACCATCACCTTCAGTTTGCGCCTCGCGCCTGGTCAACATATTCGATGACACACAGCAACGATTTGCTGGTTTTTCAGAACCAGCGAATTTACGATGGCAAATGTTCGCGAAGCACCATGACCATGCATATACATCCACTATTGAAATTTGATTTCACGCTAGCTACTCTTATAAAGTAATTTGCATTGCGCTCCTCTTGCGAAAATTAGTGAACAATAATGCATCGCGAACATCAGGCTGTTTACAGTTTTGGTTGGTCCATTGTCCCCCCCCCCCCCCCCCCACCAACGCCCAAGCTCCAGCTTGGGTACTGCAACACCACACAGTGTGTCCCTGTCACCTATTAACTAAGCTGCAGGAGATCACACAGGAAGACAACAGTGTGAGCTAGTGTTCACACTGTTGTCTTCCTGCACAAGACTCCAGAGGTCCTGCACAAGACTGAAGAGGTCGGAGCTGGTCGCCAAATGCAGGCATGAATATAAGTTGTATCTCTCGATATTCTCACCCTCACCTGTCACATGAACTACAAGTCGCACGCAAGGTCCTGAAAATGCCATGCTGTGTACGTTTTGATGCTATTGGTGCTGACCATTTCCATAGCTTTCTCATTTCCTCCTTTTTACCACATCAATTTCACCTCACCTCCCCTGGCATGTGTGCCGTTGGTGCCTGTCATCTTATTTCACTTCAACCAGCTCGCACACGTTTGGCACATATTCATTTGTGCAAAGCCAAACGCACTTGCAGCAGCCTACATCAAACACAACCTTTAGACGGTGTAGTCAGTGTTGTCGTTTCTGTGTGAAACTCGGAGTCACAGCAATACGGTTTTAGTTTACCTTCCCTGTATGTGTACACACACACTCATGAACGTACTGTACACACCCATGAACGTACTGTACACACCCATGAACGTACTGTACACACCCATGAACGTACTGTACACATCCATGAACGTACTGTACACACCCAATGCTCAATCTGATGGCAAGATGCATAAATCTCGTGGTGAGGTTCCACATCCATGGCAGTGAGTGCGTTCGATTATGTCCGCGAATCGATGTTGAATTCATTCATGAATCACCCCTGGCTATTCGCATCACCCCATGTGAATAGGGTAAATGGATTTCGAACCGATTCCAGGGTTCATGACCTGAACTCGAACGACGAGATTCAATTCATGAGTCGATTCATGGCAGTAATCAAATGCACCCGGCGAGGTGTGAAGGACAAAGCAACATGAAAACCTGAGATTAGAGAGAATAAGCAAACAGGCGATAGCAATCCAGGGGTGGCGGAACTAGACTGTTTGGTCAGGCCATGGCCGGATCAACTGTTTGGCCACCAGCCAGTGCTTCCTGCTAAGGAGGTCAGGTGTACCTGCCACTACATCCTACACAAAGTTGGTATGGCCGGGCCAATTGAAAACTGCTTCCGCTGGTCCTGCACTCACTTCCATCCCCCCCCCCCCTCCCCCCACCCCCACCCACACTGGCTATCTAGCAACACTATTCTTGTGTGAGCTTTTCTTCTATGCTGGCTCTAGCACTTCATTGCTGTTCTGATACAACCATTGAGCCAGTTTCATTTTCATGTACCCCAACAGCAAACATTTGGAGATACAGTTTCAAACACAAGTTGCAGTGCCTGAGGCCATGATGGTAGTACTGCACAAGGCTAACTGGAACAAAGTAACCAATACACATTAGGTACAGCTCAGCAGTAAGCCTGCAACTAAGTACTCTCTACTCACTTTCTCAGCCCAGCATGAATTCGTCCTTTCAAGCTCCTTCTCCAAGTCAGCAATCCTCATCTTTAACGCCTCCATCTCTTGCTGAGTGATTGCTGGAGATGACTGGCTGTCATCCTTCTTTGCAGCGGTGTCTTTGCTGCCTGGTTTGGTCATTGGGAGAGCCGTTGTCATCGAGCCTTGCACATTCTTTGGAGACAATGTCTGGGAACGAATGCCAGTAGCGGCAGATGCGGATACAGATGGCGTCACAACTGCTGGCCGGACAGTGTTTCTTGTGTGCAGTGACTTACTTGGTGTCGTGTGTGGTGCACGTATTGATGGCTGGGCAGTCGACGCTTTGGATGTTTTCCTTTCGCCGATTGCAGTACGAGGTACAGCTGTCTTGGCAGGAGCAGAGCAAATGGTCGTCGTTGTTGGTGCTCTCTTGGTGGGTGTTTGAGTTGCAGATGAAGCAGCAGTCTGGCTTACCCTAGGAGGGTTTCCACGGGCTACTCGTCTTGATTGCATACTGTCACTGAGCGATGCACCAGTGGAAGGCTGTTTGACAGTGGCGGACTTGACTACAGCATTAGACTTTCTTGCAGAGCTGGATGATGGAAGGGAAGGATGAATATTCTGACTAGATTGGGAAGTTGTGACTGTCTTTTTTGCCTGAAGTGATGATGCCGAAGAAACAGGACGAACAGAAGTTATGCTTTGTCTTGGTGACTTCCCGCCAGGAGTGGTGCTTTTTTTCACAGATGTAGCTGAGGTCGATGCAGGGGAAGTAGATGGTGGTTTCTTAATCACGCCAACCGTGTTTGAGGTCACCCCACCTTGTGGAGTTGTGGGTACTTTAGGAACAACTGGTCGGCTATTTGTAGCCTTCCCTGTTCTTATCTGTTGGGACTTAGCCTGGGAGGCTGATGATCGAGTGGTTGTAGGTGCTCTTGTCGACACGGTGTGCTGTGTTTTTGTTGTCGCAATAACAGCTGGCCGAGTACTGGCACATGCCTTTGTAGGTGTCCGCGGCTGTGCTACATCTTGGCCAGATGGAGGCAAAGAAGTACTGCTTGTCTGACCTTTCTGATCAGCTGGCTCTGGCAGCGTTGCACTCTCCGTTGGCCTAGTGCCGGCTGTACTATCAGCACTCTCCGTTGGCCTAGTGCCGGCTGTACTATCAGCACTCTCCGTTGGCCTAGTGCCGGCTGTACTATCAGCACTCTCAGCACAGGGTTGATCTATTACTGAGTCTGGTTCACCTGCCATGGGCTGGTGTAACGCCAGCTCTTCTGGAACGTCTCGCAACACAGGCGGATGGTTCTCCTTACCTACGTTCTCACCATCAGGCGCAGTAGGGTTAGTACTACTAGCGCTAGTACTACTATCAGCGGCACTTGTGTCTGCTCGCACCACAGGGGCAGGCGGCAAAGTAGCTGCGGACTTACTCACCCTAGGCGCAACAGCAACAGCAGTGGCTTTTCTGCCAGCAGAGTGTTTTGCTACACCCTCAGTGCCACAGCGCGACGAGCCAGAAGTCAATCCATTAGCTTTAGCATGATCTAGTACTACTCTATCTGTTGAAACAGGCAATCCAACTGGCACTGACCTCGATTGTGGGACATTAAAGGAGGCTGGATGCGGACTTTTCTTTGGAGATTGACGAGACGACGATGAGGTTGTGCTTCGACGTAGAAGTGACAAGCCTGCTGCTCCGCCTTTCGCATTAGCTGGATGCTTTAATATAGGGGAGGTGTTTGCGACAGAGCGCTCAAAGTCTGATGGAGGTCTGCTGCTTGAGCGCAGCTTGTTCTTTATTGCATCACCAACCTCACCGAGAGAAGACTTTCCCGAAAGAATTTTATGACTAGTGCTGCTTGACAAACGAGGTTTAATCGTGGCCTTCAGAGACTTCAGCTTACTAGGCTTCGTGGAAAATTTTGCTGCAGACATGGTTCCCTGCTGCTGCACTGGCTCAACTGGAAAGCTTGACCTCAGCGTCGACTTTAACTAGAACATCTAGCGGTGGAAAGAACCGTTCGTTACATGCACCAAATGACCACAGCACATGCACATGCACATGCACGCACATACACACACACACATACACACATAAACAGACAGACAGACACACACACCAAAGCAGGTATGACCTGTATAAGCTTTACCTCACAATACTACAAATTTACGCCTACAAAGACAGTCCAGAAAGTACAATAACATGCAAGTGTCATAATGATAAACTTGTACTAGACTATGCTGCATAATGCAGAAGGCGAACAGGACAAAGCATTTACTAAGATGTGCAATAGTGTAGTCACAATGTGACATGATATTCCACTAGAAAGGTCAATCCCAGGACAAATTAATTTGGTGGTGAGGGAAGGTGCGCTCTTTACCAGAACTTTGCAGCTTAGAGAGCTAGCGTTGTGTGGGCAGGCGTGTATTTACCGCCATTTTGCCAGGTGTGTGTGTGTTTTACCACCATTACACTACATGACACTATAATTATGATGCTGCATTAGAGTCGTCACACCCATCTACATCTATCATGGTTGTGATAAGGCTGAGCTCCATATACTGTATACTGTATAATTATAAACATCTAATTTTTGTAAGAAGAAAGAGGACCAAAGAGCTACACGTTGAATACGCTATAATATCCACTAACACCACCAGTTACTTTACAATCAGCTCAAGCGATAGCATTGCACGACACTGACCAACGGCACTGACGTTCTACACCTAACTGAGCTGATTGTAAAGTAACTAGTGGTGCTAGTGGATATTATAGCGTAACTTCCGAGTCTATCTAATTTTTGGTGTAACTTTGGCTCAAAAATTTTCAGTAATTTTGGTAGAGAGCCAAGGCAACTACCAAGAGTCCATAAGCAAGAGTATGCAACGGTGGTTATGAGTCAGTGCGCAGCGCGCTGCTTTCACCACGTAACCTGCCTGCATCAGTGATCAGTGATCACGCCCTGTACTTATGCGCCCAAATCCGCAATCTCTCGTACAAGCACACCCGGTTTTGCTTGATTCGTTCGAGTACAGACGCAATCTCTAAGCTTTGGGTGCATGAGCTTCAGCTCCATATGAAAGTTGGTTTTAAACCGCAAGGAAAATGTGGTGTTTGATTTTCCGCAGTGCACGGATGTGCTAGTAGCTGCATGATGAAATGAAGTCAGCACCCCGCACACCTGGCCCATAGAAAGGAGATAACAGTTGCATGCTCGTATTTTACGAACTCTGGCTAATACTCAATTCACTAGGGGTTCGTTTGGTTGGTGTGACCTGGAACGTGTTCGATTGGTCTGTAGTGGCTCTGGAGCGTTCAGAACATAATCTTAACACTCCCTTTCAGGCTGAAGCAGGCAGAGCGTGTCGCAAAATACAATGAAACCGCATGGCGATGAATACTGCACTATTTCTGAAAAAACAATTTCACTGTCCTGTTTGCTTGAACAAAGCGTAAGGCTGTGACTGTTTTCAGTGAGTCTGATATGATTCTGAATTGACCAATCGTATGTGCACTTGCCAAAAAGCAATGGATAACCACTGCGTTAGAAACTGGTAAGGTACACAGTAAAGGTCAAATTGGAACTGGCTGTTCTATAACGCATGTACATGTACTATATGCATCCAGCCACATATGTCGTGACAGTCCACAGCACACATGTGTATTCAGCCTCTACCTGGGTCTACCTACTGTAAATATACAAAATTTCGGCACTTCACGATTTTGGACATTTCGGCGGCGATATATTTTCGGCGTGGGGTATAGAGGGCATGGTATACAAGGTATAGTGCGACAGATGCTGTGAAAAATTTCATCGGCGTTTTAATTTAGGCGTTTTGGGTCGGTGCCGAATATAGCCGAAATTAAATAGCTGCCGAAAATTTGTATATTTACAGTATGTGTATTCGGCCTTTTATGGAGCATTCTGATCATTCTTCTGTCTTGCGCACATATCCTAGGCTAGTGAAATGCAACAAATGGGAGGTATGCATCTAAGATGGCCGTGACCTTTTTGCGGGACAAGTTACCCCATACTTGGCAGGTACAACCCGTTGTAGTACATTTATGAGTATGAGTCTATGACCTCACAAAGTTTTATGCAGAGTTGGTATCAAGGTGTGTACGGTTGTAGTGGACTTGCCCCGCAAAACTTAATGGCGGGAAATGGATGCATACGTCCCATTGCAGGAAATGAATGCCACCACATAGAGTAATGTACACACGATTTGCGACAGTTGCAACAAGAAAATGCCTGTCGCGAGCTGCCGTACAGTCACAAGGTGCCTGTCGCAGAAGTTGAAGAAAGTTCAACTTTTGCGACATGCGACGCACAACGTACATAAATTAATGGAGTACAGTTTCTACTTTGGGTGCACATGCGTAGTACTTCTAGAGCATAGGGATGTCACATGCGTAGTACTTCTAGATAGGCAAAGCCCGATTTTGCCAGTGAAGCTTCGATATTTTGCCGCAACATTCTGCTGGCTCATCGTCGATATTTTGCTTTCATTTTGCCAGGCCACTCGATATTTTGCTCCCTTTTTGCTCCAAAATTTGTGTCACTTGTGGGAAAACTGACCGAAAGTGGGTCACGTGTTGGCGAAAATGAGACAAAGTGAGTCACGTGTTGGGAAAACCGTGCGATATTGAGTCATGTGCACCGTATAAGTGTAAAATCTCCCAATTTCCAGTAAACGCACCGATATTTTGCTCCATTTTGCTAGCAAATTCCCTTTCAAAATTCTTCGATATTTTGCTAGCAGAATTGCTAGCAAAATCGGGCTATGCCTACTTCTAGAGCATAGGGATGTCACATGCGTAGTACTTCTAGAGCATAGGGATGTCACATGCGCGCGTAGTACTTCTAGAGCATAGGGATGTCGCATGCGTAGTACTTCTAGAGCATAGGGTTGCGTATCGGAGCGTCAGCTTCGATATAACAGTGTATTGCCTATGACGTCAGTCATTTCCTTCAACCCAGACCGGTCTTCAAAGTGCAAAAAATAAAATCCAGGCCCCACCCAGGAACATCGCCTTTTTTATTTCCGCTCAACCCTAGATAGGTTTGCTTTTCAGCGTTTTGTTTGTCAGGTTTTACAGTAGTTACCGTTTACCGTAGTATTTACTATAGCGATGGAGGACAGTACTGCGCTCGTTTCTGCCGTTTCCTCGGCCGTGCAGGGTCTGTTGGGCCCGCTGGAGGATCGGCTCAGCGCCCTTGAGGCTTCATTGCAGAGTCGCCGAACTGGTCCAGCGGACAGTTCGGCACCGACTCCGGGCACTTCAGCCAGCATGTCTGGTGAAGCTGACCCTACGGACTCTTCGAGTGGGCAGGTCCCATCGAACGAGGTTGTGGACGAGCCGAAGCATGCTTCGGTGACTCCCGAGATTGCAGAATTTCTGGAGAAGGAATTTAGAGTTGGTCTGAAGACCAAGGACCGGAAGGAGATCCTGGACAGGTTTCCCCGGCCAAACACCGAGGTAGCTATGACCCCGAAAATGGATTCGGAGCTGTTGGAGTTCCCTGGGCTGGCGTCCTCGTACAAAAAGGCGTGGACACCAACTTGTTCTCAGTCCAGAGTAGCGTTTCGGACTGCCTGGGCCCGCTAACCGAACTGTGGATGGAGGTGCAGCGGGCCCTCGATGCTGATTCGGGTCTTGACCCGCAAGCTGTGCTGGAGCTGATACCAGTTGCACTGCACCTTTTGGGTAACGCACACCATAAGCTGTCCTCGCAGCGCCGGCATGCTTTTCTGGAGCACCTGGATAAGGGTTTGACTGGCATGGCGGATGCCCCTTATTTGCAGGCTGGAACAGCTCTATTTGGGCCAGAGTTTTTGGCCCAAATGCAGGGCAAGGCTGACTCCCAGAAAGCTCTGGCTGATGTTTTGCGTCGCTACCGTGATGCCCGTGGTGGCACTAAGCCTCGCTCCCACTCAGCTAGTACCTCAGCCGCAACGGGTGGTGGTCAGTTTTTTCGGCGTTCCGGGACTGGCAAGTACGGCGGCAGCTCCCGGTATCAGCCCTACCGCAGCCCGCACACCAACACCCCCGCGGTCCGTATCGCGGCGGCAGCTCTCACTCCTCTCCGATGTCCCGAGGCGGAGCCTCCAGCCAGTCCAGCTCCCACCGGAAGGGCAGTCGGTCCTAGAGACCTTCCTCCCGTCAGTTCTACGGGAAGTGGTGCCCGACGAGATTCTCCGCGCCGGGTCTTCATTGCCCTCCTGGCGGATGCCATTCGTGATATCAGCAGAGGAGATGGCCATCCCACACGGGGGTCGGCTTCGCCATTTTTACGAACGGTGGACGCTGCTGTCGTCCGATCCATGGGTCCTACAGTCAGTTCGTGGGGTCCACCTCGACCTCCTGAGTGTTCCAGTTCAGTCTACATGGCCTCATCCACGCCCATTGACAGCGGCGGAGACTGCGGCTGTGTCAGAGGAAGTCAGTTCCTTGGTGCAGAAGGAGGCGATTTACGCTCTCCCCAGCAACACTCCACCCGGTTGGGTCAGCTCCATCTTCGTGGTTCCGAAGGCTGGTGGGAAGCTGCGCCCAGTGGTCGACTTGCGGGCCCTGAGCGGATATGTCCCGTATCATCATTTCAAGATGGAGGGCATCGGCACCCTCCGGGACTTGCTCCAGCCTGGGGACTTCCTCACCCGACTGGATCTGAAGGATGCGTACCTCACAGTGGCGATGAGGGCCAGCGATCGTCGTTTCCTTCGTTTCAGCTGGCAGGGAGTTCTGTACGAGTTCCGGTCACTCCCATTCGGCCTGTCGTCGGCCCCCTGGACATTCACCAAACTCCTCCATCCGGTGGTGGCGACACTGCGCCAATTCGGAATCCGAGTGATCATCTATTTGGACGACCTGCTCATCCTGGCGCATTCGTTGCTGGCCGCTCGGGAAGCTACGGCGTCGGTTGTGCACCTGCTCTGCAGCCTCGGCTTTGTAATCAACTTCAGCAAGTCGTGCCTGGTCCCTTCTCAGGAGACCACGTCTCTAGGTTTCCTGGTGTGTTCGATGACCATGACAATCCAGATCTCACAGGATCGCCGGGACAAGCTTCTGCGGACCTGCCGCCAGCTACTTCAGGCGGATCGCACAACTGTCCGCGAGGTTGCCAGCGTGGTGGGCATGATGCAGTCAGCGTGGCCGGGAGTGTTACCAGCACCTCTCCATCTCCGGGGCAGCTGCAAGACTTGAAGAATTCCGCTCGCCACGCAGCATTGGCATGGGAGTCTGCTCTGATTCTGAACTCTGCGTCCAAGGAGGATCTCCGCTGGTGGGTTCGTTTCCTGGACTCCTGGAACGGTCGTCTCGTGAAGGTCGAGTGTCCAGTGCTGACGATTGCCTCGGATGCCTCGTCCCAACTCCCAAGGGGGCGGCGGAGGTTGGGGCGCAGTCTGCGGGACGCAGACAACGGGTGGTCGTTGGTCTGCCGCGGAATCTCGGCTCCACATCAATGCTCTGGAGCTCCTGGCCGGGACATTTGCTGTCCAGTGCTTTGCCCGTCATGTCCAGAAGGGTCTTGTGTTGCTTCAGATGGACAATCAGTGTGCTGTCGCGTACGTGAACTGCATGGGCGGCACTCGGAGCCAGCGGTTGAATTCGCTAGCCGCGGACCTGTGGCACTGGTGCCTGGCCCGCCAAATCACCATTCGTGCCGAGTACATTCCCGGGGCCCTCAATGTCATAGCCGATTTCTGGTCTCGCAATCACAGTTCCTCAGAGTGGCATCTGCTTCCTCAGGCGTTTGCCTTGCTGAAGACCCGATATGGAGGTTGCCACGTGGATCTCTTTGCCACTCGGATCAACACGCAGCTACCGGACTTTGTTTCATGGTATCCGGACCCACAGGCGGTGGCGACGGATGCGTTCTCTCAGCCGTGGCAGGAGATGGACGGGTGTGCGTTTCCTCCCTTCTGCCTGATCGGCAAGGACCTACGGCAGGTTCAGACTCAAGCTGTCCCTCGGTTGCTCCTGGTCACCCCATTGTGGCGCGGGGCCTCGTGGTTCCCAATGTTGCTCCAGATGGTGTCGGGGGCGCCGACGTTGCTACCGCACGACAGGTCCCTGTTGACGGATCCTCTCGGCAATCCTCACCCATTGATGGCCAATGCCCAGCTCCGCTTGGTCGCGTGGCCCATCTCCGGCATTCCTACTCTATGTCAGGGTTTTCTGCAGCAGTGTCCGACCTCCTCGTTGCCTCCTGGCGGACCAACACCTCCCGTCACTATGACAGCGCTTGGGCACTGTGGAGTCGCTGGTGTGCGCAGCGGTCGATCGATCCGCTTCGCCCCGCACTGACTCGTGTTCTCGAGTTCTTGTCCAACCAGTTCCAGGACGGTCGCGTGTTCCGCACTATTTCTGGCTACCGGTCCGCTCTCTCTACCATGCCCCCTCCCGTCGACGGCACATCAGTTGGCTCTCACCCTACTGTTGTTCGGCTGCTCCGTGGTGCGTACAATCTCCGCCCGCCTACGCCTCGCTACACCTTCACATGGGGTGTTCAGCTGGTGTTGGATTTCTTGCGGTCATGGCCAGATGTGTCTGATCTCAGTGACAAGCAGCTTACTCTGCGCCTTGCTATGCTCCTGGCGCTTTCTGACGCATATCGTTGTGGCGAGCTTTGTCTGCTCTCAAGTGTCTTTGCCCAGCTCTCCGATGGCTCTGTCCGGCTCCCGCTACTTGGTACTCGGAAGACGCAGCGTGTTGGTGAGCCTCTGCAGACGGTCCAGGTGTGCCCGTTCTCTGTTGCTGCCCTGTGTCCTGTTCAGCACCTGCTTGAGTATGGCCGTCGATCTGCCGTGTGGCGGCTAGATGGCTCTGGTCCTTTGCTGCTCTCGTTTCGTAAGCCGCATAAGCCTGTCTCTTCTCCCACCGTTGCCCGTTGGTTGAAGGAGGTGCTTGGTCTTGCTGGCATTGATACTGCTCAGTTCTCGGCTCATTCTTCCCGTGGCGCGGCCACATCTGCTGCTGCCCATGCCGGTGTCTCTACTGCTGTTATCTTGGCAGCTGCTGATTGGAAGCGTGCTACTACGTTTCGCCGCTTCTACTGCCGTGATGTCACCCCGCCGGCTGACTGCTTTAGTGCTGCGGTTCTGCGCTCTGCTACCGCTTAAAGGGGAAGTTAAGGCAAAAATTAAAATTTCACCAGTTGTAGTCTTCGGGGTGCTGAGTCGAATGGTCTTGGTCCGAGAAAGCTGAGACGCTCCCTTCCTTCTTGAATCCCAATCGAACTCGCGCACTTCCACCGAAACTGGGTGACTGCGCCCTACTAGATGGGGATTTGTATGCAAATTGTCACTAAAAGCGCCGTTTCGTTCTTATAAAAGCACGGATGACCGCGATTGGCCCATATGTTGTAGTCTTTTGGACGCTGAGTCGACTAGTTTTGGTTCGAAAAGGCTGTAATGCAGCGTTCCTCCTTTATTCCCAATCGAACATGGTTGAACAAGCGGTCACGTGCTCCTGCGTACACCAGTCAGCTGGTCACCGTGCCTGCAGGGTACAACTTACTAGCCTGTTTGACCTTTTTTGGGTGCAGTCCTGTCACTCGAGTTGAACTCGAGTTGAACCTTGGTGTGAAAGTTGTCGCCTGCTGGCGTGGTGACCAGGTGATTTGGGCACCCAGGAGCACGTGACCGCTTGTTCAACCATGTTCGATTGGGAATAAAGGAGGAACGCTGCATCGCAGCCTTTTCGGACCAAAACCAGTCGACTCAGCGTCCAAAAGACTACAACATATGGGCCAATTGCGGTCATCCGTGCTTTTATAAGAACGAAACGGCGCTTTTAGTGACATTTTGCATACAAATCCCCATCTAGTAGGGCGCAGTCACCCAGTTTCGGTGGAAGTGCGCGAGTTCGATTGGGATTCAAGTAGGAAGGGAGCGTCTCAGCTTTCTCGGACCAAGACCATTCGACTCAGCACCCCAAAGACTACAACTGGTGAAATTTTAATTTTTGCCTTAACTTCCCCTTTAAGTGTGTCCTGCGGCTTTGCACCCGGTGCTGCCCATGCTGGCATGGCTTTTCTTTCCTTTGGCGTTGTGTGCGTCTCTGACCTCTGCATTGTGTGGGCAGGTCTGTTGACTATATGCTTTGTTGACACGTCTTGTAAGTTGTTCTTTATTTATACGTCGGCGTGCTTTCGGTGCGCCTTTCAGTTTCGCCTTCCTTCTCGTTGGACTTGGCCTATTTCCATGCTTGGCATGGTTTCTTTTGCGTCTCCCGACCCTACCGGGTTTGCTATTATCCACTGTATGTCCTCGGTTTAATGTTTGGGCTATGGCTTGCTATTTGCTTTCATGGCTCTGATAATATTGTCCCGCTTCACTCCGGTGTGGCGCATGGTCACCTTTGCTCCTCATTGGTGGTCTGGATTTATAGTGCTGGGGTTTGTTCAGCGCTTTTAACAATACACTGTTATATCGAAGCTGACGCTCCGATACGCAATTGCCCATTTCGCTAGCAATGGTACATTGCGACGGGAAGTGGGAGTTGTGTGAGGAGCGGAAGCGAGATATAACAGTGTCCCTCCCGGCCCTTCCCTTTCTCTTGTCATAATGATCATAGGGTTTCGCTTCAATAACAGGCGATGTTCCTGGGTTGGGCCTGGATTTTATTTTTTGCACTTTGAAGACCGGTCTGGGTTGAAGGAAATGACTGACGTCATAGGCAATACACTGTTATATCGAAGCTGACGCTCCTCACACAACTCCCACTTCCCGTCGCAATGTACCATTGCTAGCGAAATGGGCAAATGTCGCAAACACCAAAAACATTGTGAACCGTGTGTCGTTCTCGTAGCTTGTCGCAGGTGTCGCACGTCGCGTTGAGTATTGCAGCAACACGTGCGCTCACGTGAATGCCGTTCTCTGTTATGTACTCTTGACACTAAGCATAGCATGACTACAAAATACTTCTACTGACACCCAGCAACATTCACAGAGCACCGTACATGTACATGTACTAGCACTAGTATTATAATACATTAATAGTAGCACTGCACGGTAATCATGGTAATGTCTTCCGCTTTACTGTACTACTAGTACTACATGCACTGGCAGTGGAAGCTTGTGTCAATGGTGACGCCTTTCATTACGTTCACAGCAAGTACATGTTGTTTCCTTGTCTCACTCCTACCACACTCAAATTCTTTGCATCACATTCATGATCATAGGCACTGTAAGTGTAAGGCCAGACACTCACCTCGATCTCCACTTCACCAGCATGACTCGCATAAAATACAGCAGCAGCAGCAGCAGCAGCAGCAGAAGCAACAACAACTCTACCGTCTACGTTCGATAGACGATACTCACAAATTCAAGTTCTTGAGCGAAGTGTAGTAGTACTAGTAGTACAGGGATGTGGACAAACTCTACTGCAGCGGATGCTGTGTGTCATCTCATCTGGCCCTTGGAATTGGCGCGGTGGAAAGCGGCTGCCCCTGCCTGGATGGATGGCTATCTTTGGCTGGATATCAGCGATTCAATCTTTTGAATCAAGTGCTTCCGCAAGCAAATGGCCCTAGTACTGAACCGGCCGGTCTACACAAAGATTACAGGAACGTCTGATCACACAACAGATACCAAAAGTGTAGATCCACTTTCTGCCACAATATGTAGGCATCAGAACAAGAGTGAAGCTCCACTGGCACTGGTAGATGTACACGTTGCCAGAAAGTACAGTCAGTGTTGTATGATAGATTCAGTAAACAGTTGGTCTCAAAAGACGATAGATCAGTATGATCTATTTTTGTCCTCGCCACACACACACGGTAATCGCAGTCACCCCGCAAGTAAATGTAGCTACTTTGTGTGGTGAAGAAGCGTAGCCTACAAACTAAAGTCAAAGGACATTGACAACGAACCTTGCTCCTCACTCAACCGAGCTGTCCATTCCCGGATTATGAAAGTCTTGCCTGACTGCACGCGACGTCAAGCCGAGCTCTGCATACGAGTATGTCGCCGTGCATTGGTGCATTCTAGTCATCTTGACTTGAGCTGGAGTTTCGGCATTGCGGGGATCAAACACCACAATCATCACTCTACTACACTGTATCACCAGTGTATCACTTGCACTATCACTCTAGAAATTAAATTATTTTGAATTATCGTAGCAACCCTGGTTTGTTATGGCAACATGTGTACAGTACAGTCAGTAGTCATGTCACTCATGTGTAACGACAGTTACGTCATCCTTAGTTACACGCGCGTGGCGCGTGCGTGACTGCGTGTGTGTAATATTTGCGCTTATTATAGCCGATATATCGATACGTCATAAAATACAAAACAGTGACAAGATTATTACGAAAATCAATTAAAATTTCACTTTTCAAATCTATCAAATGAATTGTGCTCTTCTTGCTGGATGAAAGGACTCCGATCCGGGAAAGACTCGTAGATCTACGAGGTGATCACTCATGAGCAGTAGCTTACGTTCAGCGCAAGCAGACGAGCCGTGTACAGTACGACTGTTATTTTTCCACTCAATCTCGTCGTTTCACAGTAGCAAGCCTCTTTTTCGGGCAAAATTTTAGATTGCATGCCTAGCCATGACTGGTTTGGTGTCATCCATCATTGCTTTTGGTCAATAGGAATGCTGGATATTGGTTTGAGCAGAAAAAGAGTTAGGTGGACTGCTCATATCTGACTGCAGTAGAGCCGATTTCTAGCACTATTCCGCAATGCCTAAAGCCTCGGACCAACCCACACCGTCCAAGTGAGTACTGCTTTTTAAAGAAATAATGGTGTAGCCAAGTGTTATATTAAAATAGAGGTAAATGAGTGTACATGCAGTCATTAGAGACTATTCAGACAATATCGCAACGTGTTGAGACTTGAGAGTCGGAGTTATACTTTCCAGAGCGAACGTTTTCTATTGACATTCATCAGTTGAATCATTGTCATTGAATACAGTGAAACTGTTCAGTATAACGTAGCTCCAGGGACATCATCTGCACTTAATTCCTGTAGCTATGCAAAAGACATTACTTCAGTAGCGTCTGGCGCTAGCCAGGGTCCACACAACTTCAATTCCGTGTTTGTGTGTTTGTGCCGTCGGCATGCCTGGCGCTATCCCATACCTGTCCCGCACCGTACCATCAAAGACAGCTGGTCACAATATTCGAATAGGGCTTTCAAATGCAGGTCATACCGTGAAGCAACTTGGAAGAATGAGTATGTATGCGAAGTGTATTGGGGGAATGCATGCAGGGCGATGGTGCGGGTTCGAATCCTAGGTTATGTCTTGAAAAAAAGAAATAATATTCGCGGGATCCGCGTCGGCATCGCTTGAATGTTCAGAGAAACACACAAACTAGCCTTCGCATCCGCAGGCCACCACTATGCCTGTTCACCTTAGTGGCGAATGCAGACCTCACAAGTGAGTCAGGGGGGGGGGGGGAGGTTAGTCTCTCAACCAATCGGGCGTGTAACGGCCCATAACCCTGTAAACTGCATCTTTGTTATTCTCACTCCGAGCTGTGAGTACCCACTTGAGCGAAAAAAATAGGAGAAATGAAAAATTTATAACATCCCTATGCTTTTTTTGCCTACGTCATCAAGGTGGTAGACGGTGTCGTATTACCCTCGAACGCAAAGAGAACGTTTATTTCTTTCGCTCATAGCCCTACGCTATGCTTTTTGCCTAGCTCATCATGCATGTTACAGTACTCGAACAGATGGAAACTTTTTGCAATACAATGATGTAGCCGATCAGTTCGTTGTGGTATGGTTGGGCATTGTAGCCGTCATGGTCGACGTAAAACACTATAAGACCGCAACGAAGTTGGGACCAAAGAGAAAGTTTATTTCTTTCGATGCGAAAATAGCCAATCAATGGAAAAAACATTTCCATCAGTTCTAAGAACATGCACGATGAGCTAGGCAAAAAAGAATAGCGTAGGGCCCTGAGCTTCCAAGCTCTCTCGTAGGCCAGGCACTGTACATCTGAGGTCCGATGACTAGAACAAGATTTGCAAGGTCCTCAAAAAAGTACTCAGGTCCAGTTATCGCACCGGTTGCATATTTAAAATTAATTGTTGGTAAGAAAGAAAAAACCTGGTTGCATGTGTGTGTGTGTGTGTGTGTGTGTGTGTGTGCATGAAAGTGAACCTACACAAAGCTACACATAAAATCATCAACACACGCGCACGACCATGGAGTCGGATAGAGAGCCAAGGATGAATTATTATTAATTTTATAGAAAAGAAAAGGACCAAGGAACTACAAGTAATTAGGCACGCTGTAATGCCCACTAACACCACCAGTTACTTGACAATCCGCTCATGCGATAACATTGCACGACACTGACCAACGCATGCGTGACAAAAATGCTTGATGTTATACTATCAGCCCTGGTACAGTGTAAATCTACATGTATGTGTTAGTTGATGCAACACCTTTCTCACTGCACTATATATTTTTTCAAATCTTTATTCTTACGAAGTGTTGTTGCTGTTATTGTTGTTGCTGTTGTTGCTGTTGTTGCTGTTGTTGCTGTTGTTGCTGTTGTTGTTGTTGTTGTTGTTGTTGTTGTTGTTGTTGTTGTTGTTGTTGTTGTTGTTGTTGTTGTTGTTGTTGTTGTGTTGTTGTTCTTTGTCTTGGCATGTATTTAGGAAGCAAAGGAGCTCAGCGAAGAAGCCGAGTGATGTAAGGACATGTTGAACTTTTGTGAACTAACACTATCACAGTAGTATTACTCATACTATTGTTATCCTGCTAGGGCACCCTGTCTTTCCCAAGCACTCCATCTCTTCCAAGTGCCCCACCTTCGTTTTTTTGGCCTGCAATCCGATCGTGGGTGGTGTGGCGAGGAGCTGCGGTGGATTCCCCACCCGACACTCTCACGCGCTTTGCCTCGGTATTCTGGCTCGAGTTGCTCGACTTTCCACTTCTTGCAAACGACCTTTTGCCGGCAATAGCAGCTGGTTGTGCTGCTGGAAGACTGTCGGCTGCTGCATTCTTTACCAAGTCAGCGCTTTCCTCTCCACTAACAAAGCCATCACTCTCACTGCTCTCATCTTCTGTTTCAAAACCAGGGCCTCCGCCTCCCGTGGCTGCCATCGGACCAACAAATAACAACAAGCTACGACAGTACAACTAGTTTGCTCACTTCTAGCGAAGGACTCACCACTTTTATAATGTTATTTGAATTTATTTCACTGTCAACATGTTAAAGCTGAAGGCCAAATTAATTACAAACTAACGTTGTTACTTGGAAAAGACTCGCCGTATCGTTGAACTTGAAGACAAGCATTGTAAATTTGCGAATCAAATTTGCAAATCGGATGCACTATGCTCCAAGTACAAGTCAGTTTGAACAACTTCGTAAATGAAGCAAACACGCTACTGGCAACAGTGGCATCCGGCTTACACTTTCATTACATCAGTACAGAGGACTGCCAGCGTCGCAGGGAGCAGCAGTGTGTCTCTCTACGCTCTAAAAATAGCGCTACTTTTCACGGTGGTGCCAACAGACTGGACGTAGTGGTAGTTTCACACATCGATTGTGCTAGACAAGGTCACAGTTGGAGACTTTATGCTAGGGCAGTGCCAGTCTTCCCCACATGGGTCATTATGCTAGTTATTATGCTAGCATTATCCGCCGGTACCGTGCCTACCTGGCTCTGCTCGAGGCGATGTGCATTGTCAAGCTGAAACCTGAACTGTGTGCACAAAGGATGTATGTACGGAAGGTGTCACTGTTTTCACATTGTAGTGCCGTAGTGCCGTAGTGCCCATTGTAGTGCCGTAGTGCCCATTGTAGTGCCGTAGTGCCCATTGTAGTGCCCATTGTAGTGCCGTAGTGCCCATTGTTCTATGATGTTACTGTAAAGCGGCTAGTTTTAGCGCCAGTATTGCAGTAATTATTATGTTGTCTTCCTCTTTAATCTCTACTTTGAAGTACTGTGCAGTGAAACCTGGCCTGTAACCGGACGCCCTTGGTGCAGCGGAAACTGTCCTGATATGACAGGATTCCGCTCGATCCAGGGCTGCACGTTTGATGCACAGCACTTTGGTGCATGACAATTTATCCGGGCAATGCAGGATTCCACTTGGTACAAGGTCCGGCAACACACAGGTTTTATTGTGTTTACTCGATTAGAAGCCGGGGGGGGGGCTTCTATTTTTTCAATACCAATTTTGAGGAGGCTTCTATTCAAGAGGGGCTTTTATTGTTTCATTCCATACCAGTATTCCAATCGAATCTCTAAAACTTTCATATTCACAGCAACTCGGCCGCGAGTTAATTTGCACACACTACGTCGACCAGGACATGTACCAATATGAACATCCACGAGATGTTTTTTGCACACTTGACCTTCGTACATTGCACTACCTGGTCACCCCATACTTTGCGAATAGTAATCCGGGCTTCTGTTCGAGAGGGGCTTGTATTTTTTCAAACAGTCCTTGTAGGGGGGGGGGGGGGGGGGGGGCTATTATTCAAGAGGAGCTTTTATTCGAGAGGGGCTTCTAATCAAGTGAGTACGGTATATTGGCTTGTGTGCTTGGAATTAACCTGGCTGCTATGTCACCTGGGTTTGTTTTGTGCAGGCAAGCAAGAAGGACCCTCCTAAGGAGTCGCAGACCCCCAAAAAGAAAGAGACGGAAGAACAGCAACGCAAAGAGAGGTGGCGGACGTTAGTAGCAGAGAAGGGTGCCATTCCTTGTGAACATGAGGTACGCTATACATGTGCATGTACATAGTCGCAAGTTCTCTGTTTGATTTCCATCCTGAATGCTACTATGCAAATATGTGCCTAACCTCACCAGGTTTACTAGCCATGCGCTATGTGCAAACCACTCCTGCTGATATGAACTTGATGGACTGTGTGTGTGTGTGTGTGTGTGTGTGTGTGTGTGTGTGCTTGGGTAACCGATTGTTAAACGGTTACCCAAGCAGTTGCTCTTCGCTCATCTTCCACGAACCCGCCCGTTTTGCGGCCCCCGACATCGCTGGAAGGACGTTGTCCAGGCTGATCTGACTGTGGCCGGTGTGCACAATTGGTTCCAATCAGCCAACGATCGCGGAGAGTGGCGTGACATAGTGTCGGCAGCAGCGGGGGTGAAGGAGCCTGCCCCGAAGACGATTGTGTGCCACGTTTGCGGCCGCCTGTTTCGTCGGCACGCCGACATGGCCCGGCACAAGTGCGCAGCAGTCCGACAGCTCCCCGTATCACAGCAGCCTGGGTCGGTGCAGTGTCCTGCCTGCAGTAGATGGCTCCGGAGCAGGGGTGGGCTTGCAGTGCATAAGTGCCTAGGGAGTGACAACTGTGACGACCGACCGCCTTTTGATGCTCCTCCTGTTGCCGAGGTCCCGGTGTGTACTGCCTGCCAGCGTACTTTCAAGTCTACTGCTGGCCTCAAGCGCCATCGCTGTGGACCCCGCCCGAAGCGCCCTACAGTGACTGATCGCCAGCACTTTGAACATCATTGCCGAGTCTGTAGTCAACGCCAGTTTCGGAGGCGACAGGACCTGGAGCGCCATTTGAAGCACTGCCTACCTCTCCCCTAACCTCTCTGACAGTACCTCCCTTTGGGGAGCGGCGTGGCCATTTCTGGCAGCTGTCAATAGTAGTAGTAGTAGTAGTAGTAGTAGTGTGTGTGTGTGTGGGCGTGTGTGTGGGCGTGCGTGCGTGCGTTTCATTCTCCTGAGTGGTTACCAACAGCCAGTGTATGCCGGAGTATGTGGTGTGGTGTGCGTCGAAAAAGGAAAAAAGAATGAAATAATAGAAAAAATGAAAAAATGAAAAATAGGGATTCACTGGCCAGAATAAAATCCACTTCAATCAGCTGTGTGGTGGATACCAGGCTAAAAATTAGTGGCGGTCAATTCATCAGCCTTGCAAGCTGTTGAATGGTGTAGTCCCAGCACAAGTTGCCATGTCTAACATAGCTGTTCGCTATCATCGCTACCGCGATGGGCAAGTCTGAGGTCTGAGGCGTGCGTGCGTGTGTGTATTTGAGTGTGTGCGTGGGTGTGGGTGTATGTGCGTGCACGTGTGCTAAACCGACTCCTATTCTCCAGTGTAGGATGTGGTGGGCTTATTTAGTTCGCCCTGGGCTGAACTAATGTTATCCCTACCCCAGGCCCCCAAGCGTATTGTACGCCCAGGGCTTATTGTCTCATGTAAACGGCGAAGAAAATAAACAATCTTTTCTTCGTATTTTTCGCTTTTCCCTCTTGAGCCTGAACCTGAAGGATTTCATTACGGACAGTGCACCTCTTTTATTTCTGTTCTGGCATTTTTTTCTTTTGATTTTGCGTTCAGTGAAAGCTTCGCCTTTTCGAAAACAAGGGACAGCTGGAAAAGCAGCAGGAATGTGAATAGACACTCCTTGATCCAAATGTTATCGTTCTCAAATATTTACCACTGTGTTCAAGTGCAATTAAAAAAATACCCGCAGAACACACGATCATTCACCTGAATTGAGCACCAGATTGCCATATACCTCCGTCTTGTAAATGGGTGAATATTGAACCCGAGGCAAATAAGTCCAGACTTTTTTCCGCTAAACGGGTCCTTAGTCTTTAGTCCAGTGGTTAGTGTACTTGTCTGATGTATGAATGCAGTTGTGAGTTCGAATCCCGTAACGTTTGGGCTTGCGTTTTTTCGACCAATCCTGGGTCCACTCGACCAGGATGAGTACCTGGCACTAAAACAAGTACCCGGGAAATACCTAGCATTGCTGGGGAGGAAAGGCGGCGAGGAAAGTATTGACAGCCTACCTCAATTATGATGTTTCGAGTCATATGTCTGGAATTCTAAGCTTGACCAGCGGCATCTCTGATTGATGATCATGGTGTGTCTGCTATGTGCTTGTTTGTGTCTTTCCCTCAAACCAGTGCTTGTTTATTGTTTGCGTGCCTGCATGATAGGGATGCACAGTGTCACTGACCACTGTTCCTGGTATGATATATCATTTCAAGACCTGTCGCGTTTTCAAGGAGGTGAGGCGCTGATGCAGTTGCAAATGGAGTCCATCAGCCTCTTGGTGATGGAATAGTTAAAATATTATATATTTTTTTAAATAGCTTTCTCGAGGCAAATATTCTTTTAGGCTGAAGAACAGAACTACCTTCAGGCTCTTCACAACTAATATCTCCTAATAATTCATGTGATACTTCCAAGTAATTATACTACATTGTAGGGGTGAGATGATGGAAATAGAAATCGGTGCAAGCTAACAGATTGATTATTCGAAAAGTTGTGATTGCTCGATTATGCATACGGCGTACATGATTACATGTACCGTATGTCCGCACCTTTAAAGCCATGGCGGTATATTCGATTATAAAGCCAGTCTCAGTTATAAAGCCATGGGCTTCATAAATGAAATGACATTTAAAATATGTTTTGCAAAAATGAAGGAATAAGTACTATGCTAACAAACTTACAGCCCAGCATCAAGGGTGAACAAGTAGATTTAGATTGAAATTTCTGTGTGGACTTTGACTTTTATGGCATGGCGTAGTGGGTGAGTCATTTTGCATGTAAAATATCTAGGAAAGCAGCGGTGTTTCGAATATAAGGCCATGGCTTTAAAGGTGCTGACATACGGATTGAATAGGGAAACATCCCCGACACAAGTGGTTTCACAGAACACATATTTCGATTTTACAAAATCTTTTTTAAAGGACTGACCGGTTTCGCTGTCTAAGGCAGCTCATCAGAGTGAAGAGAAATGTAAAAACACAACAGAATTTATGCAGGCGAGAGTGGCACTAAATTATACATAGATACAAGTAGGCCGCCAAAATGCTAGGGGCCCCAAGAGCATTGGGAGTTCCTAATTTGGAAGTGCTGCAATTCTGTTATGACATATGTGTAATAATGTGGGCCTGAATTCCAATATGGATGAATGCCTATATGGAACATGCTTTATAATTATGAACAAGTTGTATGTTGTACGTGAAAAAGCATGCAAGCCCAGTTTGTACAGGATATCTGTCTGGTAATGTGTACAGACTTATTTTTGGCAGTGTCAATATATTGACACTGCCAAAAATACGCGAATGATTGACCGATATGCGAGGTCAGTGTGTGTGTGTGTGTGTGTGTGTGTGTGTGTGTGTGTGCGTGCGTGCGTGCGGGTGCGCGTGCGTGTGTGACACTCACAATGTGTAGAGTAGTAGTCGCATTCGATTAAAGGGATGATGGCATAGGACATTGGTCTCTTCTCCACAGGATCAATTTTGCAGTTCTGTGCATGGTTTCAACTTCTGGTCTGCTGCTTTTATCTGTGGAAGAAGCAATGAAGGAGAACTGATAGCCAATCGTTATTTAGAAGTCAGAAAGTGTTCTCGTTTCACTCCTAAATGTTTTATTATTACACTCATCTTCATCAAGCCCCAGAGCATCCAACTGTAGACCTTGGTCACATTCTCATCTACACTGCTAAATGTACTTGGTGGCACTGTTGTACGCTTGCTGTGCTTCACCTCCATTTGCCTACTGTTTGTCCGTCATCTCCAGATAAATTTCGGAGTTGTGTGTTTGGTAATTGCAGGTTTCTTTCCTTTGGAAGAATCATGCATCAGGGGCATAGTGGGAGCATAGTGGGACCATTCAGTGGCCAGTGCCTTGTTTGGCCCCTGTCTGTCTTTGTAAGACCAGTTGCCATTATTCTCAGGGGTTCACCTACCAACAGATAGCTATCATCAGCAAGCCGTATTTTTGCTGATGTTTAGAACACAGACTTGTGGAATGTGAGAACTTTAAAAAAAGGTACAAGGAAAGGGGCACGTGGATACGAGTTATGAGTAACTGCCCGCCACTGTAACTAGATAACACTAGTACCGGTATACAGTCAGAACGAGTGACAACTAGGCACAAAATTGACAGATTATTGACATAGTCAGCGATCTGACACCTAGCTCCAACTCATCTCCAATGCGCAAACCAACAGCCTTCCAACTCGGAAGGTTTATGGTTACTGAACCAATAGCAAATGTAAGAAATAAAGGGACACATGTATACGGGTTATGGTCTGCTGTTGGTTTGCGTATCGGAGATGAGCTGGAGCTAGGTGTCAGTTCGCTGAATGCCATAGTTATCTGTCAGTTTTGTGCCTAGTTGTCACACTTTCTGACTGTATGTTACCTAGGTACAGCGGTGGACAGTTACTCACAACTCGTATCCATGTGCAGCCCCATTACTTTTTACATTTTACTTTGGCTCAGTATCCGAGTTCAACTTGTAGAATAATTCACAAGTTGCTGCTGGAAAGAGAGAGGGATTAGAAATGGATACTTATCTGAATGGTGGGAAGTTTTCTCGAAATGTATCTCTATGTCCTGTTTTATTGACAGTCCAGGGTACACTGAGAACTTGTTTGTACTTGGAATTGTTTTTTGCCCATCTTGTATCATCACAGCGTCAGAAAGCACTGATTGCTGCTACGAAGCCACCGCCAAGTGGTCATGGTCCCTGCTGGACACGTCCAAGTGATGTGGTAGGCCATTGTTGTGGCTAGCTTGAAATTGAAGAGGGATGGCTGAGAAAACGTGTGCATTACTTAGTTCTACAAGATATGCATCGCTTTCCACATGGAGTAGGGCATGATAGCGTATGCCTATTGCCACTTTTACTCAACAGTAGCAATGAACCAGCACAGTGGTGGCCTATTCTCTAGTGCCTACACGCAGGAAGGAAATTCATCATGCAGGAAGGGAAACAGGGGTGCTGATCACTCAAGCCATGCACTGCACAGTGGCACATTCAATTTTGAAAGGGGGCAGAATGTTAAGCAGCTGTCCTTCGGACCAGTGGGAGCCATCTGATATCACAGTACATGTATGTGTAATAATGCTGTGTGCATGTGTGTGTATGTGTATGTGTGTGTGTGTGTGTGTGTGTGTGTGTGTGTGTGTGTGTGTGTGTGTGTGTGTGTGTGTGTGCCAGCTAGTTCGGTTGGTAGGTACACTTATGCCTGATTGTGTTGGGTCTGTTGCCAACAGGCTCGGCTGCTTGAAGGTATAATGTTGTACCTGCCACCTTTGTTGGTTCCAGGGTTCATATACTTTCTATTTGAAGTATACATACCTGTTAACCATGGACTGCTTCTGGCTAGATTAACTCTTGTGTAATCAATGGTGCTAGTGAAGCTTTTATCAGGTCCACTCTGATTTAGCCACTCACACTAGTAGCAAGTATTACCTTCACTGGGGGCAGGGGTAACTGCAGTTGGATCCCGGGACGGATACCCTGATGCCGTCAATCCTTTTTCTGCACCTTGTCCTCACCCACTTACTGAGGTGTGGTGAGCCCATAAGTGGGATCATTTTCAAATCCACCCAGAGTTTTGGGGATTTCAGGGGGTGTCAGCCGTTGGGCGGTTCAATAACCAATTGAGTCATCTTTCCAAGATTCCTTTTGAATCTCTCTCCCCTCTCCCGGGGGGACTCACGTGGCCAGTTTTGGCAGTGAGCAACAAGTACAGTGTGTGTGTGTGTGTGTGTGTGTGTGTGTGTGTGTGATTCTGTGATTCTGTGATTCTGTGTTGCAGGCACCGCGTCTCCTTGATCTGGTTTCCCTCAGCACCGAGGTTATTTGTTCCTGGTCACCTACTAAATTGTATGTCGATCAATGCTGCATCTTTGTTTTCAGTGTTAAGCTGTGTTCCCAACTGGCGCGTGGACGCGGTACGCTTGCGGTTCATGCGTGCCCAAACGCGCGCTCAAGCTTTCACGAAAAACAGCAATCCGAGTCGTATTTAGCGCGTGCGACACCTTCGAGTACTAATTTGTTGACCCCGCCAGTCAAAGTGACTGGCATGTACCCTGGTACGCGCCTGATACGCGCTGAAAATTCCAACATGTTGGAAGTTCCATTTCGGCGCGTTTCCGTACGCATGGCGCCCCAAAAGCCAGCAAAAATACGCACAAACGCGTGGTTGCACGCGTACACGCGCCAGTTGTGAACACAGCTTTACTCCAGTGCTACACCAGTGTTACACCAGTGCTACACCAGTATTACTCCAATGCTACACCAGTATTACTCCAATGCTACACCAGTATTACTCCAATGCTACACCAGTATTACTCCAATGCTACACCAGTATTACTCCAATGCTACACCAGTATTACTCCAATGCTACACCAGTATTACTCCAATGCTACACCAGTATTACTCCAATGCTACACCAGTGTTACTCCAATGCTACACCAGTATTACTCCAATGCTACACCAGTATTACTCCAGTGCTACACCAGTATTACACCAGTGCTACACCAGTATTACTCCAGTGCTACACCAGTATTACTCCAGTGCTACACCAGTATTACACCAGTGCTACACCAGTATTACTCCAGTGCTACACCAGTATTACACCAGTGCTACACCAGTATTACTCCAGTGCTACACCAGTATTACACCAGTGCTACACCAGTGTTCAACCGGTGTTGGACCAGTGTTATACTGTAGTGATTGACCAGTGTTACACCTCACTGCTAGTCCTGTGTCACACACTCTCTTGTATCTACTATGCACGAGTGCCTTTCCTCTGGAATGTTTCGCAATCCTGGTGTGAGCTTTAGCGTGTTGATCTTTGTGTGATCATTCTCTTTTTGTATTTGTAGGAAATCATTGACACAAGCGATAAAAGTCAAGTGTCGCCAGTGCGGTGTCTGGCTATCATCGTATCTATTGCTGGCAGTGCACTACAAGACATGCAATCCCTACTGCAGCCACACCAGTTCGAAGGTCAGTAGTGAGCACCACTGTCACCACTGCTTGTTCACACGCGGCCAGACCTGTTCTCACTGCTGCATACCGTCCCTGTTAGACAGACTATTCAGTGTTCAGCTGATCTGTTGACTTGCTAGTTATCTCTGTATGGTGTGTTGTTTGTAGTCTAAGCTGTGATTCTGCTGTGTTTCTGGTGGTGGTTGTGGTGCTGGTGCTGGTGCTGTTGGTGGTAATGGTGGTGGTGGTGCTGCTGGCAAATGGATATTTTCAGGTCGCTGGCTACACTTGCTCTGATTGTCAAATGTGGTATATGTATAGACGGGAACTTGATGCGCACACCTCGGCCCAGCACAAGAAGGTCAGTGGTACATGGCAGTTGTAACGTTATTCACAGAACATTTTATGTAGGCTATGTGAAAATGTGTACAGTCAACTTCGCTTATAACGACACTCGGCGGGGCATCAAAAAGGTGTCCTTATTCGCGAAGTGTCGTTATACCCGAAGTCTCATTATACATGTACATGTATGTATTACAGTGGGATGGGACTTTGCTCTGGGCATGAAAATTCTGTCGTTATTCGCGAATTGTCGTTATATCCGCAGTCGTTATTAGCGAAGTTGACTGTATTCGCTGTTTCAGGTCTCCCAACCGTCTTTCTCCACTTAGCGGTAGAAACGTTTTTATTCATGTAAATACAAGGAGGTTTGAGACATGTCTCTGGAGCTCCTCGCTTCTCCATGACAGAACCAGTCAACATAGAGTGGGTAGTAGTCCCAAGTATGTTATTTACTTTACATGAGCATGATGTGAGAGGGTATGTGTATGCCCTGGAGCAGCTTGGTGACATCGTCCAAGATCGACAGGGATGGTGGGTCACCTGCTGTGACGTTGTCGACGCTATTGTCCAGTCCCGCATGGAGCCTGTGGCGAAGCCCCTCATCTGTGGCACCTGTGCGCGCAGTTTTCGTCGGCCACGGAATATTGCGAGGCAGAAGTCTAACGCTGTTCTCGCAGCCCGCGCGAGCTAAGCCTGATGTTCCCCACCCAGTGGACAATACGTCTCCTGGTCTGACCCTTATGGGGCCACATAGCCAGTCATGGCAGTGGAAGAAGGAAGGAAGGCCCTGCTGCTGACTTGGCTCTGCTGGATTGACACATGTTGTGTTGATTGGGTTTAACATTGCTTGCGCTGATTTGCCTTATCTCACCTGCTGGTGACAACTAGTATAGAGCTTGAGTGTTTGTTGTTGTTGTTGTTGTTGTTGTTGTTCCTTCTTATGCTGGTGCTTAGTCACGTTATTGCTTTGTCCCTTCTGAGTTGTGAGCTCAGTTCAGTATTGGCACTGATGGCCTTTGCCATTTTTTTATTCCACACTTTCCACCAATTCCATCGTATTGTGATATGTGTACATACAACAAGACTAGTAGGAGAGGATGAATAATTCGTTAACTCAGAATTTCAAGCATGAGGCGATCATCAGATACCAGTAGTGAGGTAAATCTGGATGTACTGATTGCTTATGGTTGCTTCACTTTCGTTTTGGTTTCCTTTGCTTGTCTGCCTTTCATTGTTCCTCTTGAAGGTTAACACTGATGAGATTGACGAGAAGGAGCGTATAAGAAACTGGCGTACAGCAGTGGGTAGTGGGGAACATATCAAGTGCAGCTATGAGGTGAGATTTACAAGCTTGCAATGTCATCTAATGTGTGTGTGTGTGTGTGTGTGTGTGTGTGTGTGTGTGTGTGTGTGTGTGTGCGTGCGTGCGTGCGTGCGTGAATAACGAATCTGGACTGCTGCCAGCACCATTGTTCGACCTGTGATCACTGCTTGAAGAGTCAGACTGGCTTTAACCACCATAATTGTACTCGAGGCAAACCACTGTGAAGGGACCAGAGGACTAATCTGCCCATCCAATGCAGCCTATGTAGCGAACGATTCTCCCTCCCGCAGGACCTCACCCGCTACCGGAGACAGAAACACTATGTGTAGATCGGTCCCCTTTCACCTCAATCACTCGAAAATATAGCCGCCAGACATCATATCAGACATACAGTCATATACCGGTGTTATTCTGATGTTGCTTCTCGTTTCAGAACTGCGATTTGGAATTTGCTACTGTCTCGGAGGCGAAGTACCACTACATTAATTGCGAAGTGCAAAGAAGGGTAAGAAGGGTATTCTTACTGTGCTATATCGGCATGCCACACTGTCCTTTCACACGCCCAACATTTGTATTTTACAATTTGTATTCCAAACAATACAATCAAGTCATGTCTGGGGGCAGTCAATTTCCACTTGGCACTTGTGTGGCAGTTGCAGGATTGCAGGGCTTTTATAGCCAACCATGGCTACCAGTACAAGGAAGCGATGAAAGGAAAAGAAAGGGAAGTACTGGTACGGACAGGTGCCACCACCGAGATAACCGTATAATATCTGGAGGGTAGCGACAGTGGCAGTGGTAGTGCAGTGGCAGTGGTAGTCCAGTGGTAGTCCTGTTGTATGTCGTTGTGTGAGAGCTGCTGTAATGGAGTCACATGACCCTACCAAACGACCATAATATTATCTGCAAGGCATGAGATGCCGAGGACGACCACGTCTGAGATGGATCGACGTTGTCAAGAAAGACTTACAATGCATTAATCTGTCGCTTCTGGATGCTGTGCAATCTGCTTCTGATAGAGCTGCTTGGCTCGAAATTGTTAACAGATGCGTTGACCTCATGCAATGAGTGAAATGCGAACTGTCATTATTATTATGAGATGCTGGTGCTTGAGAGGTGGCTGAGGCAATCCTAAAGTGTCTTGGTTTTTTTTACAGGGAGTTGTTTTTGTAACGAATGAATGACTGTAGTGTGGTTTGTTGTCACTGGGGTGTTGTGCTTGCTCTTTTAGAAATTAGGTTCATCTACTCAGGCCACTTTAGCAAAGGCACGCGCTGCCGCCAGAGATGCTGGAAACGACTCTGATGAAGGTGTTGAAGTGAAGGTTGTTGATGGCAGGGGCAAGGGCCCGACAGACGAGGTACGATTGCTTGTAGTCGTGCTAACGTTACCAAGATTTCATCACCAGAACGTGCAACTGTGATCTGTTTAAAAAAAAATGTTAATGGCCCAGTTGCTCAGTGCGCTGCCTTCTTTACATCATGCAGCTTCATATGTGCACTGTGGAAATCGAACGCCACACTTTCCCTGCACTAGGAAACTGAATTTCGGAGAGAACTGAAATTTGTGCACCCAGAATATACGGATTTGGTGCGTGCGTGCATACGTGAATTTCAGCAATGTGTAGAGTAGTTGCACGAGTAGTTGTACAGATTGTATCATAGCTTCATGTGAACAGTTGTACATAATTATCATGCACGTTAATTAGTTGCTATTAGTTAGATAGTGTGAATAGAGAGTGGAAAAACAGCATGCGCTGCTCAGCGAGGTCTGGCTGTATGCTGTGTCAGAAAGGTACCCAACCTGATGCCGATGTACCATCTTTGCTTATCATCCACATGCATGATCTTATCGGCATAGATGCCTTAGATTAGACGGTGATTGTTTACTACCAGTACGGCTTTGCTCGACTTGCCATTTTGTGCTGTTTGTTGTGCTGTGGTTTGTGCACTGTCTGTTGTTGTGTGCTGTGTGATGGTGCACTCTACTCCTGCAGTTCACTACTGAGCAGATGACATTTTGGAAAAGCGAGCTTACGGAAAGCGGGGCGATTAAGTGCTTGACTCCTGTAGGTTGTCCTGAATGTGTGTGTCTGTGTGGGTGTGCGTGCGTGCGTGCGTGTGTGTGTGTGTGTGTGTGTGTGTGTGTGTGCGCGCGCGCGCGTGTGTGCATGTGTGTGTGCATGCCCGTGTACCTCATCAGACTCACTGGACTTGCTGTTCGGCCACACTGTTGAGTGGGTTATGGCTATTGGACGTTTGTTTGCTTGTTGGTATATCCCACTTAGAAGTGTTGCAGTGTAGGATTACTGACTTTCCAAGCAGACCCTCTCCTATACTAGGTATCCCAGTCTGTACGACATGATGATTGTATAGAACAGTGGAGCACTAGAGCAGTGTAGACATGCATGCGTGCAGATGTGCAGTTATGAACCTGTCGTATCCGTGTATTGTTCACTGTTACTTGTGTCAGGTCATTTTAATATCACTGTGATGCATAGTTCGGGTAGACACATCAGCTGCGTACAAGGGAACGAAACAGCAACCATGATATGCCAAAGCAACACAATTGTACAGCATGCATGCATGCAGAGTTGTTATGCATTATGTAACAACGTCAGGGGTGCATCACAGTCACCAAGCCTGACAACCTGCCACATTTAGCAGTTCTCTCTTACAAGTTTGGTCTATTGAATTGATTATTTTTCAGTGTTGTCCACTTAGAGAATCAACTATAGGCCTTCAATATGCACATGATCAGTTTATTTCTCTTAGCAGGAAAATTGCGAGCTCGAGTGTTGCTACCGTCCAACCTTCTTATAATCGTAGCCGAAGTCGCTATCATCAATGCCTTAGGCATGCGAACATCGCCTTGGTTATATATCGGCTTATAAGCCTTATATTTCACGAACGTGTACAAGCGTACTGTTGGGATGTCTTCTATACATACCGGTATTTGACAAATGTTATCAAAAGTGCACATACTATACACATGCAAACAGTATGTAATGCTGTTTGTTTGCTTATGTTTTTTGGATGTACCCTAGAACTGCGAAGCCAGGCTACGATCATTGACAGCTATCAAGTATCATGTCAAAGTGTGCTATGAGTTCACAGCGGTGAGTTGGATTCTTCACATTACGAAACGACCTGCCTGTTTGGTGCTTAGTGCTTAGTGTGTCTGTGTAACTTGCCTGTTTTAGTACCTTAGTGCTTAGTGTGAAAAATAAGTGTGAGGTATACAAGTCATGTAGGACACGAAAAAGAGAAATAGGTCCAGTTTGGATTTGTCGTGACTCAAAGTTTCATGCCACTGCAATCATCAGACGACTGATAATAAAAACCTAAGACTAATCATTATGAATCAGATCATGCGCGATACTTGGCGCATTTTGACACTAGTTCGTTTCTTCTGTTCAGGCTCAAAATGCCACCATGAAAACAAATATTACATAAAAAAACTCCACACCTAGCGTGACATAGTAGAAAAAGTAGCAGCCAGTCGCAACTGCCGCGCAAGGACAGTACCCGGCACCGTCATGACTGGTTTTGGCAAATATCAGTGCTAATATTATACTTATCCATCACAACCATGCCTGGTTTAGCATACGTCAGTGCCAACATTATCCCATTACTTATCCCTCATATCATCCATAACATCTGTGTGATATTGGCCTTCATTCGTGTATCGCGTAGAGTAATGACAATCTAGGCGTCAAGTATCACGCATGATCTGATTCATAATGATTAGTCTTAGGTTTTTATTATCAGTCGTCTGATAATTGCAGTGGCATGAAACTTTGAGTCACGACAAATCCAAACTGGACCTGTAAAGTACCGTTGATCCCCCCCACACACGCACACACCATGTTGCTTCCCAGTTGGGTTTTCAGCAGGGGGCGGAAATTAGATCAAGGCTGTCAAGCGCAGTACGATGTACAGCAGTGTGGAAGTTCAGACTCGATGTGCTGGATTGTGCACATTTTCATCCTGCACTCGCACGTATTGTGTACAGCAATGCATGCGTCGGTTCAACATCGTATTTCGTTGTACACGCCGAAGTCACTTCACAGGCAGAAAATCGACAGGGGGCGGATCAACGGTACTTTACAGTATTTCTCTTTTTCGTGTGAAACGTTCTGCACTTTGTGCATTGAGCACTTTGCCGACAATTGCCAAAATTACTCCTTTGCAAGTCATGTAGGAGTTAGGAAGGTGGCAGTGAGCTGATGTGACCGCACACCGCATGGTATGTTTTAATTCTTGTGTGGAATGTCTTACCTGCACCTATTGCTACTGAATTTGTCTTATGGCGCGAGATCCTGCTGGTTTTTTTTGCGGTAGACTTTTGTTATCAAACCGCTCTTTTGTAGACTGTGTGGCATCGCTGTTTCATTTGTATCGGACCATGGCAGTACTGCCAGCACGTTGTACAGTAAGAATTGGTTCGGTCCTTTTCAATACTTTGGCAATGGGTGTGTCCAACCAAATACTTCCAACATCTAACGTTGGAATTTTTTTGGGACCAGTTTTTCAACAACAGTGACATCCTGCCAGTTCTTGCCATGGCATCAAAGAGTAAGACATGACTAGATAAATCTTAGCTGCCATTGTGTTCTTTTCTTGCATGTGTATTTTGTTGGCTTTACAGGAAGATTGCACATGCAAGCTCTGTAGTCAAGTCCTGGAGTCGCCACGGCTCCTCGGGGCCCACACAAGAGCACACAAAAGGAAGGAGCGTAAAGAGTAGGTTAATGTCACCTGCCATATGTGTTGCTGCTACTGCATGTTTCACTGTCACAGCACACAGCACTGGAGTTGCCATGTCACGCTTCTATATGTGTGCCATGTACTAAAAAACTACTAATGTGTTCAAGCATGTGAATTATGGTGAAAGTGGTTATATATGGGGTGGGGTTCGCGTGCTAGTTTGTACGTGAAGTTTGTGGGTTACAGTGAGGGCTGCGTCCCACCAGCTTGTGTGGATCCACAGGAAGTGCGAGTTTCGAAGTCTGAGGGAAATGTCGAGTGGTTGCTGTTTGGATGACAACTACACCATAGCTTAGTGGTAGGGCAGAGCAGATACGGGTACATGCGTGAACATGGGCACACACACACACACGCACACACACACACACACACACACATGCACGCACACACACGCACACGCACACACACACACACACACACACACACACACACACACACACACACACACACACATGTATGCACACAAGGGAATTCTCTTGATTGTACAACATGATACATGGCTTTCATGTTATTTTAGAATGTTAACAAGTTACTACATGTAGTATTGTTCTAATGTCTGTAATTGCAATCATGTCAAACATATACTAGTACAGACAATACTAGTATGTCTCCAGGTATGATTGGTGAAGGAATGGCACTAGGTCAATTGTTACTGGACTGGCAAGACATTTGCTGTGTGACTCTGTGTCGTGATTGGTACCGGATTGGCAAGGTGGCGTTTGCTAAGTGACTCCTAGTTTCATGGAGGCAGCGAATGTGACTTTCGGTCTTTGATCAGTTGGTGGTGGGTCTGATCTACCCACCTCCCGTCGCTTCAGGAACTGCATCTGCACCTTGATCCTAGAGGGTGGTGGCGTTCCTACTGATGCAGAGATATCAGTCTTACACGAACTGGGAACTTGTTTTCCTTTTTTCTGAATTTTGTGCTCCCTCCTTCCTGGTCAGTTAAAGAAGTTGTCTGGTGAGCATGGAAGCATACCACTAAGAGTCACAGCGTGTCCCTTGTCCCTTGCCACTTGACACTGTGCATCATTGTGCATCGTACAGATGCTGTATGAGGCCAGGACATTTTGGAAGGCCCACATTTCCTAGTTCTTTCCCCACCTCATTCTTTCCCCTTCATGTCCGTGATGTTTATTTATTGCAGGAAAGAAAAGCTGGAGAAGAAGGAGAAAGGAAAGGCATCATTGTGGGACGATGTAAGTTTGTTGTACTCTTAGCATTCCGTGGTTGTGGCAAGTGAAACCCAGACTGACTTGCACTTTCAGTGCCCACCCTTGGGGAAAAGACTGTATGAACACAGTGGCCAGGCTGACAGGCACACTGCTGATAACCCATGTCTGCTCACTTTGACCAGGCTGACAGGCACACTGCTGATAACCCATGCCTGCTCACTTTGACCAGGCTGACAGGCACACTGCTGATAACCCATGCCTGCTCACTTTGACCAGGCTGACAGGCACACTGCTGATAACCCATGCCTGCTCACTTTGACCAGGCTGACAGGCACACTGCTGATAACCCATGCCTGCTCACTTTGTTCTATTGCTTTTGGGTTGCTCCCACTCTCTGGTTTGCTTTGCAGGAGCCAATCACAATGTTTGGCCGTCGAAAGTCAGCTATGAAGTGAGTGCGATAGTAGTGGTGTGTTGTTGAGTGCTGTTCATAAAGGCTGCTGTTTATCCTCTCATGGTGAAAACTACTTGTGTGTGTCTGATTTCCTTGAGACATGTTGACTGTCAGGCTCTCAGATAGCACCATAACATGTATACTAGCATTGTGTATACAGTGTATACAGACTGTTGTCAGGTTGATCGTTAAATCCTCAATCAATCATCACATGCATGAGGGGAGTGCACTTTCTCGTTATTGGTCAGGCCCGCCGGAAGAGGATTCGGTTGGTCAGGTCATCCCTGGACCAACTAACCTGTTGGCCATCAACGCATGTTCACTGCTGAGGAAATTATGTGTACCCGCTATAATAATCCGGCCGTAACAGTGTCCTGCTGATTTGATAGTGTAGCTTACCAGGCGCGTACGCAGGGTCACCTCTAGGGGGGTTTCCAACCGAATCCCAAACAAATGAGTTTTTAAAAGTTTTAACCCTTTCTACAAGTAAAGAGCCCTAGGAAATTTTCAAAATTATGCATTTTTTCGTGTTGTTTGGATCATAATTTCAGTTCTACTCACTCAATCTTCATTATCTTGGGCTTCCTGGAAGTGGAAAGGTACCAGGGAGAGAATGAGGTCGACCATGATAGCCAGGACACAGTACAGTCATGTACATATCCAGCGCTATAGGCTATAGCGGTAGAGTGCAGCGCCGGTGCGAAAAATGCCCCAAACAGGCCCAAGCGCGTCCTGCTCCCGCGATTTCGTTTTTAAAAAGTTGGTGGACAAGCCGTTGATTATTCACTCTCAGCTCATTGTAATATCAAAAAAAAGTATTCTTTTTAGACCAAAGAGTGGTATATTTGATAACATCGTCAGTGGATAAAGAATCTTTATCCACTGACGATGGTGTTCAGAACAACGAAACGTCTGGAGAAGTATCGTAATATTTCTATCATTATTAAATGTTATCAAATATACCACTCTTTGGTCTAAAAAGAATACTTTTTTTTTTGATTTCGTTTTTCTCGATCGGAGAGTTTCGATTTTTTGCTGTGTACTCTTGAAAATATCACAAGTGAAGCCCCTGCAAATTTGAGCAAATCAGCACGACGAAAATCTCAAATTCTCGATACTCAAGTCGCACTGCGCGCTTTTGAAATTGCCGAGATCGCGGCTCAACTTACGAATGATTTATCTCACGATACAATGCTCGCAGCGCTTCGCAAATTGTTTCAACCGACAGCTGAGAGTTTTCTATTCGACCTGGATATTTGGATCGTTGGATTTGAGCGAGATTTGACTGAGTTACGATCTTTTGAAGTTTTGCATTCTTGCCAGATCGATCAAGTGCCCTACCACAAGAAATGCCCAAAAACGTTGCTCGTTTGGAACATTTGGGGGGTTTCCGGGCAACGGGAAACCCCCCCCCCCCCTGCGTACGCGCCTGGCTTACCGCAGATGCTCAGCTCGGTCAGTTGTAAATACCTGAAATAGTAAAAACTGCC